CTCTCCAACAGCGGCCCGTTCACGCCCTTTGCTACGCTGCGCGCCTCTGGGCTGGCCGGGAGCATCCAACGCGCAGCCGCGCCGCTGGATACCAAATCTTCGGCCTCGAACTCTATCTGGCGCACAATGGCCTCGCGGTCTGCGTTGACCTGCTCAGCCGTCCGCGCGGTGACCCAGCTCAAAGCCTCAGAGACCTCACTAGGCAAACTGCACTCCTTCTGAAAGGCAACAAGTCTCGGCGACCGCCCTTGCGGCGAAATCCAACATATCCATGTTCGCTGCGGATTGATTTGGCACCTGCGCGCGACGCGCAAGCGCTGCGTCGCGACTCGCTGCGCGGAGCGCTCCGGCCTGGCTGAAGCGATTTGCCAGACTGCCCGCGCGGCTTCGCTGAGCCCCAGCCGCCCATGCGCGGGGCGGCGAGGGCGGCCTCGGGGCCCCTTTCCGTTTTCGGGAGCCCGGTGGCCGCGAGGGAGTTGGCAGCTGCCACGAGCTTGTTTTTTCATCGGGGGGGGGCAACGCCCGTTGCGGGGGGGGGGGGGAGGGGGTCCGGCCCCAAGTTGGGGGTGACGGTCACGCGCGGCGGGGCCCTCGCACGGGCCCTGGTACATATTGCCAGCAAAACTGTCGGCGCGGTCGGCTTCGTCGTCGTCGTCGTCGTCGCCGCCGCTGTCGTCGTCGTCGAAGCCGGCCCCCCCCAGGACGTGAGAGGAGGTGAAGGGCACGAGCACTGGAGGGAGTGCAGAAGCAAGGCAAAGGAGGTGGAGGGGCCAGGCCGGAACCCGTTGAAAGGTTCGCGCCGAGGGATGCGAACCTCGAGCCTCGAGGATCGAGGCATCCTGGCCCTCGAGGGCCTTCGTCGTCGCCGCGGCTGGACGCGGCTCGGGGAACTGGTGCGTCTGAGCCCCAGTCGGGCCCCGTGGACCCATTTTGAGTTTGCGCCGAGGTTCGAACCTCGAACCTCGAACCTCGAACCCGAGCACACATGCGAGCGTCACAGCATGCCTGCCTGGACGGAGGGGGATCCGCACCCCCGTCCCCGCACGCTCGTTACCGCTGCGGAAGGGGAGGGGGGGGGGGGGGACCCCCCCCGTAACGGGCGTTACGGGTCCGAGCCATAAAAAAAACAAGCTCCACATCGTGCGATGATTGCAGGAATAAAGCCAGGCGATGCAAGTGTCGCGCACGCCCTGGCGCCACCGCCCCTGGGCGCGCCGCCCCCCGCTTCTCCGCGGTGCTGAAACGCGCGTCGGACGGTTGCAATCCGATCGCGACATTGAAAGTCATGCGAGGCAAGTGCAGCGCGCGCCCTGGCGCCACCTCCCGTGGGCGCGCCGCCCCCCGCGTCGCCGCGGTGCTGAAGCGCGCGTCGGATTTTGTCTTGCAAACGCAAAACTGACAGAGGGCGCGGCAGGGGCCATTGCGGGGGCGCACATGGGCGCCGCGCCACTCGCGGGCAGCACTGCCCACTGCCTCAGGGCTGGCCGTGCCCATCCTGGCGCAAGACCCACGAGCTGAATTTCACCGCTGCCTTCTCCGCGTTGAAATCGCGCTCGCCGGCCCTCGTCCGCTCGGCCCACGTAGACCGCGCGAACTCGCAGAGCGAAAGGGGCAGCGCGTTCCTGGCGCACGCTGCGCGCTGGGCCTGGTCGTAGTGAATGGCCGGGTGCGGGCGGCGCTTGTGCGCGCGGGCATTCGTGGCCACGCGCAAGCAAATCTCGCGATGCGCCCACGACGCCGCCAGGCTGAGCTGGCCTGTCGCGGCCGCCGCCAGCACGTACCTGTGCGAAACGCCGACGTAATCTCGCGGCGGCGTTGCTTCGCGCGACCGCGGCGCCTGTTCCGCGCCGCCTGCCACTGTGACAAAGTCAACAGCGTCTTGCGCTTTCCCTCTTGGCCGTTGGCCTTGATGGCGTTGGCCAGATCTAGAAGATCCTGCAGCGAAAGCAACGCGTTGCGCTGGTTCGATCGCGAAACCAGCGCACCTTGGAGAGATTGTTCTCTTTTTCCTCATCTTGGAGGACCTCCTTGAGAGCCGCGAATTCAGGGGGCAATTTCTTCAAATCGACCGGCACAACCGGCGAGGCAACGCCGACCTTTTTGAGCTTGGCCGCCTCTGCGGCCAGCTCGCCCACGCGGTGTGAACTGCGCGCGGGGCGACGCCGACGACGTGCCGCGCGCGCGAGCCCACGCGAGCGCCTGGGCCAAAATTCCGCGGGCAATCCCTTCGCACTGATGTCAGACACCACGCTGGCGAAATCGAGGTGCGTCGCCTGCGCGGCGCCGAAAACGCCGCGCGCGCGTGCAACCCCGGCGGGCGCGGCACATCGTCAGGCTTCTTTCCCGAAAGCAACGCTTTAAGCACCGCCCCAGGGTCAGCGACCCCTTGCTTCGCCGCGCTTTCCTCGGCGGCGGCGGCGAGAGCCCTGCGCGCGCGGGCTTCATGACCAGCGTCAAGGCCAGTCTCTCCCGCAGGGAACGCAAAATCCTCGGCGGCTGCACGCAGCGCCTCAGCGATCTTGGCGTACCAGGCTGCATCGCGCCCATCGGCACCCTCGACCTTGCGAAGCGCTTCGGTCAACGCGGTCTTCGCGGCTTCGTCTGCCATTGCAACAAAGAAACAAGCGATGCGATACTCGCGCGCGCCCTGGCGCCGTCGCCCGCGGGCGCGCAAAACCCTCGCTTCGCAGCGCTTCTGAACGGCGCGCCGAGTGTCGCGCGAAAGCCAATCGGGCAGGGGAAGCCACGCGCGAGCTGCGTAACGCAAGGATGGCCTCTCGTGGGCCACCGAGCAAAGACCCCCGATCCAGCTGGGGCTGCTCTGTACACGATTTGGCCGCCTGCGGGCCGCCGAGCAAAGACCCCCAGGTCAGCTGGCAAAAGCGAACCACACATGGGCTGCTGTGCACACGATTGGCCACTTGCGGGCCGCCGAGCGAGACTTCAGGGTCTGCTGGCAATAGCGAGCCACACCTGGGCTGCTGTGCTCACGATTGGCCACTTGCGGGCCGCCGAGCGAGACTTCATGGTCTGCTGGCAATAGCGAGCCACACATGGGCTGCTCTGCGCACGATTGGCCACTTGTGGGCCGTCGAGCGAGACTTCAGGGTCCGCTGGCAATAGGGAGCCACACATGGGCTGCTTTGCGCACGATTGGCCACTTGCGGGCCGCCGAGCGAGACTTCAGGGTCTGCTGGCAATAGCGAGCCACACCTGGGCTGCTGTGCACACGATTGGCCACCTGTGGTCCGCCGAGCGAGACTTCAGGGTCTGCTGGCAATAGCGAGCCACACATGGGCTGCTCTGCACACAAAACGCGTCACGCGGCCACGCATGGGCAGCGTGCGCGCCACAGCCCTCGCGGGGACCCAAGCCCAGAGAGGCGAACGCACAGCGCGCAAGGCCGCGTGTGCGGACGGCGGGCACCGCGAGGCCGTCCCAACGCCACTCGCACCACGGTGCGGTGGCACAGCGCAGCGGGACACGCCCCCGCCAGCAGCACAGCAATGGCCAACAAGGCCAGCGGCCGCTCCTGGGCGGACCGCAGACAAGAGAAAGCAGGAGCGCAGAGGCGGCACCCGCACAGGCAGAGCAGCACCAGTATACCTCTCCCACCCACGGCCCCGCACCCCGACCCTCCCCCCGTCCCGAGGACGAGGAGAGGGCAGGGGAGCAGGGCAGCCGTGGGAGCGGCATTCGTGCAAGCCCACAAACGCAGCGACAGTGCAAGCACTGTCCCTGAGTTTGTGGGCTCATATCAAGGCGGCCCAGCCAAAAGTCACCGAAACATTGCTCCAAGACGCCTTAGATGGCCCCCGGACGGCCGCACAAGCCTCAGAAATCCAATACGTCCCCAAGGGCCTCCAGTAGTATTCCCAAGAGGGCGCCGAAAAGGCAAACGACATGGATGTCCCTTAAGTGTTGAAAAGGGGTTTGGCAATCTCGCGCTGTATCTCGTCCCGCTTCCACCCTACTGCACGCCCCAACAAACACACACGCTTCAACTTGGCTGGAGGAGGGAAGAGGAAGGCGGAGGAGGATGAGGAGGAACACGAGGGACAACGTGTTTGTTTCCGAAACTCGTCCTTGTTGCCCAGTGGGTTTCCGATAGGCTCGGCGAATAATGTTTCGAAGGCTCCTGGAAAAAAAAACCATGCACAGGAGGGGGCGGAATGAGGAACATGCTTGTGCGTATGTATGTGCGTATGTATGTATGTATGCATGTTTGTGCGTATGTTTGCTTGTAAGTAAGTACGTGTTTACATATGGTATGTTTGTACGCATGCGTGCCGACATGTATGTATGTATGTAGGTATGTATGTATGCATACATATTTGCATGTATGTGTGTAGGTAGGTACGCCTGGAACTCGTATGACTGCATGTATGACTGTATGTATGTATGCATGTATGTATGTATGTATGTATGTATGTATGTCATTATGTATGTATGTATGTATGTATGTGTATGTATGTATGTATGTATGTATGTCATTATGTATGTATGTATGTATGTATATGTGTGTGTATATACACACGCATGTATGTAAGAACGAACGTATGTATATTTCACTGAAAAATATGAGCGCGTGCTGACAATAGCGGGAGAAACGGAAAATGGAGTGGGGCCGCCAGCGCACATGCACAGTGGACGCGCTCGTTTTTGTCAAGGCAGGCCCCTCGCGCCAGCGAGCACCTGCCGCATCCACTCCTCCGTCCTTGTTGCCCCTCTCCTCTCTGCTCCTCTCTCTTCACCCGCCTTCCCCTCGCCCCGTCCCCTCCCATCCCATCTCGTCCCCTGCCCTCCCCTCGCCCCTTTCCCTTCCTCCGGGGCCACCTGTGACTAGCCACTGCGATGCCGTGCTAAGCCCTGCTGGCGCCTGCTACGCCCCGCTAGGCCGAGCCGAACCCTGCCAGGCACTGCTCAGGACTGCGGCCCTCTGCGTGGCCCTGGTAAGTTCTGCTAGCCACCTGCCAAGCCCAGCGAAACCTCGACAAACCCTATCCATCACTGCTAGCCCCTGGCCTGCCTTCCTGAGACTTGCCAAACGTTGCTAGCAACTGCTTTGCTAATTTCGGCCAGCGCCTCGGTAACCTGCTTAGCCATGCGATGTGTGCTAAGCCATGCGGAACCACATCACGTATAATCTCATCAGGGACGTACCCATTGTTAATGAAATCGTACCGGGGGTGGATCCGCCTCTAACAGAATTTTTACGGATGAAGCAATATGTGATAACATCCGAACCAGGAAAGGGCCCATCCGGATCCGCCTCTAGTGGGATCATGTTATGGGCGGGGCCACGGGTAGTTGAATTGCATGCAGTATGGTTTCACCTCTAACAGGACCCATTAAAAGTGGGCCCGCCTCCCATATAACCCCATGCAGGATGGAGGCGCCTTGGATATCATCGTATTAGATGCGGGTGCACCTCGATTTGAATCCTATAGGGAACGGTACCACCCCGAATCTCATCATTACTAAACCCTGCTGCCCCTTGCCCCGCTGAGTTTTGCTAGCCGCTGCGATGCCGTGCTATGCGCAGCTGGCCCCCGCTAAGCTCTGCTATGTCTAGCCACGCAATGCATTGCACTGCTATGCGCGGCAAGCCCTGCTGGCCCCCTGCGAACCCTCTCTAAGTTCTGCTATCCACATGCCAATCCCAGCAAAGCCCTGGTAAGCCCGACCTTGCCCTCCTACGCTCTGCTGGCCCCTGATATGCCCTGCTGAAACGTGCCAATCGTTGCTAACACCTGCTCGCGTTGATAAACTCTCCCAGCACCTTGGTAACCTGCCCGGCCATTCGGGGCCATACCTGCGATCATCTTGTCAACAATGGGTAGATTGCGAATGTAACCCTATTGGAGGTGGACTCCAACATAATCCTACACATGAGTGGAGCAACCTGTGAGACAATCCGATCAAGGAAGCAACTCATAACCCCACGAGAGGTGGATCCACCTCTACTTGGATCCTGATATGAATGGGGTCACGGGTATATGAATTGCGTGCCGGGTGTCCTCGCATCTAATAAAACCCGACCAGAGGCAGATCCACCTCAAATAGAACCCATACAAGATAGAAACACCTGAGGTGTGGGTGCGACCCACCTCTAAACAACCAGATTGCAAGGCCAAGCCGCCTGTAATACAATTCTTTTGAAATGTGATGATATTTTCCGCACAGTGGAATTCACTCGGTAAATCTCCCACGAAAAGATCCCTACTGGTAAGTCGCAGAAAAGAGGGCTGTATTTGGAAGCGCGCAATAGAAACCAATGTGTAAATCCCAGCATAGGGAGTCCTAGTGTATAGGCGCACGACAAGAATGTATCGAATTGTACATCGCCCACAAAAGGACTCCGATTGAAAAGCCGCGCAACAAGGATTGTATGTGCAATCCGCACAGATTTGTAAATCGCCCACAAAATGAATCCTACTGAAAGACCTCACTACAGGATTTTCCATGTAACCCAAACACTAGGAATCATTTTGTAAATCGCCCGCACAACGATTTCCTTTGGAAGGGGACGAGGGAAAGTGATGGACCCTCCGGGAAGGAAAAGCGAGACAAAAAAACATAAGAAAAGCTACACACCGACGCCCCTTCCATTTGGTGGGTCGAACATAAGACCAAACACAGGAGGATTTGTTTTAGATCCAAAACTTTTTCATGGCCCCCATTCAAACAAATTCCTTACGTGGGCGATTTTCACACCTATACCTGTCGTGTAGATTACAATTCAAATCATTGTTGCGCCGTTTTTCAATGTGAGCTAATTTGCAAGCGGGGTGCAAACAACACTTATATCCTGTAGATTACACATAGAATCCTTCTATGCGGCGTTTCAATCGGATTTCTTTTCGTGGGCGATTGACACATCGGTTTCTAGTGTGTAAGTTACGACTAAGAACGCAAAGCCGTCGCCCCCCCATTCCCAACCATCCTGTGGTGTTGGGTCCTCGTTTTGAGCAGACGGCGCCCCGCGTTCCTCCTCCTCTCCTCTCCTTCCTCCTTCCTCCTCCTCCTCCTCCTCCTCTTCCTCGTCCTCCTCCTCCTCCTCCTCCTCCTCCCTCCTCCCCCTCCTTGCTTTTGTTCTCCGCATGTCTCTGTTTCGGCACACAACTCACACGTTTCGTGGCCCCACAGGGAGCCCCACCTAAGGTCCCAATGGCGCAGCCCGCATGGCGGCGAAGCCCCATTTTGGCACACCCCTTCACACGTTTCGTTGCACCATAGGGTGCTACATCTAAGGTCCCAGTGGCGCAGCCCGCATGGCGGCGCCGCCCCATTTTGGTACACCCCACACACGTTTCGTGACACCACAGGGTGCTACATATCAGGTCCCAGTGGCGCAGCTCGCATGGCGGCGCCGCCCCGTTTTGGCACACCCCTCACACGCTTCGTCGCCCCATCGGGAGCTCCACCTAGGGCCCGAATGGCGCACCCCGCATGGCGGCGCCGCCCCATTTTGGCACACCCCTCACACGTTTCGTGGCCCCATAGGGATCTCCACCTAACGTCTCAGTGGCGCAGCCCGCATGGCGGCGCCGCCCCATTTTGGCACACCCCTCACACGTTTCGTGGCCCCATGGGGAACTCCACCTAAGGTCCCAGTGGCGCAGCCCGCATGGCGGTCGCCCTATTTTGGCGCACCCATCACGAGTTTCGTTGCCCCAAAGGGAGCTCCATAGAAGGTCCCAGTGGTGCAGCCCGCATGGCGGCGCCGCTCCATTTTGGCACACCTGCCTGGTCGGAGGTGAACGGTTCGGGCCCTTCAGTTTTCGTCACGAGGTAAATCGCTCGGGCCCCACAGTTCTCGGTCGAAGGTGAATCGCTGGGGCCCCTCAGTGCTGGGTCGGAAGTGAATCGTGCGGGTCCCTCCTTTTCTCGGTCGGGGGTGAGTCGTTCGGGCCCCACCGTTCTCGGTCGGAGGTGAATCGGTCGGGCCCCTCAGTTCTCGGTCAGAGGTGAGTCGCGTAGGCCCCTCAGTTCTCGATCAAAGGTGAGCCGTTCGGACCCATCACATCTCGGTCGGAGGTGCTCGGGCCCCTCAGTTTTCGGTCGGAGATGAGTCGCTCGGGCCCCTCAGTTCTTGGTAAGGGGTGAGTCGCTCGGCCCCCCCAGTTCTCGGTCGGAGGTGAGTCGTTCGGGCCCCTCAGTTCTCGGTCAGAGGTGAGTCGTTCGGGCCCCTCAGTTCTCGGTCGGAGGTGAGCCGTTCGGGCCCCTACGCGTTGTGGCCCCATCGCCCATCGGGAGTTCCACCAGAGACGATCTCACAACTGCGGCTCTCACAACTGCGGCACTCACAATTGCACGGGCTGGTCATCGTAATCATCACCACTATCCCCTCGCACGTTGCGCGGCCCCATAAAAGGGGGCTTCACCCCAGTGGCAGCGCCCGCATGGCGGCGGCGCCCCATTTCGGCACACGCCTCACACACACACGCACGCACACGCACACACACACACACACACACACACACACACACACACACACACACACACGCTTGGTGGCCCCATGAAGGGGGCTGGAATTCAGGCCTCAGTGGCAGCGCCAGCATGGCGGCCCCTACCCATTTCTGCACACCCTTCACACGCTTCGTGGCCCCATAAGGAGATCCACCGACGGCGATACTAACAACGACGGTATTTACAACTGCATATGGTTGGGTCTTTCGCATGGGAAAATGTTTCCCCGACCATTTTGTGGTGTTGGGTCCTCGCGTCTCCTCCTCTCCTCCTCCTCCTCCTCCTCCTCCTCCTCCTCCTCCTCCTCCTCCTCCTCCTCCTCTTCCTTCTCCTCCTCCTCGTCCTCCTCCTCCTCCTCCTCCTCCTCCTCCTCCCCCTCCCTGCCGTCTCCGCATGTGTTTGTTTCGGCACACACACAAACCTCACACGCTTCGTGGCACCATCGGGAGCTCCATCAAGAGGTCCCAGTTGCGCAGCCCGCATGGCGGCGCCGCTCCATTTTGGCATACCCCTCACGCGCTTCGTTGCCCCATAGGGATCTCCACCTAAAGTCCGAGTGGCGCAGCCCGCATGGCGGCGCCGTCCCGTTTTGGTACACCCTTCACACGCTTCGTGGCCCCATAGGGAGCTCCACCTAGGGTCCCAGTGGCGCAGCCCGCATGGCGGCGCCGCCCCATTTTGGCACACCCCTCTCACGTTTCGTGGCCCCATAAGGAGCTCCACCTAGGGCCCCATGGCGCAGCCCGCATGGCGGCGCCGCCCCATTTTGGCGCACCCCTCACACGTTTCGTGGCCCCATAGGGAGCCCCACCTGAAGTCCGAGTGGCGCAGCCCGCACGGCGGCGCCGCCCTATTTTGGTACACCCCTCATACGTTTCATGGCCCCATAAGGAGCTCCATCTTAAGTCCCAGTGGCGCAGCCCGCATGGCGGCGCCGCTCCATTTTGGCACACCCCTCACGCGCTTCGTTGCCCCGTAGGGATCTCCACCTACAGTCCCAGTGGCGCAGCCCGCATGGCGGCGCCGACCCATGTTGGCACAGCCCTCACCAGCTTCGCGGCCCCATAGGGGGCCCCATCTGGGGTCCCAGTGGCGCTGCCCGCATGGCGGCGCCGCCCTATTTTGGCATGCCCCTCACACGTTTCGTGGCCCCACACACGTTTTGGAAACCTTCTCTCCGTCTCGTGGACTCTCGCCCTGGGCCGTCGGCTGTCCAGCGCGCTGCGACGTCGCCCAGGCATGATCCTGGACTGCGGCCGCCACGAAGTGGGGAACGGCAGGAAGGAGGACGACGACTGGCGGCTGGAGCTCTACGCGCTGCTCTCGCGCGCCACGCGCCACGAGGACCTCCTGCTCACGCGGGCGCCGCGCATCGAGTTCTCCCGACAGGGCCGCGGGAGGGATTGCGGAAACAGCTGGAGCAGTTTGCTACGCGCACGAAACGGCGCAGAAGGGAGGCGACGGCCCTCGCCAGGGAGCTGGGCTTCACCGAGTTTATCCGCGAAGCTTGACTTGAAAAGCGACCCGCCCGAGCCTCGCCGTCTCTCGACGGTCTGACTGTTTGGCTTCGCGCCGCGGGCAACCCGCGCGCGTCGCTGGGGCCCTCTCGGGGCGACCAGCGCGCGTCGCGGGAATTCCGCGCTGCGCTCTGCCCAGAGCCTCGCTCGCCCCCGTCGTCTCTCTGCCTGGCGGCCACAACCTTGCCCGCTATCAGCCAGCCAGCTCTCTCTGCTCCGCGCAGCGGACGACCCGCGCGCGTCGCCGGGACCCCTTCGGGGCGACCGGCGTGCGTCGCGGGGGCCCCGTGTGGCGCCGCGCCCGCAGCCTCGGACATGGGCGCGCACTGGCAAAGAGAGAAAGAAAAATAACGGGAAGGAAGCGGGCGCGATCCTCGGGAGGAGCGCGCCGACATGGGCGTCGACGCTTATGCGCGTGGATTGATTCGCACGAAGATTCATTCACAATCAGACTCACTCGCGTTCGGTCTTTCGCAACCAGACCTATCGTCTTCGTTCGCGCTGCGTGCCCCGCCACGCATCTCGGCGCGCCACTGGCACGGTTCGTGGCCCCATAGGGAGCGCGGGCAAAGATGATATTCAGAATTGCGGGATTCACAACTGCGCATGGTTGGGTCCTTCGCCAGGATCGTCATTTTTTTCGGCCCCCGCTCCGGCCCCGAAAAAAAAAGAAAATGGAAAAGGGCGACGGTTTTCTGTTCTGTGTGTTTTCTTCTCTCAGAGGTCAAACAATTCTTCTGGCCTCCGTTCGAAGAAATTCCTTTTGTGGGCAATTTATACATTGATTTCTATTGTGTAGATTATTATTCGAATCCTTGTGCGCCGCTTCTCAGGATAATTCAATTACATTATTAGGTACGACGAAAAACGAGAAAAAAGGGAAACGCAATTTGAAGAAACGTCCATTCGACGAAGAAATGAACCACACAAACCGAGTAGCCAAACAACTTCAAACATGCTAACATACACCACTAACATGGTCCCCAAAGAATCCCAGATTTCCCCCTTACCCCTCCCTCCCTCCCTCCCTCCTCCTCCCATCCTCCCCTTCTCATCCTCCTCCTCCTCCTCGGTCACTGCGGGACTAGGCAGGAACTGCAATAACTCTTCTTCTCCCTCGTTATTGCCCTCATGATCCTCGTCCCTCCTTCCTGCTCCCTGATCCTCCCCCGATTCCCCTCCTCGTCCTTATTAGTCTCCCTCCCAACCCTCTTCCTCTTGGGTCAAGCGGTGGCAGCAAGCTGTGAGCTCGACCCTGCTCACTGGCAGTGCACGTTGACGCCCGCATCCTCGCACGCCTTCGGAAGCACGTAGACCCGACCTCTGGGGCACCCGAGATGTTCCTCTTTCTCCTCCTCCTCCTCCTCCTCCTCCTCATCCTCCACTTCTTCCTCATCCAACCTCCTCCTCCACTTCCTCCTCGTCCTTCTCCTCCTTCCCTTTCCTCAACGTCATACTACTCTTCCTCTTCGTCATCATCGCCGTCGTTGTGTTCATTTTTGTCCTCCAGCCCCGCCTCTGGGTGTGGGAAGCACGCACCACTGCAGAAGCTGCTCCATGCCTGATTCTGCGCGCCTGTCGTGTCCGACGGGTCCGTGCAGTACACGGTGCGACACATGTCTGTCTTGGTGGTGCTGTGCAATGCTCCCACGGGGGCAGTGCACGCCTTTTGAGCGGAAGACAAGGTGGGGGACGGCAATATGGCTGTGAACGTCGACCCTAGAACATAATCGACGGTGCATCGCTGGCAAAACGCTCGCAGGCCCCCGAACCATCGCTGGCACAACGCCGACAGGCCCGCGATTGAAGAACAGCAGGCTCCTGGGCGAGACAGGAAGCCCGAACTCTTATCGGCGATGGACGGGCAACGTAGGTTCGACGCTTCCCCTTGCAAGGCCCGATGTTGCATGTAGACGGCGGCCTCAACGGGCCCCGAACGTGGCCTGGGGCATTCCTAATGCCCGCGATCTCGTGGTCCGCGGGGGGAGCGCCGCCAGCGGCGACGCGGGGGTGTTGAGATCACCCCAGGCTGCCCTGGGTCAGGGCCCTCTAAACCAGGACGCTGCCAACCAGGATTTTGAGAATTCCACTTTGAGGGGACGAAGAATGGAGAATGTTACGACCAATGGCTGCATTGTTCTGGGGTGCGCCAAAGCCTATCGAAGTTCCCGTTTGGAGGGCCCTGACTGGGGGCCTGTAAAGGCCAACTGGGGGACGGACCCCGAGAAACTCGGTCAAGAGGGGGGGGGACGAGGGCAACTCCGGTCAAAACAATTCCCTGGACCCTTTCCAGGGACGAACCTGACGAGTTTTTCGAGCCGCGTCCAGCCGTGGCGACGATGGGGCCCTTCGTTGCTGCTGACCAGAACCAGTGCTGGACCAACTCGACCCCTCAACAAGCTCAAACACCCCTTCTTTCTTCTGCCGCGGGCCTTCTCGCCAGAGGCCACCGGCGCACAACACCCGCAGTGGCACTCGCCCGGGCTGACCTTGTGGGTGGCGTTCGAGGTACCCACCGCAGGCAGGCTCAGGAGGGCGACGAGGATCGCCAGGGTCTGCATTGTCTCAGAGCCCTCAGATCCAAGAGCCGCGAACAAAATACGACAACCCTTTTCGCCCCGCTTGCAGGCCAGGGGGCCCTCACGCATATACCTGGCTCGAGAGCTGCCTCAGAAGGATGGGTTCGAGGGGCCTGGCTTTGACCATCAGCGGCGGCGTGATGCACACGGCGTTGGATCTCGGGGGACGGTTGGCTGTATTAGCGCGGCGGGTGGCTCAGATGGCTCGAGGCACCTGTCTAGCTTGGGCCAAACGCGGCGGCGAAGGGCGAGTGCTCTTCCCTCCTTCTCCTCCTCCCCCCCCGCCTCCTCATGTTCCTTCTGCAAATGCTGCTGCTCTTGCTCTGGCTCTTCCCCCATGGCACTTCCCGCTCTCCTGCTCACCCTGATCCCCCCACTGCTGATGCTGTCCTCCGCTCCCTCTTCCTGGCCCGTCGCCGCCTCATCCTCCTCCTCCTCGCCCTCGTACTGCACCTGCTCCTGCTGCTGCTGCTGCTGATGCCGTTCGCCGTGCTGCTGCGGCAGCGGGAGGTGGACATGGATGTAGGTGCGGAACGTGGGTGTGGAGAACGGGCACGAGGATGAGGGACAGAGGTGGACAAGCAAGAGGGCTGCATCTCCTGTTCCTCCACCTCGTCCCACTACTTCGACATCTCGCGCTGAGGCTCGCCCGCGGGCCTACCCCCATCCCCCTCCTCCTGCGACTCATCCGCCTGGCCCCACTTCACTCCCTCCACCTATCCTCTATCCCTCTACTCTGCCTGTCCCTCCTCCTATTTCTCCTCCTGCCCTGCCCCCCCTCCTCCTCCTCATCCCCCTCCTCCTCCTGATCCTCCTCCTCCTCCTCCTCATTTTCCTCCTCCGCCTCCTCCTCCTCCTCCACCTTCTCCTCCTGCTCCTCCTCCTCCTCCACCTCCTCCTCCTCCTCCTCCTTTTCCACCTCCTCCTCCCCCTCCTCCTCCTCCTCCTCCCTCCTCCTCCTCTCCTCCTCCCTCCTCCTCCTCCTCCTCCCTCCTCCTCCTCCTCCTCCTCCTCCTCCTCCTCCTCCTCCTCCTCCTCCTCCTCCTCCTCCTCCCTCCCCTCTCCTCCTCCTCCTCCCTCCTCCTCCTCCTCCTCCTCCTCCTCCTCCTCCTCCTCCTCCTCCTCCTCCTCCTCCTCCTCCTCCTCCTCCTCCTCCTCCTCCTCCCCCTCCCCCCCTCCTCCCCCTCCTCCTCTTCCTGCTCCTCCTCCTCCTGTTGCTTCTCCTCCTCCTCCTGCTGCTCCCCCTCCTCCCCCTCCCCCTCCCCCTTTCTCCTCCCCCTTTCCTTCACCCTGAACCTCCCGCCCCTCAGTGGGAGGAGCCGGGCGAGGGCGAGCGGCAGGCAGCGGCGGCAGGCAGCGGGGGAGCTGGCGGCGACGGGCGCGCGCCGACGGCGGCCAGGAGCAGCAGGGCGAGCGCGAGTAGCAGCTCAGGGCGGTGGGGGTCCCAGAGCCTGTGTGTGAGGAGGGCAGGGGGAGAGAGCGAGAGAGAGAGAGAGAGAGAGCGAGAGAGAAAGAGAGCGATGAAGACAGCGGCGGTCCTCCTCCTGTTCCTCCTCCTGCCGTCTCCTTTTCCGCCTCGTCCTCTTCGTCTCTCCCTCCTGGGGCTGGCACATGCCCGCTCGGCGGCCGAGGGCGGGGTGGGCCGCCGACCACGAAACGCGAGGTTGTGGCAATAGTGAGGAACGCCAGAGAGGAGGCGGCGGAACAGGCGGCAGGGAGGAAGGCTGGTAAGGAGGATACGGAGGTACAAAGCATACAGGCACCTGAATGATAGACGAGTCACGCTCTGAATGAAAAACCGAGCCCTCGAGGCCGCGTCTCGAACCATTCGCAAACAAGCTTCTCGAGTTACATTTGTCTGGGGCCAGTTGTTCATGCCAGGTCGTATATTTGGACGGCCCTGGGGCCCCAGGAACCAACCTCCGGAAACCGAGAACTATGACAAAAGCTGCCGTCACGATCTTCGCTGCAGCGCCTGCTGTCCCGACTGCCTACCCGGGGGCAACTTTTCGTCCCAGATCCGTTTTGATGGCACGGAGGCTGGTTGATTTTGTTCATGGTCGAGGGCATGCACGCTTTGGAATGCTCCATAACGGCACACTTGCTTGTCATCTGACAATGCCTGCCTCGATGTGAGTTGTCAAGGATACGCCAAAACGTTGATGAACATGAAAATGGACCGCGCGCGAGCTCCAATTGAGATTCGCGCTCTGGAAAGGGCGGCGCTGTCGGCCCGCTGGGGATGTCCTGCCGTGTAGGCCACGAGTGGCGCGACAACGCATGCAGGCTTCGTGCCTGTGCCTAACGCCGAACCCTCCTGCATTGTTGCCCCCTCGCATTCCCCACGCCGAGGCCCGGGCACGATTTCGTGGACCCGGAAACCGAAGAGCACAGAAACGCCGGGATCTGAATCATGGCGTCGGAGCTCTGAGGGTCTGCTTGCCTCTTTTTTTTTGTATGCCAAGGGCCTGGGAGCGCGCCCCGCGTGGACGGGCGGAGGCGGGGCGAGCCCTTGCAGCGAGCCAGCCGCGGCGCCGGCGGCCCCCAGGCCCGCACTCCGCGGCGCCACATCCTCTCGGCGCCCGCGGGAAGGGGGGGTGGCGGCCTGGAACGGGAAGGCTCTCTGCCCAGTCTCCCTCCCCCCTGAGGATCTGGCGTCGCGATCTCTTCACAACGGGCGAAGTTGTCCTGCGTCGGGCCCCGGGACCATCACGGATCGATCCGGCTGCAGAAGGATGGGGTCTAAAGCTCCACATGCGATTGTTGAAGAGGTTTCACTACGTCGGACCTCAGGACCTGCCCCTTCCCGCCTGCCCGCCTGCCTGCCCAGTTCTGCCTGCCCTGGCCTCTTGCATGCGCGTTCGTCGTCGCTTGCTTGCTCCTCCCTCCTTTCCTCCTTCTTTAGAAAACAAGAGCGATATTCACAGATTTGTTTCGCGCTCCGCGCGGATATTTTGGAACTGCGCTGGACACCCTTTCCTGGCGCGCTCTGCGTGCCAGGGGCGGCGCCAGAGGCGTTGCCAGGGGGGCGCAGCGCGGATGCAAGAATTCCGCGCGGAACGCCAACAATCTTTGTTTTTGTTTGTTCCATCTTAGATTATTCGAGCTCTCTTTGATGGGGCAGCACAGCCTGCCAGGATATGCCGCATCGAGATCGTCTTCGGCCGCTGCGCAGAGGGTCGGGGGGCGGACCTCTCAGAGGGGGACCTCTCAGGGATCGCTGGCCAGAGCGGGGCCTCTCAGAGGCTGGGCCGCGGGCCTGGCCGCTGCGCGGAACGCCCAGCCGCAACTTCGAGGAGCGACGGGGTCGCGCCCTTGCTCCCTGTGTGCCCGGCCAGGCTCGAGCCGCGCAGGGAGACGCTCACCAGCACGGACTCGAGGGTGGAAGGCAGGGGGGGGGGGAAGGGGGAGCTTCCATTCAGCTTCGCTCCGCCTCGGGGGTGCCACTCGGAACTTCCGAGGGGATCGGAGACCGTCCAGCGCAGGCATGGGAAGACGTCCAGCAGTGAATCGTGCCCTCGAGCGGCGGGCCTGGAGGTGGCCGCGAGATGCCTCCTCCTGCCAGGAGCGCGGGTGTGGTGAGGCTTCTCGTGGGTCGCCTTCGCAAGGGAAGACGAAGGACTCTGGAATCGAACCAGGCCTCGCCCGAATCTCCCGAGAACCCCAGAACTCCCTTTTACCCCTCCTCCACACCCTCCTCTTCCTCGATCCGCTCCTCCTCCCCCTCCTCCTCCTCCTCTTCCTCCTCCTCGTACTCCTCTTCTTCCTTTTCCTCCTCCGCCTCCTCCCTCCCTCCCTCCCTCCCTTCCTCTCCTCTTATCGCTGCTCCTCGTCCTCCTCGTCGCCGTCCTCGTACTCTCTTCTCTCTGGCGCTCCCCCTCCCCTCCTCTCCTCCCTTCGTCCTGCCGATCCTCCCTACGCCCCTCCTCCAGCTGCTGCTGCTGCTGCTCCTGCTCCTCCTCCTCCTGCTTTTCATCTATTGCATCATCCCTCTTCACCTCCCCATCTTCCTCCCCGTGATCCTCCTCTTCCGTGTCCTCTTGCTGTTGATCACCTTCCTTCACTACCAACCGGCAGATGTCCAGGTCCAGGAGTATCGCGTTCCCTGCCCTTGCGCAGCTGCCCGCGGCCCACCTGGAGTGCAAGCACCGGCACCAGCACCAGCGCACGATTAGGGCACGCGGATCCCCATCCGTTACGCCAGATTCGCTGATTTTGCAGGGCAAGGCTCTTGCCATGGACTGGGTCCTCCTGGCTACATGCGGGCACATTCATCGTCAACGACTCCGCCCTCCTCCTCCTCCTCCTCCTCCGCATGCTCCAAATCCCCCTCCTTCTCCTCCTCCCCCCCTCCCCTGCTGCTCCTGGTCTTTTAGCATCGCCTGCTCAGCATCTGCCTCCCGCTCCTCACTGTGCTAACGCCTTCCTCCCTCTCCCTCTCCCCGCCCGCTCCACTAGCCCCTCCTCCCATGCTGCTGTTTCTCATCCTTCTCCTCCTTCTCCACCTTGATCTCCCTTTCCTCGTCCTACTTCCTCCGATCTCCTCTGCCCCTTTTCTGGAAGTGCGGGGGCAAAGGGTCAGGTAGTAGGTCGGGCGGACCGCCGTGGTGTGTGGCTCATGCCGGGAATTCGACACCGCATGGGAAGGTAGACCCTCTTCCTTATCCATCTCGTCTTTCTCCTCCTGGTCCTCGTCGTCCACCTCGACGTCATCCATATCGTCATCCTCCCACTCTTCCCTCTATCTAACCACTTCCTGATTGCCCCTCCTCCTTTTTGAACCAACGTAAGCGTCCCCTGGTGCCTCCAAGCCCACGCGCAGATCAACCGCAATCCAGGAGGAAGCCTGCTGGGAGGCGGGCCTCTGGTTCTCCAGGCCACCTGCGGCAATTTCGTGTCGTAACGACCCCGGCCTTGGTTTCTGACACCGCGTGGATCGTTCAACCTCAAACGATTGGCGGCCCTTAGATCGCCGCGTCGCTCCATACGGTAGAAGCTCAACCACAAGACACCTTCCACAAGAAACCTAACCCTGAGACCCCAGAACGTCGATTGAGTTTTCGTGTGGGAGAAAGGTCACGCTCTCCGTGGCAAAACCATCGAAGCCCAAGATATCCAGGACACTCTGGAGGCAAGCAGGGTGTTTCTTGACATGGGTTTCCACTGTAACCTCGGCAATCGGGGATCTCCTGACCCGGGTTAATCCAAACCTGGGTCAGTCAGGCCTGCCAAGATCCTGCAGGATCCTGCGCCCACACCCGGGTCAAAGCGCCCCTGGCCCTGCAGTATCATTCGAGATCCGGCGGTCTGGCAGACCCCCGTTTGCACCGATCCCCGTCTCTGGAGCCTCGAGGTCATCTCCGCGCCTTTGCGCCTTCGCCCCCTTGCAGGATGGCCCCAGGCCGCGAAGCGGCCGCACCCTCGCGCATCCCCCCGCGGGCGCCCCGGACCATCTCACTGATCCCTGTGGGCGCCCACAGCTACAGCAGCACCGAACACCGACCGGATCGACAGCGAGACCGAAACAGACCGAGACCGAACAAAGCACCGAAATCCGCCGATCCGGCGTGTGAGCTACAAGGAGCCTCAGCAAGAGCTCCAGCTCTGAGCCTGAGCAAGAGCTTCAGCTCTGCTTGGGGGAGGGTCGCCGGGGTGGCTCTGCCGGGGAAGGGGGGAGGTGGGGGGGGGGGGGGCGGTCCCCCATCATGCGTTGTCTTAATGATTTGCGCATCCCCAAAATGTTTCGGGGGGTCCTGGGGACCCCCCTCAGATCTAGCCGCTACCGCCCCCAAGACTCCCCTCGGAACCCTCCCCGGACCCTCCCTGGGGAAAGGGGGGAGGGGGGGGGGGGCGGTCCCTCATCTTGCGTTCTCTTATGACTTGCGCATATGGAGGAGGGAGGAAGGAGGCCACAGAGCCGCGAAGATTAGCGAATCTGGAGCCCCCCAGATCGGCGGCACTGGCGGGAGACCTTTACAATAAACTCGGCTACGCGCAAAATTTCCCGTCCATTCGCTCGCTTGATCTCCCCGCCGAGGCAGCGGAAGTCCTCGGAGCTCGGGCCTCTGGCCGATGTGGACGGCACTGGTGGCCCTGCCGGCGAGGGCGGTCCCGCCGCGGCGGGTGCCGGCGGCGCCGCTGGCGCAGCCCGCGCAGCGGCACCGAGGGCCGCCGCCTCGGGCGGCGCGCCCGGCGCCGTGCTGCTCCTGCGGGCTCGCTGCAGCGGCGCAGGGCGCCCGGCGGCCCCGTGGCCCGAGCGCGAGAACGAGCCCGAGACAACCCCGAGCCCCGAGCCCGAGCACCGGGCCCAAGAACGAGCCCGAGCCCAAGACCGAGAACGACCCCAAGAACGACCCCGAGCCCCGAGCCCGAGCCCGAGCACGCACGAGCCCCAGCCCGAGCCCGAGGCTGCGGGCGCATGCCGCTGCGAAGGGCGCCAGGCGCAAAAATGACATAGCAACCTTACGCCGCGGCTTATTACGCGGGCCGCCAGCCTGGCACGATTGGAGACGAGGGCGCTTACGCGCGATTTCACGCGGGCAGCTTGCGCGCGAATTCCACGCACATGGCCCCGCTTTTTTTCTGCGTCGCCCAATTGAGCGATGAGAATAAGCAAGTCTTACGCGAGCTATGTGATGCTAGCTATGAGATGCTAGCTATGCGGTGCACATCTTATGGCGTGCGATCTATGATTTGAAAGCTCTGTGGTGCACTCGGTGTGTTGGAAACTATGCAGCGCACTCTGTCTGTGCAGCTGGACACGTCAGCCAGCGCACCAGGCGCCCACGAGGCGCCCACGGGTAGGCACCGAACCGAAACGCGCGGAATCCAGCCAACGCGCGAGGCGCCCAGGAGGCGCCCACTCGCGGACACTGGGAAAAAACGAAAGACTCCAACCGGTGCACGAGGCGCCCACGAAACGCCAACGGGCAGGCATCGGGAGAACGCCCGGGGAACCCACACACGTATTGAGGAATGAAAGAACCCCTTAGTGCTCCCCCGTTATACAAGCTGGGGTCTTCCATGGGTCCGAAAGAAACCCAAGGAACACCGCATCCCATCCGAGCAGCAAAATGTATGTTTCGCAACGCAGGCCACGATTCTACTTGTGACCCCGTCTCCTGATTGACGATGCGGACGTGAAAGTGGCTGTAGTAGTGGATGCGGAAGCGAACATGGCCGTCGTTGTGGATACAGAAGCAGGCACTGTGGCCGCAGTGGTGGACCCGCTGGCGGGGCCAGTGGGAGTGGCAGGCAGTAGGCCTGGCCAACTCCTGGCAATCGGTGGCAATAGATCCTTCCAACCGTTCCAACTTGGCACTGCCGCCGCCGTCGTTGCGGACAACTTGGCCGTCGTCGTGGACTCGTTGGTAGACGTGGCTGGACCAGTAGTAGACCTGCTCTCCACGCCCGCAAACATCACACGTCCTGATCATCTGATCGTCAATCCTCTCTCTCTCTCTCCAACGTGTCCCCATCTTCGTTCATCCGCTCATTCGCTCACTCACTCACATGCTATTCCCACCACCCAAAGGAACGTAAAACGGCGATGTAAAGGCTGAAACAGAAAACAATGGATAGGCCGCACAATACGGAACGGCCGTTTCTCTCCGTAACTGGGAAACAAAGAATGGCAAGGAATGGCAGTGGAACGTTTCCCACTGCCCACACTATCAAAATTGGACACCAACTTCAATCCATTGGAGGTTATTGCAAGTCTCATCGCACTGATCACCATATCTTTCAGTAATGCTGTGTGCGCCACGGAAATTCAAACCAATACCCTACAGGCTATCATCTCCACTCCCGCTACTCACATTCAGATGCGAAGAAACCATGCGATGACATCCAAGGGGTGATACTGCCTCGTAACAAGTCGAACAGGTATATCCGCAAATAACGTGTCACATAATGTGCTCTTCCATGGCCATCCATTAAACTTTGGCTGAACAAATGCCAACGCTCTCTCAACATCCGGTGTAGAGGCTACTGTGCGGCAACCGTCACTCCGACTCTGGGGACTCAGATTAAGAAATCCACTTGCAAAAGACCCACACCAACTTTGAACAACAGCGTGAGAATATGGCTTGACATATATTTTGTTAATCAGCACGCAACGCAGTAACGAACACAATAGCACTGCAGCCGAGCATGGCAGACGAACGCTGCAAAACGAACGATGATGTCATACACAGGGCAGAACCAACTGCAGTAATATCGAAATCATGTGCACATGACTGGCACACGATGAGATCGTGCAAGCGCATGCGAAAACGATATCAGATAACCAAGTACGGCCATACCAACATGTGGAGTGTATCGAAGCCATGTGGAGTCATCAATGCTGAATATTGTAAATGCACTCGAGGGAGCTCAACTCATACATTTTGCGGCTCTGCCACGCGCTCCTGGGACTTTCCGCGCGGCTTTTTCCAAGGTTCAGGGGTGCGTGGTTGGGGGTACCAACCTCCAACATGCCCTCAAATGATCCCTGATGTCAGTGCCGAAGCCGCCCTGGGGAGAGGTCGTGGGGGCTGCCCTAAGAAACTCAAATCATTGGAACCCCTTGGGTTTGTGTTCTCCAAACAATGCTTGCACCTAGGGGCTCTTATTTCTCAAACACGGAACTGGGCCTGGGTGTTAGTATAGCCGGCTTGTTGTCGCAGTCGCCGCCGTCCGTCGCCGCTGCTTCTGCGATTGGGTATTGGTCGCGGCGCTAGTTGTCGCCGTCGCCGACCGTCGCCGCCGTCCGTCGCCGCTCCATTGCGCCTGGGTCTCGGTCGCCGCGCTTGGTGTCGCTGTCGCCGCCTGTCGCCACCTCGTCGCCGCCCGTCGCCGCCGCCCCGCTGCACCCCCCCAACTGCTGCAATGCTATCGACAACGAGCGTTTGTATTTTTTTGTATGTACATAGTATGTATGCAGGTGTGTGTGTCTCTCTATATATATGTATATGTCCACACTGGTTGCACCACATAGATTGCACGACATGTAGGGCAATACCTAGATCACACCACGTAGCACTACATAGGTTACACCACGTAGCTCGCATTGCGTTGATGGCACAACATAGCTTACACCACATATACGGTTTTAGTGTAGATCGTATTTTGCAGTTGGTCTGATTTATATATATATATATATATATATATATATAGATACTAGAACCACGCGCGCCCTTTGCGCGCGCTTAGGTTCTAGTCCAGCCCATGGCGCTGTGATGAAACGGAGGTCGGGGTTTCCAGGCGACTCGCAATCGGAGAAGAGTTGTGTCAGTCGTGGCCCGGTTATGGGATGTCGCAGGGCCCCCTTGGGCTGTCTTTTGGACTTTTACGGCGCTCTTGTGGGGGGGGGGCAGGGGTTTGTGGCGCCGATGGCGCCGTCCAGGGTTGCCTCTTCGTTGTCACGACGCGCAGGTCTTGGCTTGTGGGTTCGTCGAGGAGATCGCTGAACAGGCTTGGGGCATTGACTGGCTTTACGATGAAATGTCGCGGCCGGAGTTTGCTGGTCTTTGGATGTCGTCACATGTTCTTGGCTTGTCTTGCCGAACATGTGCGGGAGGGACGAGGAATGACGGAGGACGGGACGAAAACTGCCCTGAAATAGAATGCACGCGCTGCCACGCCAGCTGGCGGAGCACGTGCAGAAGAAACCCAGAGGACGGAGAACAAACTGCCTTAACACATAATGCACGCGCTGTCACGCCGGGTGGTAGAGCACTTGCAGGAAGATCGAAGAAAGACGGACGAAGGAGGAACACAGCCGTGCTATAAAATGCACGCGCTGACACGCCAACTGGCGGAGCATGTGCAGGACGAAGGAGCGGTAACGGAGCACGGAGAGAAAGCCGCCTTGAAACGGCATGCACGCGCTGTCACGCCGGCTGGCGGAGCACGTGCAGGCGGGACGAGGAAAGACCGACAGGAGGCAGAAAGACATATGGAAGAAACAGGAACTCTCTTGAGCCGTCTCGGGTCCTGCTGGGACGTGCCCAGACCGTTTTCGTGTTGTCTCCTCACGCTGTGATAGCATACCAACCATGTTGGGGCATCTTGGGACCCAGGTCTCTTTCGAAATCTCTCGGAGCCCAGTTGGAGCCTCTTCGGAGTCTCCTGGAGGCTTCCCAGAGTCCTCCTGGGGTCTCTTGGGGGCCTCTTTGCGTTTTCTTTTGGGCCTCCCAGGGGCCTCTTTCGGCCTGCCCTGTTGGGCACCTATAGGCGGCATCCTGGGGCCCTCTTGGGCCGTCTTCGGGTTTTCTTGGTCCATCTTGGGGCCCTCTTGAGCCGTCTAGGGGCACTCTTGAGAGCCTCATGGGCAGTCTGTGGGCGTTTTTGGAGACCTATGGGGTTGTCTTTGACTGTGTTAAAACTAAAAAAAGCGAATCTACTAAAAAGTGCAAGTTTTCCTGAGGGGATGGAGCACTCTTGCGGGTCCTCTTGGATTGGTCTTGGATCGTCGTGGACGCCTCCCCTCTAGAGCCGCCTTGACGGCGGTCTGGGGAACCTCTTGACCCGTCTGGGAGCGTTGGAAGCCCGAAATCAATCAAAAAACTAAAGGACAATATCTAAAGTTAGGCTCTCGGAGCACTCGTCGGGCTGCTATTTGAACCTTCTTGGGCCGTCTGGAACCTCTGGAAGCCGTCTTCAAGGCAGCTCGGGGCAATCTTGGTCCGTCGGGACGGCTGTCTGATCGGCCTGGGCCCTGTTTGGCGGCCCCCAACAGCGGGCCCTGGCACCGAAGAGAGAAGTGCATGGGCAGGAAAAATAAGCGCCGACGCTGCCGCCGCCAGGCGCTGTGAAACTATGAAGCCACCCGGCGTCGCCAGTTCCACGGGCAAGTGGTCTCTAAAGATCTGTTCGTGCAAGCCCTTCTCGCCAAATTTTCGGGCCCCGGGCCTGCTCCCCCGGCCCTAACGACAAGGGTCGCTGCCGCTCCACCCATTAACAGAAACAAAGAAAACCTGTGCCAATCAGGCGGCGTCCCAGGAACGGTCTCGGTGCAGGTTTCTGGGGAAGCCTCTCAGAAGCCCGTTGGGGCCCTCTGGGGGTCTCCCGGGGGCTTTTTGGGAACCTCGGGGGGCCTCTTGGAAGCCTCTTGGGGGGGCCTCTGGAGGCCCTTGGGGGCCTCTTTGGGCCTCTTGGAAGTCTCTTAGGGGGCTCTTGGGGGGCCCCTTGGCCCGGGGGGGGCTGGAAGGTTCAGTTGTGTGTCCCGTCTTGGGCCCCTCTTGGCGCCCTTCGGGGACGCGTTTGGGCCGTCCTGGGCACCTCTTGGACTGTCCGGGGCCCCTCTGGGGCCGTCTTGGGACTCTCTTGTGGGCTTCGTGGGCCGTCTTGGGGCGGTCTAGGGAGAGTCCGAAGTCGTAAAGGACGGTACGAAGGCTAAAACATCGAATATGGTAAAAATGTACGTTTTACCACGGGAACGGGGCTATTTTTGCTTCCCGGGAGGGGGTCTTCGAGCGTCTTGGAAGCGTTTGGGGCGGTCTGGGGCGGTTCGAGACGCCTCTTGAGCCGCCGGAGGCCGCTGGAGGTTGTCTTCAGGGTGGCTCTGGGCGGCCTGGGGTTGCCTGGACGGCCGTCTGGGCGCTCCTGGGGCCGACCTCGGGCTCGGCGGGGAGCGGGCTGGGCCCGACGTCCCCCCATTTGTGGTCGGGGCTGCGGCCCCGGGCCCCCCGGGCCCGGTGCGGCGTTATATGTATGTAGATATTGTGCCACACCGCTTACACCACACCACATAGTTTACACCGCATCTGTTGCTGAGCGTCTAGTCTCTTTTCTAAAAAAGAATAGACTCTACCCCCCCGGAGTTAACGGTTCACCTTTTCGTATTGCAATTTGCAAATGGTTTTGCCCCATCGTCCATCTTAAATATGAATTCGTACTCTCCCAGCCAGGCCGGTAACACTCCCCCTCGCAATCCTCTGCAACAAAATACTCTGCGCGCGCACTCGTTGATCAGCAATCATAAGTTTTCGAGAGTCCCTCGCAAACAATGGGACGAAGTGCACACGCGCGCGTCGTCGCGCACGCATGCCGAAATCCTTCAAAAACCTTCGGTTTCGGAAAGATTTCGAAATCGAGCTTCCAGAGAATATAGAAGAACACATGTTTTCGCAACGCTGATTTCTGAAAAAAACTTACGCGTGCGCTGTTGCGAATTCTTACGAAAACCATAGGTCTTTCAACGTGTTCAAAAAATACAACCAAACGGGCTTCGCGCGCGCATGTCGAAATCTTTCGAACGCCCTTTGAGCGCGTGCCATCGCGAGAATCCTCCTCTGCAGAACAATGTGACAAAGTGCAGACACGCGCGTCGTCGCGCGCGCATGCCGAACTCCTTCAAAAACCTTCAATTCCAGCGGAAGGATCTCAAAATCGTGTGCAAAAAACATACAAAAACACAAGGTTTCGCAACACGAGTTTTCAACAAAAGCGTGCGCGCGCGCTCTTGCGTCGTCGTTGTCGTCGTCGTCGCCGTCCTCCCTCCTCCCTCGTCGTCGTCGTCGTCGCCGTCGTCGTCCTCTGTCTTTCCTCGTCGTCGTCGTCAATCTTGGCGTCGTCGTCGTCTCCGTCGTCGTTGTCGCCGTGGTCGTCCTTCCTCCCTCGTCGTCTTCGTCGGCGTTTCGTCGATGTCTCTCCTATTTCGTCGCCATCGTCGTCGTCGTGGTCTTCCCTCCTCCCTCGTCGTTGCCGTCGTCGCCGTCGTCGTCCTCCCTCCTCCCTCCTCCCTTGTCGTCGCGTCGTCGTCGTCTTCGTTGGTGACGTCGTCGTCGTCGTCGTTGTCGTCTTCGTCGTCGCCGTCGTCGTCGTCGTCGCCGTCGTCGTCGTCGGCGTCGTCGCCGTCGTCGTCGTCGTCGTCGTCGGCGGCGTCGTCGTCGTCGTCGTCGGCGTCGTCGTCGTCGTCGGTGTTGTCGTTGTCGTCGGTGTTGTCGTTGTTGTCGTCGTCGTCGTCGTCGAAGTCGTTGGAGGCTCGCTCGCAACGTCTACAATTGTCGACGTTGCCATGGTACCGCGCCTGCCCAAGTCGCCGACTCGCAATGAAGTGTCCGCTGGTATGTGCCCAACGATCAGCGCCACCGCGGCCGCGTCGGCCGCGCCAAACCAGCTGGCCGCTGCGCGCGCGTGCTTGGGTTGGCGCGGCCGCAGAGACACACCAGCCAACGCCGAGCATGCATCGCAATCGCAACCTTATGGGTTTTGCAAACCAAGTTGCGGGTGGGCGGGTGGGAGGTTTGCAAGAGCACGGGGTGTGTCAACTCGTTTGTTAAAACCAATTGCACCTCATGTTCTGCACTAGGCAAATCGAAACCCATACATTGCACCACATGTAATACACCACATAGATTGCACCACATGTAGTGTACTACTTCGCCCAAACAGGATCGATCTGACTACATATACTGTACCACGTAGCTTGCACCACATAGCTCACACCACATAGATAAAATACTCTAGCTCCACATAAAGGACACAACATCGATGAACATATGAATACATACATTGCATTGCACAGATGACACAACTTAGATTGCGCACCACATGCGGTGCACCACCGAGCTTGCACCACATACGTTGCACCAGGTATATTGCACCACACAGCTTGCATCGCATATCTTGCACCACATATATTACACCACGTATATGGAACCACTTAGTATGCTAGCACACACTGTTAGGTCCCCACGCTGGTTAACATAATTATGCTTGTCACATTCTGGGCGTTACTGTCTCAAGAGCGTTTTCGATGGCCCACGAGACCTCCATGAATGTTCTAAGAAGGCCTCCAAGTTGACATTTGGAGAAACGCAGTCCAAGATCCGAACTCCCGAACAGGCATCCAAGAGGCGTTCAAAATATGTCCTAAGATACCCTAAGCGGCCCATCGTAGCATCTTGACCACACGCAAGCGCGGTGGTGAGACAAACTGAACGCGACTAGATCCAACGCCCCCGGTTGCTGGCAAGAGGTCGCTCAGTGTGCCGAGAATTGAACTCCGAACTCCTTGAACCCGCCAAGGTTTCGAGGAACTGCGCCCGGCGCCAGTGCCGGAACCAGCAGCGTGCAGCAGACTTCAAGGGGTGCCGAGCTCTCTCTCTCTCTCTCTCTCTCTCTCTCTCTCTCTCTAGCAAAACACCCGTTAGCGTGAGGGCGACCCAGGACCAGACCCGGCGACCGCAGGCCCGACAAAAAACTGGCGGCCGCACCGCCCTCTCGAGAACCGCAGAGGGGGGCCGCCTTGCTGGGGGAGAGGCTCTACAGTCAAGCTGCTGCCATGAGGGACGCCAGATAAGGAACGAAGCCCCTTAATTAGAGGGCAGGAAGTCCACCCCTATGAGAATCACCCCGACAAGCGAAGCCGTTTTGTAAACGCACGCAAGGAAGGAATCGAACAGGGCAGGGCTGCTTAATAAACGCCCAGGGCCGTTTAGTAAGCAGCAATGATCGGGTCCGGGATGTTTTTCTTCCATTGAATAAGGGACGCCGGATAAGGAACGAAGCCCCTTCATGGCCCCCAAAGCGCCTGTGTGGGGGAGGACGAGCACCAGAGAAACGCCCATGGAAGGACTTAAGGAACATCCAGCCCCTTCCGAACCTCATGCTGTTCCTTCTGTCAGCGTCTTGACTGCTTCAACCTCGGAAGACTTTGCAATCCCCCTTTCCCTGGGTGAGCCTTCATGGGGGCATCTGTGGACCTCCGCGGCCCTATAAGCAAAGTGACTTCGACCACATGTCGTCCAGACTTCGACCACCCCTCTTCACCCTTTCGTCCAGATTTCGTCAAAATTTCGTTTCGATTTCGTTTCGATTTCGTCCCGATTTCGACCGTATCCGGCGAAATCTACACGAAACCGCAAGAAATTGTGGGACCCTCTGGGGCCCCCATGAATGACAACACAACTCTCCCCGCCCCCCTCGGGGCACGACTAGCCCGCCGCCCGACGTCGGCGCAAGAGTGCTCTGGCCCGCTGACGCGCCCGGTGCCGGCGCGGACGCGTTCTGGTCCTCTGGCCGAGCGTCGACGGGGGAGGCGCTGGTGCAGGGACGGAGGGGGGGCAGGGGCAGGGGGCCCCAGAGCCGTGTGGTGACGGGCAGCGCGGTGACCTCGGAGCACACAACTACCTCACCGCGCGGTGGGTCACCGCGAGGGTTTTGGAGGCCTGTGGGGGCCACGGCCGCCCGAGGCGTCCTCGGAGAACGACAACAGTCCCAAAACCCGCAAGCGTGCGGTGACCTGGAATCCCCACTGGCTCACCACGCGGTGTGGTCACCGCACCCAATGGGGGCCTCCGAGAGGAGGAGGGGGGAGGGATGGAGGCCAAGCTGGGTGTGCACCCCTCCCGCCCATCCCGTCCCATTGCGCTGATCATGCGTCCTCTCACCGAATCGGGTATCGAATCGGACCTTCATGCCGAGATGGGACAGAGGGGGCCAAGAAGCCGTGACGCGCAGACCGATGCCGAGGCCTCGGAGCGGCTTCGACGCAGAGATAAAGGAGCCAAAACGCGACAGCGGGACCACTACTCCGAAAGGCCAACACGCAGATTGAGGTCAGCGCGACAGTGGGACCTCCATTGAGAAGGGCCGTGCACGCGAATACGAGGCCAATGCTGCAGCGGGGGCGCCATTTTGGAAGGACCGAGAACGCGGAAATAGTGCCGACGCTGCAGCGTGAGCGCAGTTTTGGAAGGAGCGCAACCGATCGTACTGAAAAACACATAGGCAAAGCTCGTCCGTGCAACTCAGGTTAAGAACAATACGCACGTGGACCGAGTTGAGGAATCACGTAAGAAACGCTCGGCCGCGCACAACGTGTTTGCGCGTGTAAAAAGCCAATGCGCGGAGGGGAGGCGGCTACTCTCAGCACGCCGTCGGGGAAGAGAGGAGAGTATTTATACTGTGTAATTGTGGGCGAGGTGCCGAGGAGAAGGTGCAGAATGCGGGGAAGACATGCAGGTGAGGGATCGACCAGTGCAGCGGAAAAGGGGGAGAGAAGAGGGGGAAGGAGAGGGGTCGATCGGTGCGGGGAGAGAAGACGAGGAAAGGGAAGGGGACAGAGAATCGGGGGAGAGGGAGGGAGGATGCCATCCGGCGAGGCCCATCCGAGAGCCGACCTCGCCATTCGCGCGCGCGACGCTGCTGTGTAACAGAAGCGATGTGTCTCATCGAATGCGCACTGCAAGCGTGCGGGAATCACGTGCGGGGGGCGCTTGGATGAACAAGGTCTGGAGGGTGGGTCCGAGACCGCCCCCCACAGAAAAATTAATTCCGCCGACCATTCGGCGTGTGTGAAACGCTTTCTCGCTTGAGTTGTCATCGTCGTCAGGGGCCTCCAAGAGCACTCCCACAATGGCCCCACGAGGCAAAATTCACTGATTTCCCTGAGGTTTTTGACAGATTATGGCGTTGTCACCTTTTCGGCTTCCCGACGCTCCAAGAGTATCAAGAGGCCCTCAAGATCGCCCCAAGCAGGCCCAAGAGGCGAGGCCCCCAAGACGGCCCCCAGGAAGCCTCAATATGCCCCAAAGAGGCCCCCGAGAGGCTCATAAGTGGCTCCAAGGAGGCTGCAAAACGGCCCCACCAGAGGCCCCGAAAGCGCTCCGAAGAGATCCCAAGAAGCATCCTTGAGAACTCTGACCCACGTCAGCGTCGCCGCCGCCGCCGCCGCCACCGTCATCGCCGCTGTCGTCGCCGCCGCCGCCGCCGTCGCCATCGCCGTCGCCGTCGCCGTCGCCGTCGCCGTCGCCGTCGCCGTCGCCGTCGCCGTCGCCGTCGCCGTCGTCGTCGTCGTCGTCGTCGTCGTCCTCGTCGTCGTCGTCGTCGTCGTCGTCGTCGTCGTCGTCGTCGTCCCCCTTCAAGGTCGGTGGCACCGGCCGTAAGGCCTTCGCAATAGTATGGCTCTCTTTGAACATGTTCCCACCTTCGCGATGACATACATTGCACTACCATCGTGGCCACTTTATAAACAACATACAGCACTTTACATGTTTCTTTGACACGGCGCGGGCGAACGCACGGCGCGGGACAGCCAGAGGCACTCTACAAGCAACATGGGTTTCCAGAAAGATCCCGTCACAACAGGGATGACCACGTTCAGAGTGGCAAAAAGCGGCATGAGCATGATCTTTCGGAGGTTCGCCCGGACTCTTCGGATCCGCGCTGACCCCCCCCCCTTCTGGCGCGCGGAGCGCGTCAGGCGCGGCGCCGGGGGCGCCGCCAGGGGGGCCCAGCCTGTGCAGAAACCCGCGCAAAACTCCGACAGATTATGCTCATCCCCCTTCGAAGTGTACAAGCAATGATGTATAAACCTGATCAGCAAGCTTTTCCACGGAGCGCACCTCGCGATCTGACGCGCATTGGCTGCAAAGCGCGTCGTCTGCAAAATGGGCCTGTGCAGTCCGACCAGCCCTTCAGGGCGCAGGTGGTTCAGCGCGTTTCCTCTTCCAACCCCCTTCTTCCCCTTCGGGGAGGTGTTCCCCGACTTGATCGTCCCCCAGACCATCCTTTGTCAAACGACAACACAACATACAAATTGTGGCAACATCTGGATCATACGCGTGCGCCATGCGATCACTCTTTGTTTTTTGACACGGACGAGGATGGGTGGGCGGCATATTGTCTGCTGCGCGCAGGCCCATCACACTTGTCAAGAAACAATGCGACACAGAGTTTGCGGCATAATCCGGATCACGTGCTGGAGCCGGGGTGATGGGGGGGTGCCCTTGCGCGCGCGCGGTGCACCTCGAGGGCGTCGCGAATCTGGCTTGGTTCCAAGTGATTGTCGACGGCGGTCCCTGCGCATGCTGAGACTCAGGTGCTGCTGATGTGGCGGGAGGGCGAGTGGGAGTGAGCGAGACGGCCGCCCTTCGGGGGAAGTAGGTTGACCCTTTGGGGCCAAGTCTTGCCTCCTGGGGGGGGGGGCGCTTCGAAGGAACTCCCAGTTTGGATGGATCGGTACCTTGCCAGATGACAGCCCGAGAAGCCCTCAAGAGAGCCCGAAGAGGTTCCCCATAGGCACCCCCCAAACGCACTTAGCACGCTCCAAGAGGCCCCCCAAAAGCCAACATTATGCCCCCACGACACTCCTAGATGCCTCTAAGATGTCCTCACGAGACCCGGGGAAACATCTCAGGGGCCTCTGGCCCACACATGTCCCCAACGTCTCCAACTGATGCCGCGCCCCCCCGTTCGGCGTCGTGGAGTCGCTCGAAAACCAGGCCAACAGCGGCCAGGACTGGCCAGGCACTGCAGCGAACGAGCGCCGAAAAATGACGGCAAAGAGGCGGCCAGCTAGCCGAGCCGGACAGAGGCCGGGCGCGGGCGGCGAACGAGCATCGAAAATGGCGCCACGCACTTAACCTCATCGCAGCTCAGAAGCCAAAGACAACCGAGTCCAGGCGCCTGCGACGTCGACCTCCTCGAAAAAAAACTCACCACGACTCTGGCAAAGCGCGTGCCCATGCGGGAGAACAGCGCCGTCGTCGTCAACCGCAAAACTGCGAACCACGCCGCGTAAGCGGGGGGGCCCGAAGTGCTGCCAGTCTCCGTGCCCCACGAACCCCAAACGGCGGGACGAGTCGCCATGGGGCATCTGGCAGTGGAAGGCACGTGTGCTTCCGCCACAGAACCGATCACATACCACCAGGTGTCAAGCCCATGCAGCTCCTGCGCGGGACGGTGGACGGGCCAGAGACGGTAGATCGACGAACCACCTTGCCCGCGCGCCCTGGGGGGGCGCTGGGGGTCAGGGCCGCGCTGCGAATGGGGTCGCAGCTAAGGGCCGCGGAGGTATTGTTGCCAAGCTGTGAGTGGGGTCGCAGCTAACAGCTGCGGAAAAACTGCGTCAAAGGCGGCCCATGCGCCTCCGACGGGGGGCGTCCGCGGGGGGCGGTCGGGGCGGTCGAACCGGGACGGTCGTTGCCAGCGTGCTCCGACGCCCCAGCGGGAGCGCCGGCGCGCTGCGCCGAATCGGTCGCATGCACGGGCGAGGCGCGCGGTGCAGCCGCTGAGCCCGCGCCCCGCCTGCGGAAGGGGCAGCCGCAAGTGGGTGGGCGGGCCAGAAAGATCGGTCATCGAAGTGGGGTGAAGTGCAAGCGCCCCTGGAGGACGCGGCGAGGGCAGGCCAAACTGCAGAAGGGGGTCGCGGCTAACGGTCGCGGAGTCAGTGCGACGACGCGCGGCCCAGAGCACCGCCTGCGGGGGGGCAGCCGCAGGAGGGGGGCGGGCGGGCCGGCCCAATGAGACCGCGGCTCGCACGCCCTAGCGCCCCGGAGGGGGCGCCGAGGACACGGGCATGGTGCGAGTGGCGTTCGCAGCTAACAGCCGCAGAGCAAGTAGAGACATGGGGGAACGAGCCTCCTGAGAGGGGGCGTCTGCAGGAGGAGGGGCGGCGAGGATGGCGCGGCGGCGGGGCAAAGGGGGGCGGCGAGGGGGGGGCGGCTAACAGCCGCAGTCAGCGTGGACAGAGCGAGAGGCCGCCGGGCGGGAATCTGAAGGGCGCGGGCCGTCAGGCCGGGTGGCCAGCGAGGGTCGGGCGCCAGTCCGCGGGGCAGCGCGGGGCTGCAAAGAGTACCGCGGGGGCCCTAGCAGCGGCGGGGGGCCGCGCGGAGGTGGCCCGATCCCCGAGTCGCCTGCGGCGCGCCGGGGGGGGCGGCAATCGCCCAAGGGGAGAGAGGCTGCAAAATGGGGGGCTCTGAAGCCTAGGACGGGCCGGCAGCCCCAGCTGGGCGCGCCCAAGGCTGCATTGGCGCACGCGGGAGGGTGCGCAGGAGGAGCCAGCCCCGTTGGCCAGGAAAGGTTGGGCTCCGTGAGCCACGCTGATGTGCAGCGTGGGGCGGCTGCGTGCGTCGTTGCGCGCGCCCTTCTGCGCGGCCTGGGCGGGGCTTTGGAGCGCGCCCAAGGCTGCCGCGAGCCCGCTGCCCTTTCTGGGTCCCACCGTCCTCCAAAGGTTGTCACTGTCTTCGCGGGGCCCCCTGCCTTTGGCCTTGCCAGGGGCGCCCGCGGCCCTAGCTCTGTCGCTGAAACGAGCGCGGACTGCGCCCCAGTTAACCCCCGGACGGAGCGCTGCGTCCATCTTGAAGACATCGCATTTGTGACTGAGCAATTATGTGAGGAAGCGCACGCAGGAATCGGGGTGCTGGCGCGTGGGGCCAACGCAAATGCGGCCCGACGGCGGGGGATTTTTGGTCGCCCAATGGGTGCCGTAACCCGTTGAAGTATTCATCCAGGTCTCTCTGCAGTCGCTTCGCGGTTTCGGCAGGAGCTTCGCCAACGGGGCTCAGGATGTCGACTCGCTCCAAAAGGGCGCTATAGATGTAGAGTCCTGTGTCCGGGTTGAATAGGTCTTGCGAGTAGTCGGCTTGCGCGCTCCTGAAGGATGGCCAGGGGCCTGACCGGGGAGTGGGAGTAGGGGTGTGTGCGCACATGCGGGCCGACTCCAGCGGTCGTTGGCCTCCCAGCTGGACCACGCTGCCCGGTCTGTCCAATGGCCGCCGTAGAGGCTGCTGCGGCTGGTCTCGCGATGCCAGCGCGGGCGGCGCTCGCGCCACCCTTCGCCCCAGTCAAACTCATCCCGCATCGCATTGGTTGCCCGGGGATGCCAAGGGACGCCCGGGGAAAGCGGGGCTCCGCGCTCTGGGGCGCGCGCGAGGTCCCTGGCATCTTGCCCAGCAAGCGCGGGGGAGGCGCATGGACCATTGACGGGTGGTGTGGGGCTGCAGGACTTGTCGGCGGCCTCGGGGCTGCCAGAGGAGTGAATCTGCACGACCGGGGATTCCGAACTCGGGGTCGGAGACAGGGCCGCGGGCGCCTTGGCGGCCCCGGCGCGAAGAGGGCTTGCCGTCGAGAGAGCCAGCCGCAGAGGTTTCCGAGCCCGCGCCCCCGCGGCCGGCGGCGTCGTCGTCTTCAGTGGCGGGAGGGGGCTAGCCGAGTTGGCCACTCGGTGGGGGGCGTGCTCGGGGCTACCGCGTCGGTGGCAGATGCGCTAGCGGCAGGGCTCGCAAGCCGTGGGTGGGTATCATCAGGGGAGCGCGAACTGGCCGCACGGTTGTAGGGGGTGCTGGTGCCGCTCCGTAATTACTGACGACGCGGGGGGCGGTGCCACCTCGTTGCCCCAATCAGGGATTTCGTGTGTGTGTGTGGGGCAAATGTGTGGAATTCCGCTGGTGAGTCTGCCGCCTAAAATTGCTGCTCGCCGAACCCTGCCCAATATTCGTGGTAGCTGTGTTCCCTGATAGGGGCGGCGCCAATCTGTCTGCGCAGGTCCTGCGTGACCACTAAGGGGGCGTCCTTGGCCAGTTCCTTGAATGACTCAGAGGCGAGTCTACCTGAACTGACCTGCGCCAAGAAACCAACAAGGGCTTCCAGGGCGCGGCGAAGGGGGGAAGGACCGCGCGCGGGCCATTGACCGGCGTGCTGGAGCTATTCGGGCAGCATGGCGGGGTCGGTCGAGTGAGCGCAGAGGTGTGCGACCACGCGGGCGGCGGCACCGCTTGCCAGGTCAGTGGAAGTCGATGGGGAGGTAGGTGGGCGCCGCCAAGTCACGGTGGCCTTGGCAGTCTTTCGGGCATGGAAGCCTGTTGGCTCCAGGAAGAAGTCGTTTAGGTCGCCAAGGGTCGCCGCGGGGGGGAGCGCCGAGAGCGCGCGCTGGGGGCAGCGGGGTAGCGCGCCCACGGGGGGGGGGCCTGGATGGGGCCCTTGGCGAGCGCAACGGCCTGTGCCTCCTCGTTGAGAGAGTGGTCCGGGGACAGCTGGTGACCTTCCTTATCGACCACGCGCGTCCAGTACTGGGCGCGCAGCCATGTGCAGTCAAACCCGTAGGCGTGCGCCTGCAGGCGGTTCTGTGCAAGATGTGAGCGGATATGGTCGTCGAGCCAAGTGGCGTCGTTGTGCTTGAGGCCGGTCTTGTAGCAGTAGTCACACTTGTACCCTGCCGACTTCCTGTCTGCGCTGAAGCGAATGTCGCCGAGGGCCAGGTAGCAAGGGGTCTTGGTCGCACTGGGGGGCGGGGCAGGCGGCGGCGCTCTGCCCAGGGGGGCGAGCCCGAACGAGAATCCCCCGCTGAGGAGGGGCATCTCTGAGGGGCCGGCGTCGGGCCCCGGGCCGCCGCCGTTGCCTGCGAGGTCCTGGCAACGGAGACAGATGCTGCATCCCGACCGCGAGAGGCTGCCGACGTTAGCCGGCTTCGCAATCTCCTCCAGGGCCAGCATAAGGGGCCTTTAGCTTATAGGCGAAGCTCTGCATCTCAGCGTAAGTGGCGGGGCAAGGCGCGACCTTAGCGATGGGGCGATGGTGGGCAGTAGTCGCGAGCTTGTCCACCAAGGCGATCAGCCTCTCCAGTCGCCCGCGAAGTTGACAGAAGTCAGAGAGCTTGAGTCCCCAGGAGGCCGCGAACTGAGAGCGGAAGTGGCGGTGGTCGTTCTGCCAAGGGCAACAGACATTCAAGATGGCTTCAAACGTGCCCCCTGACCCGGAAGGGTCGGGGAAGGGCCAGAGATGGGCCCGGGGCTCGCGCTTCATGAGCAGCATGATGATGAGGGCGCAACGGGCCCTCTCGGTGGACATGATGCGGCCGTTGGGGTCAAGCAACTCGACGCGGTGCTGCGTGGTACCATCGTGGCCCTGTAGGAGGCTGACGAGTGTTTCATAGTCAGGGTAAACAATGTGGCGCGGGCAGGTCCTGGTCTCTTGGGACCATGCACGGGGTCCTGGTGTTGGAGGTCGGCCTTCAACCTGCTGTCTCGCAGCTCGTTGTCAGAAAATCCGACAAAGGGGGTTGTCCCAGGAAGTGCCCAGGCCGACGGACCAGACCAGGGTGGCCCAGGTCATGTTGTAAACCAGATTGCCCGCGCCCAGCCCTAGCTCCACGTCGAACAAATACCCCGCGTGGCTCCAGGCTTTCCCGTCGAAGTGCGCAGCGCTGGAGGGGGCGCCCTCGATGTTGTACTTGTGGGGGTGCAACCCCGCTACCAGAAAGAGGACGACGGAGAGGGCGGGGTCGGTGAGTAGATCTTCGAATGCTGCTTCCAACCGGTGGCCGAGGTCCCCCCGGCGCTGGTCGACCTCAGGGGGGAGGTCGTGCTGCACGTTGAAGCTCTTGGCGTGCTCGTCCCTCCTCTTGGCCACCTCCTGGGAGGATCGTACTTGGAGGGTAATCGCAGCTTGGAGTCGGCCATGGAAGGCATCATGCGGCCGTCTGCGATGACCACGACACCTCGCCTGGAGCGAGTGAGCCCGACATTGACTCTGTTGGGGTTGTCCACGAAACCCCGCGTGTGGTTGGAGTTGGACCGCGTAGTAAGGGAGATGACCAGGTCTGCTTTGCCACCCTGGCTGGCGTCGACTGTGGATAGGGTGGGCCGCCCCGAGGTGAGGTGCTGGTGGGCGATCTGGCGGATGCCGGGGAACACCAGACTCAAGCCGTTGGCGCAAGTGGGCCAGGGGCTGAAGGCCGTCCCCCGACCTTGCCTCTCGGGGATGTAGTCAGGGTCCCGGGGGTTGGGCGCCGTGTCGGCGCACGTGGATGTCTGGACCGAAGCAGCGGGGGAGTGACTCCGCTGCAGGGTGGCGGCAGGAGGGGGTGTCGGTGCCGTCGCGAAGGCGGCGGCCGGAAGCGCCCGGTGAGGCGGCACGCCGTGGTGGGAGGGGGTTAAGGGGCGGGCGGGGGTCGGAGTCGGGAGCGTCGGGAACATTTGTCGTCTTTCATCGCAATTTGCAGGGCTCGGGGGGTGAGCGGCCACCCATCCTTGAGAATTCCCGTCTGCAGCCTGTACGGGACAATGACCTTGACGGAGAGGCCCTTGTCCAGCTCTGGTAGCAGCGCCCGCACGAGATCAACGGTGATGGCGAAACGTTGAGAATCGCCGTGGGTTGCAAAGAGCCTGAATATTGTGGGCGGCGATGGTTCGCCCTCCCCCGTCCTCCTCCCAACAACCGCCCTCGTCCCTCCTCCGCGCAGGAGGAGGGAGATCGTGAAAACGGCGGGCGCGACGGCCACGTCCGCGACGAAGGCGGCGTCGACCGCAAAGGCGGTGGCGGCGACGACGCGAGGCTTCGGAACAGGGCTGGCCGCCGCCGCGTCAGAGGCCCAGGGCGGCGGGGCGCGGGAGGGTCCTCGCTGTTGGGGGACGGTCCCGCGTCTATGATGACCACCGAGACGGGCGAGCCTGCGCGGGAGGAGGGAACGGGGAGGGAGGGATGGGAGAGCAGGAGGGGGTGCGGGAGGCACGGGCACGGGAGGAGGAGGAGAAGAGGAGGAGGCACACCGTGCGGAGAAATCCACGTCAGACCAATGGCAAATACCGAAGCTGCTGCCTCCTCGGGATCCGCATGGCCAGAGCTATCGCCTGTACCTGTCCACGGGCTTCCCTGGGCGTGAGGGCGCGGGACGCAGAGCGGGCAAGGGGCGCAAGCAGGCGGTACCCATGGAAGAAACCGGCACAACACCGAAGATCCACCCCCACAAGGCCGAGACGACGCAGCCGATCCGCTGGCGGTGTCTGGCGGGTGGCAAGGGCGACCAATTCAGACAGCGGCTGGCATGAGAGGAGATAGTGGCGCAGATTATCTGGACAATCGCACCCAAGGAGGCACCGCGCATGTCGTTGCATACGAGTGTTTGTCGTCCATCCCCCAAGCCATGTCTTCAAGGCTGCCGAGACCCAGCTGGGGGGCTGAGTCCGGAGGAAGGTGGCCAACTCGTCCCAAACCCCCCCCCCAGCCCGAAAGTCCACCCCAAACCACTTGACCACCCTCCTCCGGACGAGCTCCTGCTAGTCATTTTGGAACACGTGCTCGGCAATCGAAGTTTCGAAGACCCTCTGCCACTTGGGGCGAACCTCCGTAGACCCAAAACGCCACCGTTCAAGAGCCTGCCGTCCTCCCGCCCGCAGTTTTGGGTCCTCGGGGAAGCCCGACGCGGCCTTTTCGAGGGACACCGCGATGCAAGACATCCTCCAGAATTGCGGGGCAAGAAAGTCGCCCGTCGCCCGGGCCACGATAGAGGCCTCGCGGATCCAGACCAGCAGCGGCCGCCAGACCGCGGTAGTCACGAGCGCTGTGCGCATCATGGCGGCGGCAGCCGTGGAAAATAAAGAATGGGTCGCTGGGCCTCCAACCGATGCCAGATGAAACCAATCCGCGTGCCACGCCACCGAACTGGAGGTACTCCAGAGCTGGGCGAACCAATGTCGTTCCTCGGAGGCGCGCTGCCAGCTCATGGGGATGAGCTGGGAAGCATAGGAGGCGACAGGGAAGGCCCTCGAGGCGTAAAACTGGAAAGACATAGCGGAAGAAACACCCTGTCCAGCAATCTGCCCCACACGAAAGCGCGCCTGGGAGGAGGAGGAGGAGGAGGAGGAGGAGGAGGAGGAGGAGAAGGAGGGAGGGGAGGGAGGGAGGGAAAGGAGGGAGGGAGGGGGAGGGGGAGGGAGGCCAGGAAGGAGGAGGAGGAGGAGCAGGAGGAGGAGGAGGAGGAGGAGGAGGACCAGTGTAAGCCAAAGCGCCATCAACAATGTTGGAACTAACCCTCCCTCCAAAATCCCTCTTCACAGGCCCCTACACCGGGTCATCTCCATTGAGGGAACTGCCTCGTTGGAAGGCACCCTTGAAAACCCTGGAGCATGCCAAAACATTGTTCTCGGGATTTCAACGCCACGGATCAACTTGATTGCTGCGTCTTGACAATCTGGAATCGCGCCAGAACGCCATGTTTGGAATTTCGACACGGCGAATCAACAGAATTGCTGCACCCGCGTAAGCCAGAATCCGTCCAAAACACCATGTCTGGTGCGTTGATCATGGGAATCAATGGAACTCTTGCACATGGTATGAAAGAGTATGCGCGTCGCTCAAGCGAGAGCCACATTTTGAAAAGGAACCGCCCTCAATCCGTGAAGCTCTTGCAACTTTTTAATGAAACACAATGTGCGCGGCGCCAAGGCGAGAGCCACATGTTGAAAACGACCCGCCCTAAATCCGTGAATCTCTTGCAAATCTTATGACCGAATGTACGCGGCGCCGAGGCGAGAGCCTCATTTTGAAAACCACCCGCCCTCAATCCGTGAAACGATTGCAACATGTTTATAACAAGCGAATGTGCGCGGCGCTGAGGCGAGAGCCACAGTTTGAACACCACCCGCCCTCCATCTGTGAAGCTGTTCACACTTTTTAAGCTTCAGAATCATAAATGGTGAAGGTCTCCAGCGAAACGCCCGGCCCGCCCTAAAAACTGGCCTCGGGGTGCGACAGGGAAAAAGTATAAGGAAAAGGCATGGAGGAGGAAGAGGGCGAGGGGGGGAGAGAGGGAGGGGGAAAAGGGGTGAGGGGGCGCGGAGGGCGAGGGAGGAGCAGGCGGGATGGAGGGAGGAAACGAGGGAGGAGGGAGGGAGGGAGGGAGGGAGGGACGGCGGGAGGGAGGGAGGGAGCGAGGGAGGAAGCAGGGAGGGAGGGAGGGAGAGAGGGAGGGAAGGCGGGAGGAAGGGAGGGAGGGACGGATGGATGCAGGAGGAGGAGCAAGAAAAAGGCGAGGGGGAGGGTGGAGAGAAGGGGGGGTGCGGAGGGCGAGGGAGGAGTAGGCGAGAGGGAGGGAAGCAGGGGGGAGGGGGGAGCAGGCGGGAGGGAGGGAGGGAGGGAGGGATGAGGATAAGGAGGAATACTGGACTGGACGTTTTAACAGGGAAGGCACAAACCAGGAGGGAGGGACAGCATGGCACCAAACCAGAGCAGGAGGAGGAGAAGGAGAAGGAGGAGGAGGAGGAGGAGGAACAGACGAGGAGGACGAGGAGGAGGAGGAGGAGAAAGAGGAGGAGGAAGAAGAGTAAGCGGAGAAGAAGGGGGTGGATCGCTGCTTTTTGATTGCTGTTTGCCTTTTTCGGGGGGCTCCAGAAGCCGCCCGAAGCCTTCGGGGTCTCCAGGCGGGCTGATGGCCGCCCCCCCCCTCCTGTGCCCCCTGGCAGCAGATGCGCAGATGCTGGGCAGCCAAGGTTCGGCATGCGCGTCGCCGCTCTCACGGGCTCGCGGCTCGCCGTGCAGAGATCACCCGCCACGGGCCAAGGGGCTACGCGAGGGGGTCAGGGCGCGGCAGAAGAAAGGGCGCTCGCCGCACGGCCGCGCCCATGGAGTGCTGCCTGGCAGCGGATACCCAGCTGCTGGGCCGCAAGGGTTCGGCGCGCGCGTCGCCGCTCTCCCAATTCATGAGCTCGCGGACCGCCTTTCAAAGGTCCCCCGCCACGGGTCAGGGGGGCCACGGTCGCGAACTTTTGCCTCGCATGTCCCAGCGGCGGCCTGGGCGACGATCTGCTATGCCCCGCAAGCGGATAGCGTGTCGTTCCGCTCCACAGGGCGGGAGGCTGGGAAAGGCTCGGGAGGTTGACGCTCGGGGACAGGTACTTGGTTGGCGTGTCGCGCCGAAGCGTTGTGGGCCAGAGCTGGAGGCGCCACACGCTGAGCAAACTTTCCAGACCGTAAGGGGGACAGGGCGCCGCCGAGGAAGAGGCGCTCGCCACATGGCTGCTTCGGCACGGCGGGAAGTCCAGCCCACCACCCTGGCCTGCCCGCCACGGGGTGCAACATCGCGCGGCCAGTGCCAGCTTGGGCGTCATCGCGGCGCCGAGGCTCGGGCCGCGCCCATCCACGGGCCCTGCCGCGGCGGCATCCGCCGAGGGGCTGTATCCAGGGGCCCTGCCACGGCATCCGCCGAGGGGCTGTGGCTGTGCCCCACCATTGTCTGCTCTTGGGCACGCACTTTTATTACGGGCTCCCGGCGGAGGACGCGGTCCTCGCCGCGCTCCTTAGCGGCATGCCACGGGCGGAAACTCTGCTGCTGCTGGCGCCAACAGGGCCTCGCAGGCCGGGCGGGGCGATCTCGCGCCGCGCTGGGTGCCCGCACCGTGCCCAGCGGAGCGCTGGGTCCGAAGACACGCGGCCTTCTCGGCATGCGCACCGTGGACCCAGCGGAAAGAGCCGCCATCGCCGCCAACGGTGCGGTGGAATCCCGCGGTGTCCAGCCAGGCGGCGGGGCGGCACCGCGACGACTCCGACGTGCATCGGGGCGCGCTGGCCTCAGCGGGCCGACCTGCTGGAAGTCCGCGCTGCTGGGGAGCGCTGCGCCAGCCTGCGGCTGGGCGGGCGCCGCTGCGGGCCCTGGACATCCTGCGGCTGCTATACCCAGAAGTGGGGCCGGAGCCGCGCGCCCGCTGGTGTTGGAGGCGGCCGGGGGGGTCTGACCTGGCCCCGAAAAAAAATCGGTCAAGAGTGGGGGGGATGAAAGCAACCTCGCCCTCAAAGTCGGTCCCCGGACACCTCCTGGGTTCGGGACTGGCCAGTTGATCAAGCCGCGTGCAGCCGCGGCGACGAGAGGGCCGTTTCGCCCTCCCCCCTCCCTCCCCTCTGCTGGCCTGCAGGCTGGAACCAGTGCTAGGCCACCTCAGCCCCCCAGCAGAACCGATGCCGACGACGACGACGCCGACGCCGACGACGACGGCGATGACGACGCCGCCGCCGCCAGCCGCGCGGCCTACGGTACGTTCTTTCCTCTCCGAGGCGGCACCGGCGGCGCCAGGGACAGCACGCGTGTCCGCCGTGCGATCCTCGCCCACAACCGCGACCTTCTCGAAGCCCTGTGAGAGGAGCTTCAGCTCCTCCTTATTCTCCTCCTCCCTCCTCCCTCAGCCTTCCTCCTCCCATCTCCCGCCTCCTCTTCCTCCTCCTCCTCCTCCTCCTCCCCCTCCTCCTCGTCGTCCTCCTCCTGCTCTTCCTCCCCCTCCTCCCTGAGTATCGTCGTCGTCATACTACTCTTCCTTCTCGTCCTCGTCCTCGTCCTTGTCCTCCTCCTCTGGGTGGGACGGGTCGGATGCCCGAGAAGACGCAAGCGCACCCAGCTTGGTCATCCCCCCAGCTTGGTGCAACTCGCTCCGCGCACCCCAAGAATCCACTGCTCTTGCTGCTCGAGCCATTCCATGAGGGGCCCAAAACGTCAGATGCCATGAAGAGTCTAAAGACTCTCCTCCCTCCCTGAGCACGATCCTCCTCTTCTCCTTCACCTGCTCCTGCACTTTACGTCTTCGTCCCTTCCCCCCCTCTCTCCTTCCTCCGCCATCTCCACCCTCCCCCTCCATCGTCCCCCCTGCTCCCCCTGGCACCTGGCATCTGATGGCATCTGGCGTCTCCCTGACGCTGCCACTGCCCCCACCTGGCGACGCCATCTGGCGCGCCAGGTGGGGCAATTCCGAAAATGGGCCGATCCGCGCCGGCGGGCGGGGCCGGCGAGTGACGACTGAGGTGGAGAGACGCAACGTGGGGCCCGAAGGAGGCGGACGAACGGGGCCCGATCGCGCGGACCGACGCTCGTCGAAAGGAGGCGGGAGGAGGGAAGAAAGGGGGCCCCCAAGTACGGAAAGGCCAACGACGCCCACCTGGGGAAAGCGGGGGGGGGGCTGAAGAGAAGGGGAACGGACGGGGGGGCGAGGGGGAAAAGAGGGGGAGGAAGTCGGCCCTTCCGCGTACGGGGGTTCGCCCCTGTGGCGCGCGCCAGGCCGCTTCGGAGCTGTGTTCAGCGTCGGCGCCTCCGAGGTGCTGACATGCATGGTTGTGGGCGTCTGGAGGTGGATGGGTGTGGGAGGGCCTCGGCTTGCGGGGAATGTGCAGGGTAACGATGCGGAGCACGAGCCCGGGGAAGCCAGCAGGGTTGGTCGCGTGAACTCTTCGTGGTCGTGGGGACGTGCTTGGGTGAGGGCGTCGGGAGGAGAGTCTGTCGGGGCGTCTGGAAGGGCGTAGGGTATGAAGTCGTGCGGTTGGTCAGCGAAGTGCGTCTGTCGTGATCGTGGTGTCTGTCGGTATTCGTGGGGGTGGTCGTCGTGGAAGGCGTGAAATAGGACGGCGTCGGTTGGGGAAGCGGGGTGGGCATGGCTGTGGGACTGGGACTGGGGGGCGTCGGCATGGGCGCCAGGTGGGGCCTTACGCCTAGCCAGCTTCTGGGCCTCTCGCTGGGCCTTCCTTGAAGGCGCGTCGGTGTGGGGGCGGTGTTGGGCGCCGACGTGGTAGCTGTGTCGCTGCTGGTCGCGTTCGTGCTTCTCGTCGTTGGGGTGCTGCTGTTCGCATTTGTCGTGGCAGTGCTGTCGTTTGATGGCGCGGCTGCTCGTCGCATTTCTCTGTGACCGCCACTAAATCCGCCTCCGACATCTGCTTCGGCCACATACATCAAGTCCTCCGCCTCCACCACGACGTCCGTCTCCTCCACCACCTCCTCGACTACCTTATCCTCCTCGTTGGCCTGGTGGACCTCTGGGTCCCCGTCGTCGCTGCCGTAGGCGTGGACGTTGAGGCAAGGGAGAGAGGAACAATGCCCGAACCCTGGCCCAGCTCCCCTCCTCCTCCCGTGCTGGGGAGGGGGGCAGAGGCTGGGGGCCAAAGTGCGGGGGCTGGGGCCCCGCTCTATCCTACCTCCTACTTCCTGCCCTCGTGGTGGCCGTCGGCCGTGGTGCCGCAGGCGCTAGGGAGGCTGTGGCCCTCCGTGGTGTACGTCTCCTCCGCCGCCTTGGCCTCCAGGGCCTCGGTGTAGGTGTCGGGGATGGCGTGGATGAAGGGGGGCAAGATCTGGAGATCGATGCTGGGCACGAACTCCGGAGCCTCGGCGCGCATATCTGCGTGCCCCATTATGCTTGCACCATTTGCCTGGAGCGACCTTGACGATGATGTACTTGCTGGCCTCGCTGTTGACGGTGTTGGTGGCGGTGTCGGCGTGGGATGAGGCGTTGGTGTAAGAGATGGAGCAGTGCCTGGTCCATCAACAGTCAGGTCTCTCACGACCCCATTGGCGCTGCCATCTGGGATTAGGGCGTTCAAGAAACCGTCTACTATCATACAGTCCGCAATGCCAGTCGCCGTCTGGTGCTAGTACTGTCGATGCGTTGCATTGGTCGCTGGGTGCCTGAGCGCATGGCCTCAACTCAGCGCCATGTGACTCGGATGTTGCCTCCGTGTCTGGCCATTCTCTCCGGTCATGGTGATGCCACTCATCCTTCATGGCATTGGCGTGGACGCTGTTGGTGACGATGGTGAAGTCACTTGCCCTGATATACGTCTTCCTTGCTGCATGAGCCAAGCTCCGCCATGCGGCGCGACTGGGTCTCAGCATTATGCAGGTCAAGATCTCTGTGACCATGGCCCTCGTGTCGAGGCTGGCTGCAGCCATCGCCTGCGCGGCGGGCGCCCGCACACGTGCCACATCCCACCACTGGTGGCTCTGCCCCCCGCCTCCTCCTCCTCCTCCTCCTCCTCCTCCTCCTCCTCCTCCTCCTCCTCCCTCCCCTCCTCCTCCTCCTCCGCCTCCTCCTCCACCTCTGTCGCCTCATCCCCTCCCGTGACTAATCCTTTTACTCCCCCTCTCCCTCTCCTCTTCCTCCTCCTCCTCCTCCTCCTCCTCCTCCTTATCCTTCTCTCCCCTTCCCTCATCATTCTCGCATTCTTCCATCCTCCCCCCCCACCTCCCCCTCTTCCTCCCCCTCCTCCTCCTCCTCCTCCTCCTCCTCCTCCTTCTCCTCCCCGCCCGGCATGATCCTTGCCAGGCGAGGCCGACTGTCCGTGCCGCTGTGCGGAGGCTCGGCTATGCGGCCCGAGTCGGACGCGTGCCACGCGTGGCCGACGTCCGCGACTTGGCGCAAGCTTGCGGCCTTGGCCGCTCCGGTCCAGCTCAGCTATCTGACGTCGTTCACAAGAATGCTCTTGACCGCCCTCACCCTTTGGGTGGGGATCAGCCGGGCTACGTTGGTCGACTTCCCGTTCTGCTGCCGAAGCCGCCGCCAACTTTCCCCCCTCGGCTGCCCGACATCTCGCAAAATGTTGCCCCACCCGTCAGCAAGCCAGATCCGCTCTCCGCGCCTTTGCTGCTGAACCCCGAAGCTCCTTCTTTCCAGATGCCGGGGGCTTCGCCTGGGCCGGTCTTCGTGGAGATCGAGGTGCAGCAGCGCACCGTTTCCTTCGACGTGCCTTCGTCGCCGCGCCCACCGCCCCGCCAGGTAGAGAATAACACTGCAGTGCCGATCGACAGCAGTGCCAGCCGGGATATCGCCGCCGAGTCCACGCAAATAATCTCCGATCTTGCGCAGCAGAGCTGCCCTGCAATGCTAGGGCAGCTAGACACTCTGTTTGGCAAATGCACAGGCCAGGAGGACCTTCTTTACCTCAAGGTTTGCAAGAAGTTCGGAGTTCACCCGACGCCGATCCGCTGCGGAGTGAACCGTCCTCCAGATTAGCTTGAGTTTCCAGACCAGTGTGTCTCTGCTTGTGTGGCATTCGTTTGCCTGCCTATCTGCACGCTTGTTCTCAAGCATATGTTCACCCTTTTGCCTCTCTATGTTGTCGCTTTGTGTTCAGGTCCCTTTCTCTATTTGAGCGAGGTTTTCCTGTATAAGAGTTTCAGCAGTCAGAGAACCGTCGGAGCACGCTTCTGCCATGCCCCTCGCACACCCACACACTTGCCCCTCCTCCTCCATCTCATCCTAGCTTCTCCTCCGCCCTCCTCCTCCTCTTCCTCCTCCTCCTCCCTTCTCCTCCTCCTCCTCCTCCTCCTCCTGCTCCTCCTACTCCTCCTCCTTCTCCCCCTCCTCCTCCTCCTCCTCCTTCTCCTCCTCCTCCTCCTCCTCCTTCTCCTCCTCCTCCTCATCCGCCTCCGCCTGCTCCTCCTCCTCCTCCTCATCCTCCTCCTCCTCCTCTCCTCTCCTGCTTCCTCCTCCCCCCCTCTTCCCTTCCGCATTCCCCCCCATGCCCCTCGCCCCTCGTGCCTGCTGACTCCGTCCTTCCTTGGGGCGGAGGCGTCCTGCAGACCCGCGGGGGCCTCTGGGACCCCCTCGGCGCCCGGCGGGAAGGGCTGGCAGGAGCGTTGGATGTATTCCCCCATGATGGTGGAGTCGGCGCCTTGCCGCCGCAGTCGTCGTCGTCGTCGTCGTCGTCGTCGTCGTCGTCGTCGTCGTCGTCGTCGTCGTCGTCGTCGTCGTCGTCGTCGACCTCCTCCTCCTCCTCCTTCTCCTTGTGGCCGTCGTGGGTGTGGTCGTCGGCGTGGTCGTCTGGGTCTTGGTCGCCGTGGTCGTGGTGATCATGGTGGTCGCTGTGATCTTTGCTATGGTGGCCGTCGCTGTCTCCGTGGTGGTGCTGGCTGTGGTCGCAGATGAGGCCATCGTCGCCACCGTCGTGGTCGTCATAGTTGAGGTCGACGTTGTCGTGGTCGTCATATTCGCCGTCAACGTCGTCGCGGTCGTCGTCGCCCTCGTCTTCGTCGTCGTCATGCCGAATCCGCGCCACTCCGCCGCGGGGCCGCGGCTGCGCAGTGACCGCCGCCAGGGGAAATTCTCCAGACTGTGCTCTGGGCCACTCCCGTTGGCCGAGGGCACCCACAGTCTGGAACATCTAAGTCGGAGGAAGAAGAATGGCCCACATCCGAATGGACGTGTTAGCAACATGTGAGGTTCAGAAGCTGAATCGCACGCCGCCGGACCAAACGGCGAGGGAGGAGCAGGAGAAATCCTACTAGAAAGCATTGCCTTACGCAACGCCTCAGCCTTACGCAAGTACCTGCACGAATTCCTCCGGAGGGGGAGGCATGGGGAGGAACATGCGGACAGGGAGGAGCGTGATGAGGGGGCGAGGAGGGTGGGGAGCGAACGACAATTTGGATTTGCACTTGTCAGCGCCGCTGGTCCATAGAACATCAGTGCTCGGTGCTTCCATAGAACATCCTCAACCAGTGGGTTCCCGCACATTGGATGCGTAGCAAGTGGGGTGAATCATATGCGGCGCAATCGTTGTGGTGCAAGCAGTGCGATCTAATCTACGTGGTGCAGTACATGTGGCGCAAGCCACAAGACACAATCCAAAAGGTGCAGTAGCTGAAGTTACATGAACCTTCAAACATTTAAGTCGTAAGCTCCCATGCTCGTGCAAACATCCCACCCACCCACCTGCAACCTGCTGGCAAAATTCAAGAGGCCGTGATTGAACTTTACATCGGGTCTTCCTCGCCAATGTAAGCAGGCGCAAAATTTTGCGGACCTGGCTCATCCAGATCGACGCCTCGGGCGAGCGAGTGATCCGTCGACCCCGGCTTGCGGGGGGTGAAATTGCGTGTGAGGCATTTGGCTGCCCTCCATCCCCGTCCCCCCTTCCCAGGAGCCCCAAATCCAGACGTATCTATATACATATATACCTGTACGACCACCCTTCGGGTGACAAGGAGGTTCGGGGGGGGGAGGAATCAACGTCTCACTCGATCGGCCTCACTATCGATCTCACTATCGATCTCACTATCGGCCTCGCTCGATCGATCGCACCCGATCGATCTAACAATCGATCTCACTCGATCTACTTCATTCGATCGACCTCACAATCGATCTGACTATCGATCCCACAATCGATCCCACTATCGTTTCCACTATCGATCCCACAATCGATCTCACACTCGGTCTAACGATCGATCCCACTATCGATATCACAATCGATATCACAATCAACGTCATCATCATCATCATCATCATCAACATCATCGCCACCAAAGGCATCCACATCATCATCATCATCATCATCAGCAGCAGCAGCATCATCGGGGCACCATCATCATATCACCTCATCACCATCATCATCCACATCATCATCACCATCAGCGTCATCATCATCATCGAGACGCCATCATCGTCACCATCATCATCATCAACATCATCACCATCGGGACACAATCCTCATCATCGGAACACCAACACCATCATCGTCATCTCATCATCATGCTCATGAACAACATCATCGACATCATCATCATCATCATCATCATCGGGACACCGTCATCATCATTAGCAACACCATCAACATCATCATCGGATCACCATCATCATAGTCACCATCATCATCAACAACGTCGGGACGCCATCATCATCAACATCAGTATCATCATCACCATCATTGGGCCACCGTCATCAAACTCATCTTTATCACTTCATCAACATCCCCATCATCAACATCATCATCATCTGGACACCATCATCGTCATCATCATCATTATCATCATCGTCATAGGGACACCATCATCATCACCACCAGCATCAACAACGTCATCATCATAAATTTCACCATCATCATCGGGACACCATCATCATCATCATCAATATCATCATCATCATCATCATCATCTTCATCGGGACACCATCATCGTCATCTCATATGATCACCATCAACATCACCATGATCATCAACATCACCATCATCATCAGCATCACCATCATCGGGGCACCATCATCATCAGCAACATCATCATCAACATCATCATCGGGGCACCATCATCTTCACCACCACTACCACCATCATCATCAACAACATCGTCAACATCATCATCATCAACATCATCGGGACACCACCACCATTACCATCATCATCATCGTCAACATCATCAACATCAACATCATCACCATCACCATCACCATCACCATCACCATCACCATCACCATCATCATCATCATCATCATCATCATCATTATCATCATCATCATCATCATCATCATCATCATCATCATCATCATCATCATCATCATCATCATCATCATCATCATCGGGACACTCATCACCATCATCACCATCATCATCATCATCATCATCATCATCATCATCGGGACACCGACGGGACACCGGCGGGACACCGGCAGGGCACCGCGCGCCACCCGCCCCCGAGCGGCGGCACACGGGTGGGACGGTTGCCGGAACGCAGACTTGTGGTCCGGCCGCGCCTCAGCTACAGGAGACTTATTTCTCGCCCGCCCACGCAGCTTCGCCTCGCCCGCAAGCACGGCACGCACGAACACGAAACCGAAACAGACTTCCCGGTAGGGGGGCTCTCCGTTCCACTTCGATCTCACCCCCTCACCTCCGATAAAGAAAAAGAGAGAGAGAGAGAGAGAGAGAGAGAGAGAGACAGACAGACAGACAGACAGACCATGTTATCTGCACAGGGGCCCTTACGACGGCACAAGAGAGCCCCAAAAGGCGCCCAACGGGGTGCTAAGAGCGGTCGGTCAGGAGGACTCTGGAAACGCCCCAGAAGCTTCCGAGGCGCTGCCAAGAGACCTCCGAGAATCCTCCAAGAGGCCACCATGAGGACCCCAAGAGGCCATATATGATTTGACTTCGAGTGATCCCCACCGAAACCTTCGGCATTTGTTTCCAACGGTGCCCGCGCTTACTGGAACAATGTGCGCGGACCCCGGCGGTCTTGGCCAGCGCGGCGGCCGGGCCAGGTCGCAAGTTGATGCTTCCGGGAAGTCTAACAACCCCAGGGCCCCTGACGAAAGACACCGACACAAGTCCCTCGAGAGGCAAACCAGCCCCCCAAGCGCGTCTTGCGAGACCCGAGAACTTCCTGGTCACCTCCTCCTCCTCCTCGTATTCTATGCTCGATACGGTTCTGTTTTGCTATGCTACAATATGATATGCTATGTTGTCGACGGGACGGCGTGACGCCGTGACGCCTGTCACGTTAGATACGTCATCCGATCGGTCGCTGCTGCGCCTGTTTGTACCTGTAGTCTGGCTGACATCGGCGCGCACTTCGCGTTTGATTCAGTTTTGCAACGGCCTGTTATGCTATGACGTTCCTCTTTAAGCTTTTTTTTTCTCTCTCTCTCTCTCTTTCTCTCTTTCTCTCTCTCTCTCTCTCTTCTGTTCAAGCATGCTCTGTTAGGGTCACTTCTGTTACTGCATGATTTGTTATGATATGATATGCCATGCTCTGCGGCACCACGTTAAGACATGCGGTGTATGTTCTGTCAGGTTATGGCGTGCTGTTATCTGTGATGCTGTTCAGGGCATGCCCAGTTCGCTATACTATTTTATGTTGTGCTCAGCTATGACATACCTCTTTCAGGAAGGTGTAGGCAGTCATTATATATCTCAATATCTGACGTAGGGGTAGCAGTAGCACAACAGTTCTTCCATATTATGCTGGTGTGAGTAGGGTATATTCGTTCTATAATGCTGATGTGATAATGCTCTATTCTGCTGTGGCTCTTATATCTGTTCTGATTTCGACGGGCCGGCGCAACTCCGCGAAACCTGTCACAGTAGATACGTCGTCCGATTGTTCGTTGCTTCGCCTGTTTGCTCATATGGCGAGCCTGACCTCGGCGCGCACGTCGGATTTGATTAGGTTGTGCTACGAAACATTGTGTTGTGATGTCCCTGTTCACACATGCTTCTCTGCTGCTGAAGTATGATATGTTTTGCTCTTATTTCTGTTACAATATGATATAGTAAGATATGGCATGCTCTTTTCTGTGGCATCGTTTTATGACACGGCTACGTCTGGTTATGCTTCATTATGCTACAGTGCGATGCTGCTTACGCTACGTCGTGCTATGTTCAGTATGTGATGCTGTGTTTTGCTATGTCAAGCTACTCATTTGCAATATACTGAATTCTGGGATGTTGCAATACATTCGATCCAATCGTTGCGCTGGTACGTGAACTCATGCTCGGTGCTGCGTTCTGTCATGCTCGGACCCGTTATGGCATGTTAATGTATGCCCTGGGTTGCTATGGGAACAGCTGCTATTTCAAAATGCATGCTACCACGCGCTTCAATGATATGTTTGTCATGTTTTGGGATGCTCGGTCCTGTGATGCTGTGGCGTGTATGAAGAAGATGTCAAGGTATGTTATGCTATGAACCGGTATGATGTGGTCGTTTATGATAAGTTATGCAATACCATGCTATGTTAAAGGTTGATCAACTTTCTCGGTGGTATGGGTCGTGTTATGCCATGTGAAAAATGATTTGCTCTGTAAAAACATGCGCCGTTATGCTTCGTTGTGCTCTTCTATGATCTGGCATGTCATGATATGCTCTGTTCGATTGTGCTGCAATGCAATGCTACGTTCTGCTACGCAATAACATGTGATGCCGAACTCTGGCATCGCATGCGTCTCCATGGTATGTTATGTCTTGCGATGTCATGCATGTGGTGATGTTCTGTGGTATGCTATGTTAGGTACTCTCTGCTCTTTAATTGCATGCGTTATCATGCCCTGATTTGCTTTGATGCCATGCTGTCTGGGTTATGCATGATCCGCTATGTCGCAGCATGCGTTGGTATGCCATAGTATTGATCTAGTAAGCTGAGTTCTGCGATGCTGCGTTATGTTATGCTCAGTTCTGCCATATTATGATTTGATGTGCCAAATTATATTATAATACCTGTTATTCGCAATCCTGTCATGCTCTGTCGTGTTCGTCGTCGGCGCGAGGCGGGCGTCTCGGTAGATACTCGATGGACCTTGGGATTTGGCGGCCGCGGTATGCAGAAGAATAGCCGGATCGGCGCAAGGCGAGCGTCTCGGCGGATTCTCGGTGGACCTGGGGATCTGACGGCCGCGGTATGCAGAATGGCCAGGTCGGCGCGAGGCGGGCGTCTCGGGGGATTCTCGGTGGACCTGGGGATCTGGCGGCAGCGGTATGCAAGCTGGTCGGGCCGGGAGATCTGCTCGTAAAATCTGTCGACACCAACCTGTCCGGTGGAGAAAAACCACCCTAAACGCTTCGGGCAAACATCCGGAGAGACCGTCTTATGCATCCGACAGGATGCCTTCCGCGATCGCGGCAGGCTCTCACTGCTCCTAGGGGTTGGCGGAATGGCAGAAGCCACCTGAATAATAGTGACGACGGCATCGGCGGCGACGACGGCGGCGACGACGACGACGGCCACGACAACGGCGAGAGGCGATAAATCGGATGGTGATGACGACGATTGCAATGATGACGCTGGCGATGATGATGGCGAGGGTGCTGATTCATGATAAAGAGGAAGTGTGTGCACATAATCGCTGACATATTTGGTATGGAAAAAACTTGGCCACCCGAGTGTATCTGAACCCATCTGTCTTGAACTAGTTGTTTAAGAAAACTAGCTATGCAATGGCTTCAACATTCGAGTGTAGGACGCGCGCGTGTGGCCCGCATGCCAATATTTGACAGAGGCGGCGGGTGTGGGGTGATTGTTGAATGATTTCGCCATGCGCCCGCGTGTGGTCCGCATGGTCTCATCTGCCCGAAAAAAAGGCCAGCACCGATGCATTTCTTATGAGTTCACTGAGTGCGCGCTGGCATACTGCTCTGCTTCCTGATCAGGAACAACGTTTTGGTGCAATCGCTGTTGCTTAATCGCATCTGCGACCTTGCGGTGTTGGAAGGATTTTGACGAGTGCGTGCGTGTGCGTGCGCGCGTGTGCCTCGCCTGGTAGACTTTGATACATGCTCATGAGAGCAACGCACTTGTAACATCGCATCGAGCGCTCAACGAGAAACTTGCGTGCTCAGTGGAAGTGAAGGGACCATACGCGGAGGGGGGCGTAACCTCCGACCTCGGCATGGGGGGGGTGAGTTTCACACTCTGTAGAAGAGGGAATCTGGACTACCTGCCAGAACACCCTAACCCAACCCGAAGACACGAATTTCAGGTTGGGGGGGGTGCGGGTTCCATATGCGTTTTTTTTTCCAATGTTCCCCGACCCCCCCCACTGGAAATAGAAGGCAAACTAAAGCCTTCGGGTTGGGTTGGGGTGATTTGGTGGGTGGTGAAATCTGTGTTGCGCAATAGATGGGATATGAGCGCCGTGACGCAGTCTGTGGAAAGCCTCCGCCAGCGCCCACGGGCGGCCACGAGGCGCCCCGGGCACTGGCCAGACAAAACCCAGACACGCCAGCCAGCGCACCTGGCGCCCACGAGGAATCCACAGGCGAGCGCTGGGCGGAAGCCAGGCAACGCCAGCCAGCGCACGAGGCGCTCCATCCAGAAGCGCGCCCACGGGCAGGTGCTGGGCGATCACCCGGAGCCTTGTGCCAACGGGTGCCCGCACTGCCTGTGGGAAAGCCCGCGGAAACAGAAGCAGGTCGGAGGCCCGCGCGGATTCCCTGGGTCTGTGCGTGCGCCCTCGGGGCCCCAGGGGGCCCCTTTCAGGGCCCCTCTTTTGGCCTCCCGCCTGCAGCCCTCCATCCCATCCCCTCGCCCCCCTACTTATCGCCCCCTCCACGGGGGGCACTGCTGAATTAGAGGCCTCCCAGGTGGGGTCGGAGCAGATGGGGCCGGAGGATCGCGCCGCACCGCCGATACATCGCCGATTCATCGCCGATGCATCGGCGACGTCGGCGATGTATTGGCGCCGTCAGCGCGTAAAATCAGGCTTCGCATCGGGCCGCATCGCCGATGCATCGGCGATGCGGTGCGATCCTCCGACCCCACATATTCCGACCCCATTTTGGGAGGCCCAGATAGACGAGCGCATTCCACTCACTACTCGCGTAGTAACTACTCGCAAATGGCCTGGATCCGCCGCGGGGAATCTTCGAGAAATTACATCGAAGCAGACATTTGTCGGACGTTTGCGAGTAGGCACTTCGCAAGTAGTGGAACGCGCGCGGTGACAGACTTTACGGAGGAGGAGGAGGAGGAGGAGGAGGAGGAGGAGGAGGAGGAGGAGGAGGAGGAGGAGGAGAGGAGGAGGGAGGAGGAGGAGGGGAGGAGGAGGAGGGGGGGGCAGCCCTGAAACCGCCTCTCAGAAGCGGCGCTCGGCACGCGCGGCGCAGCCCCTCGCGGGGCCGCGGCGGCGCACGCGCGGCCCGCCGCGGCTCCCGCGCGGCCCCGTGTCGCTCCCCCCTCTCGCGGGAGGGCCGGGGGGAAGCGCCCCTCCCCGCAAGGGGGGGGGGGGCGGCAGCTCGACGGGGGAGGCCGAGCGGGGACGGGGATCGGTGGCGAAGGGCGCCGCACCGATACGCAAGGCGCAGCCCGTAGCGTGTGCGCGTCGGCACGGAGCTCAGCGCGCGGGTGGAAGGCGTGGATCTGGCGCGATGCGTTCGCCAAAAGCGTGGGCCACCACGCGTGTGAGAGACGTGCTGATCGCGGCGCGTATTGCGCTTCGGCAGACGTGCCGTCGGCAGGGCGGCAGAGGCGGAACGTTCGGGGGGCAGTTCATGCATTCCAGCACGTCGATGTGTGATTCAAGCAGTTTCGTTTGCGAGTTGTGGGAGAACAGTTGTCTCTCACACCGTCGCGCAATACAATATTAGCAATCGCTCGGGGAGCAGTTCCAGTATTCCAGCACATACGGTCAGAAACTTTAGATTAGCGTGTCGCCGCGGCATTCGTCGCGACACGCTATGCCTTGCGCATGTCGCTCCGCTTGTGGGCTGGGAGGTCGGGAAAAACTGGGGACATCGACAATGAGGGACCGGGAGGCGGATAGCGTCTGGCGCCGAAGCGTGGTGGGCCAGAACCTGCGGAGCGACACGCTATCCAAAACTTCCCGGCAGTAGCTTTTTGATTCGGACGAGTTCGTTTGCGAGTTGTGGGACAAGAGGGTTCTCCCAAACCGTCGCACGACACAGCATTGGTAAACTTGTATCTGTCTTTTGCTGTTGATAGTGCATCCCTTTCAGAGCGCCAGGAGAAACAGCCAGGAGTACCGAAAGGGGAGGAGGACCTGCTCAGGTGGAGGGAAACATCGAGCTGGAATTGGTGGCACGTCGCCGTTAGGGCGCCTCCACCGTCGATGCCGCACGCACCCTCCGGACGGAAAACGAGCGAGCAAGCCAGAGCTGAGGAGAGCTGGGTAAGAGAGGGATATAAGACATACAGATGTACATCGCCAGAGAGAAGAAGGGAGAGAGAGAGACACAGAGGTAGAGAGAGAGAGAGAGAAGAAAGAGAGAGAGAGAGGGACAGAAGGATATAGGGAGAGAGAGATAGAGAGGGAGAACGAGAGAAACAACACAGAGGTGGAGCAGGACAAAAATAATGGTAATCGTTATTTTGTGCCTGTGTTTGCCCTCGTGGCCCACGGCCAGAGAACTCCACCAGCATCATCTCAAGCAGCGAGCGAGCAGCCTTGGGGTGGTGCTCCCTGAAGGGGCGAAGCAGGAATAGCGTCGTCTAGATGGGTTCCCGAATGCGGGGGGAATGTGGGCGCCCGAGTGTGTTCCCAATTCAACCCTGACAAAAAGAAAAGCACATGCCACACTCGACACGACACCTTACAGGAATTATTAATCCAGGTGCCTACGCGCGCAACCTGAGGGCATTGCGCGCCCAGCAAACCATCCTTCATGGAAGAGATCCCCTCTCATGAAAGTCTATCGCGTCACTGCTTTTGACCATGACCCCAATCTTGTTTCACTTCGGACGCAACAAGCGCCGATTCGACCATGGCCTTCGCAGGTTCTGTGCGAGTGGAAAAACAATGCGGGCAAGCGCTAGGCCTCACACGCGCTGATGGTAACTCTGGAGACTCCCCACTGCGTGGTGCTGGAGCGCTAGGTCGTGCAGGGCGGAGGTGGCACCGACAATACCCTAGCATTTCAAGCTGGGACACGACGGGATACCTGCCCCTGCCTCCTTCCCTGCCATAGCCCATGCTCGCATCCTTCGTCTCCTTCTGCTTCTCCTCCTTCTCTTCCTCCGCCCGTAAAGATCGTCCACCCCCGACCTCTCCTGAGGCGCGCTCTGTCTTGTACTTCGAAGCGGATCTGGCCGTGTCGACGAGGGCCTCCAAGGATCCCCGAAACGGACAACATACACATACACGTAGATATACACACACACACACGCACACACGCACGCACGCACGCGCGCACGCACAAAAGCACAGGCACACGCACACCCACACACAAACACACACACACACATGCACACACGCGCGCACACACGCTCACACACACACTCTCACACACACACACACACCACACACACACATACCACACACACACGCACGCACACACGCACACGCACACGCACACGCACACGCACACAAGCACACGCACACACACTGACACACACACACACACACACACTGACACACACACACACATACTGACACACACACACACACGCACACGCACACGCACACGCACACGCATACGCACACGCACGCACACACACACACGCACACACACACACACCACACACACCACACACACAGTCACACACACACACACACGCAAAACACGACAACACACACACACACACCTCCTCCTTCTCCTCCTGCTCTCCTGCTCATCCTCCTTCTACTGCCCCTCTAAACTTCGTCGCCTTCCCACTCGACCTCCCCCTCGCCCTCTCCTCGTCCCTCCCTGTTCCTCCTCCATCACCCCCCTCCTCCTCTTCCCCCCTCCTTCCTCAGCCCACCCCTCCCTCGATCATGGTGGCTCATCCGCCACGGTGACAAGGGCCCATTGGGCGTGTTAGAATAGTCTTATGTTGCCTGCGATGATCTATGGCATGTGCTCTTGGGCCGACACCTCCCCCTCGCCGCGGGTGTCGTTTGACTTTAGTCGCCTTTAGTCGCCTCAGAATGTGTCTGGCGCCAGTTGTGGCCTCCAGAAAGCTTCAAGACACCAAGACACCCGAGAAGAGTCAATCTGGCCTCAAGATGCCTCCAAGCTGGTCCAAGATGCCTCGAACACAGCCTCAAATGGCCCCAAGATGGCCCAATGGGCTCCGATCGACCCAAGAAGGCTCCAAGAGGCCCTCCAGGAGGCCGGCGAAATCCAGATCATTGATGCCACGTAGGTCTTCAGTTGCGTTCGTGTTCCCGCCTTTTCGGGCTTTCCACAAGCCAAGACGGCCCCAGAGGGATCCGAGATGGGCCAAAAAGGCCCCAAGGCTGCCAAGGATGCCCCTCCCCCAAAACTGCCCCAAGGTGGCCCAAGAGATCTGCAAGACGGCCCGAAAGCGCCCCAAGAGGGCCCCAAGATGTCCCACAGAGGCCCCCGAGACGGCCTCCGAAGGCGCCAGACGGGCCAATGGAGCCCTAAGACGGCCCAAGAGACCTGCAAGAGGCCCGCAAGAGGCCCTCGGGAGGCCCTCAGAGATCCCCAACAATCGATTTCATGCGGTCGGATTTGAGACCACTCAAGATCAGACTGCGCGCTGAACTGCCGTGGGTCTTTAGCTCCACACCCTTCACGCTGCGAAGCTGCGCTGCCACGGTGGTGGGGTTTGCCGCAAGCGGCTGGATATGCCATCCTAGTTCACTCAAAGGGGAAGCGGCTAAACGGTAAGCTGGAGGGGGGGGAGTGGAAAGGGGTGGCGGAAGGCAAGCCTCTCGACTGAGGGAAGCTGGAGCCAGGGGTGGAGGCGGGGAGCTGGGAGGAATGATGGAGGGAAGGGGATTTGTACACACATACGCAGCACCCCGCAGATGCGGATAAGAGTGAGGGGGCGGTGGGGACGTCGGCAGTCTGCGAGACTCTGGAGAAGGCCGCCGCATTCGCCAAAGTCTCACAAATCATACAACGAGCCCGCCGCAAGCGACGATTTTGTCGTTAAACCGATGTGGGTAGGTCGCGGGTGGGTCGCAAATGGGTCGCGGCTGGGTCGCGGGTGCGTCGCGGGTGGGTCGCTGTTGGGTCGCGGGTGGGTCGCGGCTGGGTCGCGGGGTGGGTCGCGGGTGGGTCGCAAATGGGTCGCGGGTGGGTCGCGGGTGAGTCGCGGGCAGAATCATCATGATAATCCTGCTCCTCGCTCGACTGCTTCCGCGTCCCTCCCCTCATGCCTCTTCCACTTCCTACGGGCCCGCCCCTGGTTCTGCAAAGCCTAAGTCCACTGCCACGGCTGGGGCTTGACGTGCCATAAGCAACATACGGCTCTCCCTGGTAGCTGGACGCGGCTCTATACGGTCAGGACAATTTGCGTAGCGTGTCGTGGCGGCGGCCTCGGCGACACGCCATGCCCTGCGAGCGGATAGGATGTCAATCCGCTCTGCGGGCCGGGAGGCTGGGAATGGCTCGCGAAATTGAAGCCTGTGGACCAGGAAGTGGTTAGCGTGTTGCGGCGCTGATGCGCGCTGGGCCAGAACAGGCGGCGCGACACGCTAAGCACGAGTTCCTGACCGTACAGCCATCGTGCTACCAAAAGGAACGCCGAGTAAAGAGCGAAGTGGCGTTTCAAGCCACGGCGAGCCTCGGCCATGAAGAAGTCCCCCGACCTGGATTGGAGGAACGGCCGTGCAACCAGAGCCGCTCCTCAGCCCATCGTGGTCCCCATCTCAGCGTCTTTACCGTACCTAGCCTTCCTCCCCCTCCGCACTCCTGAGCATCGGAGGTGGCTGGGGGGTCTGAACTGGTTGGGACCCCAGAGTTTCGGCCATGAGGGAGGGATGAAGCCCAATCCACTCAAAATTGTTCCCTCGACCCCTCGCAGGGTCCCAGGGCCCGAAACCGGCCCTCGCAGGCCGAACAAGGCAATGCGTTTCCCCGAGCCTGGAACCTCGAAGCTGCCCGCTCTTCCTGCTGGCAGGAACCAATGCTCGGCCACCTCAGACCCCCAGCCGGCTCCAACCAGCCCGAGCATCGCGTCGCGCGCCGCGTGCTCAGCACCGCGTGTGCGCGCAGAACGCGCCCCACTGGGCGCCGACCGACCTCGCAGCCGCAGGGGGAGCCCTCAGGGTTGCCATGCCCCACCACACGCGTGCCACAGCGCGAAGAGTAGGGCCGACACCAGCACGAGCAAAATGCTGCCAATGACGCGGTTCTTCCTGGCGATCATGTGCAGCACGAACGCATCCCGGCCATACTGCCCGAGGGCCTTTTGGTATGCAGGACGCTCCTTAGCACGCTCGAGGTATCGCGCAAGAGCTTGTGGCATCGCGACCGGCGCGGCGCCATACTCGTTGCACCTCGCCACCCACTGCAGCCACACGACGGCCACCGCGTCCGCACGTCCAAACTGCGAGCCGAGAAGCCAGGGGCCGGGACTGCGAGCCATCGCCCGCTCCAGCAGACCCATCGTCTCTGCCAGGCGGCTCGCGACGTCCCCGATTTCCTTCGAGAAGTGCTTCTTGGAAACCTTCTTCATCTTTGCAGCGTACACGTCGTGCAAATCTGGAGCCTGTTGCTGAATCTTTTGGAAGGTCTTTACCATCTGGCGCTGCATACCACACCCCAACACCACCTTGAGCAGCGGTATCTTCTCCCGGCCGGTGAGCCTGAAGGAGCACATCGAACATCTAAAACGAGCATGTGTGTGAGTGGGGACAGGGGGGGCGGAAGGGCACACATGCCAAAGCATTTCCGCTCAGTCTGCATTTGTCTCTGGGAGCCAGGCAAGGCTGCCCGCGTCCTCCCTGTAAAGCCAGTCCAACACCTCCTCTTCCGCCGCACTCCCCGGCCCGCCGCCGTAGGCGTGCGTCACGATGCCGCGACTCTCGGTCACGGCAGCCCCCGACGGGAGCAGCAGGGTTGGGAGCTGCATCTCGGGGTTGAGGCGTGCGAACCAGGGCGCGATGTGCTGAAGGGCAATGTGAGAAGGGGCACTGGCTCACGGGCGGGGGGGGGGACATCGACCGGGAATCGGCGAAGCATCGCCGATAGATCGGCGATGGGCGTTCGATAGCGAATCCGACCGTTCCTGGCCAGAGAGGGCTATTAGGCGCCCCATTGGCGATCCGCGGACGATCGGGGGTCGAAGCATCCCCCGCCGAGCCCATCCCCCCCCCCACCGATGCCCCCGAGGTGCTGCTGGCGGGGCATGCTGAGGTACTCGGACCTGAACGGAACGTCGTTCTCGTGCAGAGCCATGCGGGCGACTCCGCAGTAGTAGGAGTTTACCGTGTCGTAAAGCAACGCCCCACCCTCCCCGAGCAGGGGCTGGCCGTTCGCCATCTGGCCAAGGCCGGGCTAACGGCGATGTTGCTTAACGGTGATGTTGGGAACCAAACTGCAAGACATCGCGAACCACACTTTCCCACAGTCCCACTCTGCAAATGCATCGAGCGAGCACGACACAGTGAATTGTAGGAAAACGCGTTCCACGCCTTTCCACACTACCGATACCTACATCGCCGTTACCTGCACCGCCGTTGGCCCGTCTACGGATGCGGTAGGGCACCGAAGACCACGAAAGGCCCGCAGACAGCAGCCGCAGCGGCTCGGGCCAAGAGTGCCAGCTTCGCGCGCGCGCGCGCCACGCACAGCCCCGGGCGCGGAGCTGCGAGGTCCAGTGGGGGCGGGGTGCGGCCTCGCAGGGGCCGTCCCCCTTCAGCCAACCCGAGAAGGCATGAGGTCCAGGGCGCGCACGCATGTACGGGGGCGCGCATGGACCTGCGTGTGTGGGTAGACGATCGGCACACGCACGTGTGCGCGTGCGTGCGCGTGCGTGGGCGTATGGACGCGGACCGGATTAACCACGAAACGTCCGAAAGGTCCTCCTGCGGCGGACGGAACGCAAAGCGAAGTACCAACAGGAAAGTCCTCATGTCCCGTCGAGTTGTCGACATTGAAGGTTGCACGTGCCCTCTGAGAGGCCCAGACCCAGATCTCCAAAATTCTTGGGCACTCTCGCGCGTTCTTTCTCCGTGTGTGTGTGTGTATATGTGTATGTTCTTTCCCCCCCGAGCCCTTGGAAGCGTCCTTGGGAGTGTGTGCTTCCAACATGCCGACATGTTGTCCCAAGTGGCCGTCCTGGAGCCCCCTCGGGGACCCTTGAGGCCGACTTGGAAGCCCTGGGGACTGGCCCAAGAGGCTAAAATCGTTGAACGTCGAAAAAGTGAAGTCGAGTATTTTCACATGCTCGCCTTCCAGATCTTCAGCGCACCCCAAATGGTCCAAAACGCCCCCGTTAGAGCCCAAAGAGGGCTCCCGAGGTCCCCCGAGACGCGGAGAGGGGCAACCTCCCTGCCGCTGATAGTGCTGAGGCCGCACGCTCTCGCACCTGCTGCGCTCGGATCGAGGCGTGGCTCGGGCAGATCGTGAACGTCGTCGGCACCAGCCAGGACCTCGGCTACCACGCTGATACTGCCGACGTTGCTGTTACCCTGCTCCCGCGACTCCCCCGTGGCATCGCAACCCGAGACGGCTCACCGCGCCGCAAGTGCACAAAACGCCGACGACAGGACCCAGCTACGTCACGATGGGGCGATCCATCGGCGTCCACACCCATGGCGAGACCATCCCGAAGTCTGGGTTTAGAAAGGGCTGCGTCTCCAACCTCCGACCACGCTGGCCCTCGTCCAGCTCCCTCGGATGGGCGAAAGCCTCATCGACCCCGAACGCCTCGGAGTGGGGGGCGGCGCTCCGTCGCAGGGCTGCCGCGACGCTGGGCCGCCGTCTAACCAGCAGGGGCCTCTGTGCATGGGCCCAGGGACACACAAATAAATATGAGTACACAAATCCAAGGATTTTCAATATTTCCTAGCATTTCGTTTTTTTCTTCTCCCCCCACATCCTAGCTTTTCCCATCTCTTCCTGGGGGTCGACGATTACTTGTGCCTGTATGTTTCTTCCCCTCCTGACTCTAGAACAAGAAGACGCGCGATGGCCTGACGGGCCAGCTGCGCGTCGCCCCAAGGCAGCTCCAGCGGGTCTCCCAAAGTGGCGTTCTGCAGCTCGAGGCCGTCGAGGTCCCCATGCGGTCAGGCACTTTGGCTTAGCGCTTAGCGCCTCGCGGCGGCGGCCCCGACGACAAGGCATGCCATGCAGGCAGATAGCGCGTCGCTCCGCTCCGCGGGGCGGGATGCTGGGAAGAGCTCGGGACGTTGCCGCTCAGGGAGCGGGACGCGCTCAGCATTCCGCGCCGAAGCGTGGTGGGCCAGGACCGCAGGGAACCCCCAACGGACGTACGCGCCCAGCCACTTACGTGAAGACGCCCCCCCCAGTCCGCGAGACCAGCCTCGTGATACCAGCGTTCACGCAGTGCGTACTTTCGAAACCAACGTGGATTCGTGTAAGTGTGCGTCCTTCTCTCGCTCCTGAAACCGGTGGCGCCCCACGTCATGCAAACGTTTCTGACTGTATCGGGCTGCGCGGCGTTGGTCGGACGGCTCTCGTGCGCGCCGGCTCCGAGCGCGGCGATCCGCGGTGATCCGGCCAGCCGAGGCGTCCACCCGTGGCGGGGGCGCCGCCCCGAACCGCCCCTGAGGAGCTGCGAGCCGATGGCCTGCTCCGACTCATCGGGCGGCGGGTGGTAAGGGGGTGATCTGAAGGAGGGGGAGCAAAGGGCCCTGAAGGAGGCCTTCGAATAAACGTAGTATGGACTCGACATGTCAGTCAGAGCCCTCAGAAGGCGAATCCACCCGCCGACGCCCGTCGCCCACCTCCCCACGAAGATGGGCACGGACGGCCTGAGCAGGAGCGGTCTCTGCCTGCAAGGAAAACAGAAGTGCCACAGCCGAGGCAGCACCAGGCATGAAGGCGGCGGCAACCGCCGCAGATTCTCGACAAAGTGTACTGCTCCGTCGAGCTTAAACTTACCCTCAGAGAGCCGAGTCGCCACCGTTCGAGCCCATTTCGGAACATTAGTGGGACACGGGAGAGCAAGAGAAACCAAACTCTGAGTGACGAAAGCCCCCTCCTCCTCCTCCTCCTCCTCCTCCTCCTCCGCCTTTTCCTCCCCCCTCCCGCGTTACTCCTCTGCTCCCTCGGCATCCCTCTTGCGCCTCCTCCTCCCTCCTCTCTCCTCGTCCTGCTCCTGCTGCTACGACCTCGTCCTCGTTCTTCTTCTCCCCCTCCTCCTACTCCTCATCCCCCTAATCCTCATCCCCCTCCTCCTCCTCCGCCTCATCATCATCATCATCCTTCTACCCCTCTCTCTTACTCATCCTCCTCCTCCTCCTCCTCCGCCTCCTGCTTATCCTTTTGTCCCTCTCTCCTCCCCTTCCCCTCTTCCGACCTCGTCCGGCTTCCTGCTCCCCACGCCCTCGCCTCCTCTCGCCTCCTCCACTGCGGCCTCTCGCAGTGTTGGACATGCTCGCGCGCGTGGCGGGGAAGGGGAAGGCGAGCTTCTGGATCTGCTCGGGCGGGTCGTGCACCTTCTATCGGAGGGGGCAGGGCACCAGAGGAGGGGCGAAATAGGAGGGGCAGGAAGGACGAGGACGGGAAAGGGGAGGATCGAGGAGGAAGAGAGGGAGGAGGAGGACAGGAGGACGGGGAAGCGAAGGGGGGGAGAAGAGAGAGGAGGGCACGGATTTGGAGGAGGAGGGGAAACGTGAGGAGGTGGAGGAAGCGGAGGGAAAGGCTCAAAAGGAAGAAGAGGAGCAGGAGGAATGAGAGGAAGTGGTGAGGGGAGATGGCAAGCTACATTATGCAACCCATGTGGTGCATTCTATAAACATAAGTCCTCCGACCCAGTCGTGTATGTGTGTGAGGCCCTTCGACGCGAGGCTTGCCCATTCCAAATTGAAGTACGCCAGCCTCCTTTGAATCGTCGTCTTTGTAGGGGAGATCGAGCAAGCAAGGGGGACGGAACAATGTCTTTATTACGTCGATTGGAAGCCCCTTCCCTTTGTCCCTTCCCTGCTTGTAAGGCAGGAGGCTACATGTGGGCGGCGGCGAGGCGACGACGCGGCGGCGACGGTGGCATCACAATCACCACAGCCACCAGACCACCACCCGGGCCCAAACAACGTGCGGCGACGAGGCGGCGACGGTGGCAACATAGCCGCCAGTCCGCCACCCAAGCCTAGACGGCGGGTAGCGACGCGACGATGCGGCGACGGGGCGGCGACGGCGGCAACAGAGCCGCCAGACCGCCACCCAGGCCCACTTCCTTCGAAGAGAATTAAGAGCCCCTTCGTGCAACAACTCTTTGGGACATGTCCATCATATTCCGATTCGTACATGGGTGTGTGAAAAGACATTCCGTGCAGGTGTAGACTTCAGCCAACATCCGCCGAGCTTCCGCTGAAAAGCCCAATATAGCTGTCCCTCCCCCGCCTTCTGCGGGCGTTCTGTTGGCATCCATCGAGGGTAAGACGTCAAGGGCTCGATTCCTAAAGGGCGAGGCTCTTTCCGCGCTGCCTTACTTGATACAGCTCTTCAACCCTTGGAGGTCTAAGAGAACATAACTAATGCGTATTGCGGCCATCCCAATTCCGCAGACGGGCGCGTCATCCGTCATGGCCCTCTGGGGCGTGTGGACAAGAGCTCTCGCGTGTTACGGCCTGTTTTTTTTTCTTGTGTTGTATCTGTTTTTTGCTGTTAGGCCCCCCCCACAGACTGCTAATGCGGCCCAGCTTGCCATAGGTGGGCAACAATGCGCCCTGTATGCAGCCAGTTGCTCCAATCGAATTGATGTTAGAATCAGTCCGCGCCGTGTCATGGCGGGCCTGCCTGAGGCGTCGCAGGCTTATCCTGTGATCCAGTGTAATCTCGACAACCAGGGAGGGCGAGTTAAGACAACGGCAACTCAAAATCGGTCCCCAAACTCTTCCCGTGGTACAAACGCACCCGATTTTCGGAGCTGGGTCCAACCTTGGCGACGCGCCCCCCCCGCCCCGACGACCAACTACCGTTGTCTCAACTTGCCCTTTCTTGAGACAGGCACATTACTGCATACGATTCCCTCGGTCAGCTAACTTCTCGACACGGGGTCACACAGCCTCCACCTTCTGCAAGCGAGCATCCCTCGCCGACCTGCGAGTGGGCCTCAGCACCTTCGCCCGGTCCTCGCCGTTTTGCGAGATGCCTGCATCAATGAATGTCATCCTCACTTCTGCGATACCGCGGTGTTGGCTCCAGTCATGTTTGTGCATCGGCAACTGCAATACTCACCAACTTCGACGAAGGGGCAAGCGGCACCAGCACTGCCGTCATCTAGGGGTAGCAAAGGGAGGCTCCCTCGTGCTGGTGTGGCGTCGCTGCTTTTCTGGCGTCTTGCTGCACACATCTCCAACCTCTAGCTCGGAGAGGCATCATGGACTTCCTCGCCCGGGGATGGCCTTGTCGGTTGTGCTTGCGCCGCTTTTCGCTCCTCCGGTGGCCAGGGCTGACGAAAGACCTCCAGACGCTGCAAACAGATCTCCAGGGCGGAGGTAGAATTCTCAGTGTGGAGGTTTTGAAGCCTCCGGGCAGAGGGGTTGCCCGCTGTGTTATTTCTTCTCGAGCACCGGCCTGTGCAAGACCTGCGTGCGCCCGAGCGCTCACGATGTGCGGAGGCCCTCGCCACCTGCGTCACGCGCCCCTGATCGACCAGCCTGCCCCTCGAGTCGGAGATCGAGGGGGCGCTGGATCCTCCAGGAGGCGGAGGGGCGACGGACAGTGAGGGAAGACGCGGGGAGGCCTCCTTCGCCTCAAAGATGCCCCCCAGGACGGCCCGAGGATGTTCTATGACGCCAGGCCGCAGAGTGCCTGTGCACACGGCCACACACCACTGGGTTGCACCTGCTGCCGGTCGGGCCTGCGCTCAGAGCACAGGCGCAAGGCCAGGAACGAAGGGGAGGATGGAGAGAAGGGGTAGGGGGGGGGGCGGGGTGAAGGACGAGAGAAGGGGGCGGAGAAGAAGGAAGAGGATGGAGAGGGGCGGAAGCATCTGGTGAGGATGTCCCTGGCCGCGCGGGCCTGGCCCTCTCCCAGCCCTCCCGCACAAGATCTGCCGACCCGTCCCCTGGCCAAGCCGTCTCCAAAGGGGGGGGGAGATGGCGCCCGCTTCCAAGGAGTCACCTCAGCCCTCCTCCTCCTCCTCCTTCTTCTCCGCCTCCTCCTCCTTTTCCTGCTTCATCATCGTCGTCGTCCTCCCCCTTCCCTTCCCCCCCGTCCTCCCCGCGTCGTCGTCCACCTCCTTTTCCTCATCGTCCTCCCCCCTCTTCCTCGTGCCCCTCCTTGGACCTCGGAGCCCCGCGACAGACCTCCAGAGGAAGAGGGAGGAACCATAGCGCAGCGGCGACAGACGAGACCGCTAGTCCACCTGAAGGTCCACCCCCTCGCGCTGCGCCGTGCCCGGCGTGCCGTCGGGCCGCTTTTTCTCTCTGTGCCGGCCCCGTTCCCCCACCCCGAGCGCCGTCGAGGCCCCCACGCGTCGTTTCACGACGGCGACGACGGCGACTACCGCGACGACGGCGGCGGCGGCGACGACGAACGACGACCTTTCGAACGCATCGGAGCTCTCGCGCGTCCGTGTCTCCTCTCTGGTCCCACACACACACAAAAGAAAAACATCAGACGCCAGCCGTCCGGCGGACGAGTGGCGCCACCAGCGGAGTGCGCGGTGGGACCGTCCGTCCCCCCGCGGGTCGATTGCCGTCGAGCCCGCCCGCTGCCTGCCCCCACGCAGTGTCGCCTTGCCTGCCGCTGCCCCCCAGGCGTTTCAAGGGCCAGCGCCTCGGGGCACCAAGGGATTGGGGCATCGGTGGGCTCGTCTGGGGGGCATCCGCAGAGGACGCCTGGAACCTCGGCGGGTTGCTCTGGGCCGCTGGCCCCATGACCTTTGGTATCACCTCCCTCTTCCTGCACCATCCTCCTCCTCCTCCTCCTCCTCCTCCTCCTCCTCCTCCTCCTCCTCCTCCTCCCTCCCCCCTCCCTCCTCCCTCCTCCCCCTCCTCCCTCCTCCTCCCTCCTCCTCCTCCCTCCTCCCTCCTCCCTCCTCCCTCCTCCCTCCTCCCTCCTCCCTCCTCCCTCCTCCTCCTCCCTCCTCCCTCCTCCCTCCTCCCCCTCCTCCCTCCCCCTCCCCTCCTCCCTCCTCCTCCCTCCTGCCTCCCCCTCCCTCCTCCATCCTCCCTCCTCCCCCCTTTCGTCATCCACCCTTCGTCCTCCCTCCTCCTCCTCCTTCCTCCTCCTCGTCCTCTTCCTCCTCCTAGCTCCTCCTCCTCGTCCTCCTCCTCGTCCACCTCCTCATCCACCTCGTCCTCCTCCTCCTCCTCCTCCTCCTCCTCTCCTCGTCCTTCTCTCCTTCTCCTCCTCTTCCTCCCCCTCCTCCTCCTCCTCCTCCTCCTCCTCCAGTTCCAGTTCCAGTTCCAGCTCCTCCTCTCCTCCTCTCCTCCTCCCCCTCTTCCTCTCTCCTCATCTTCCTCCCCCTCCTCCCCTCCTCCTCCTCCCTCCTCCTCCTCCTCCTCCTCCTCCTCCTCCTCCTCCTCCTCCCCCATCCTCCTCCTCCATCCTCCTCCTCGTCCTCCTCCATCCTCCTCCGCCTCCACCCTCCTCCTCTCTCCATATTCCCGGTTCCTCCCCCTTCCCCTGGCGCCCAACAGCCCGTGTCTCTGGAGTACTGCCACGCCTCGCAAAGCAACATGGACAGGCAGGTTTTCCTGCACTCGGCGATGCCCTCCTGCCAGGGGCACGGCCTTGCGACTCCTTTTCCTCCTTCTCCTTTTCCCCCTCCCTTTGACGAAAGACAGGCTTCAAGCATCATGGATTGCGGTGTCTCTCCTCCTCCTCCTCCTCCTCCTCCTCCTCCTCCTCCTCCTCCTCCTTTTCCTCCTCCTCCTCCTCCTCCTCCTCCTCCTCCTCCTCCGCGCCACGGCCCCGGGCCCCGGAGTCTGGGGGGGGCCCCGGGGCGGCCAGGCCGCCCGAGCTGCGCGCGTCCGCGCGCGCCCCGCGCGCCCGGCCGCGCAGCGCGCGGCAGCCGGGCGGGCGGGCGCCGGGCAGCCCAGGCGGGGGGCGAGCCCAACTGGCGGCACCGCCGCCGACCCCGCCGCCGCCGCCCCCGCCGCCGCCTCTCCCTTCCGCTTCCGCCTGCCGCCGCCGCCGCCCCCGCTGCTGCCGCCCCAGCCGCCGCCTCCTCCCCCCGCCGCAGACCGCCGCCGCCGCCGCCCCACGCTCCGCCCCGGGCCGCGGCCGCCGCCGCCCAAGCCGCCGCCTCCTCTCGTTTTCGCTGTGGCCTCGCGCCTCCTCCTCCTCCTCCTCTGCCCCGGCGCCGGCCCGAGCCCCCCCTCGCCTTTCGCCGCCCTCCTCAGCGCCTCGCCTCGCCGCTGCCTCGCCGCCCTCCTCAGAAGAGGCCCGCCGCGTGGCGCAGCTGCCGCGCCACCCGGCGCTGGACAGCGCAGCTGACCGCGCTGTAGGCGCGCGACAGCTCGTAGTGCTGCTCGTCGCCTGGCAGCTCGCGCACGTGACTGAGCAGCCACTGGCGCGCCACTGCGCCGAGCCGCCCTGCAGTCTCCACGGCGAACGCTGTCAAACGTTCGCTGGGATAGCGTTCGTGCTTCTCCCGCTCTGCGCGCCGCGAGGCTCTCCAGGCCTCCGGGCGGCGACGCGGACGGCAGGCTCACCCCCCGCTGCAGGGTGCCGCACAGTGACGTCCACCCACCTCGTGCCATCCACGTCCTCGTACTGGACATCGAGGATAGCTCGCTCGAAGACGGCGGGCCCGTCGCCTTCGGCCGGGCGCCGGGGCCGAAAACGATCCCAGGTGGGCGCGCGCTGTTCGTGCAGCGGGCGGTCGTGCGTCCACCGCGCCGCCAAGGCGCCCACCGCCTTGGCCAAGCCGCCGTGACGCCGCGCCACGCCTCCTCCAGGCTGGCAAGTGGCCGCGTGGTAGCCGTCCGCGTCAAGTGGCGCCTGGCAGCCGGCCCCAGCCGCGGTCCGGTTGCAACGCGTCGCAGCTGCCCGCGCCATCTCGTCGCGAGAGCATTCTGGCCGTGGTAGCAAGAGGCGGCAGCGCGTCGCGGTGGCCCACTCCACGTCTTCCAGCGCGAACGCTGCCTCTGTGGGGCACTGCAGGTACGCCCCAGATCCCGGCCCGCCAGCGGACTGAAGGACTGCCTGGTTGCGCAGGTGCACTCGCTGCCGGGAAGCAGCCAGAGCTGTCTTGCGCACCGTCGCCACCATCGTCCTCTGCCTCGTCGGCCAGCCAAGCGCCGCGGCGAGCGGGGCGGCGGGGGACGGCTCCGTGCCCTGGCGCGCCAGTTCTGCGCGCGCGTCCGCCAGCGTTGCTGCGCTGCGGGGGAGAGCGCACAGCGCGTCCGCGAGCGAGGCGGCGCCCAGGTCGCGGCGCACCTCGTCAGCGGCGTGCGTCCAGGCGGCCCAGAAGGCCGCGGCTCGCCTCGCGGTCGCCCACTGGGCCCCCTCGCCTCCGAGCTTGCGCGGCAGGCCCAGCAGCTCGCAGGCCTCTGGTCCAAGGGGGCGGTCCAGCAGCTGCTCTCAGCAAGCCCTCAGCGCGGCGTCGTAGTGGAAGGCCTCCCCTGGCGTCACCAGCGCAAGCTGGAGGTAGTGCTGGCCGGCGTTGCTCGCGTAGGCCGTCAAGAGCGCCGCCCTTGCCTGCTTAGAGAGGCTCCCCTGGGGCTCATGGAGGCGAGCGAAGAGCTCCTGCAGGCGCGCCGTTGCGTTGTCGAGTCCGCAGCCTTCCTCCCCGCCGAGGTGGAGCGCGGCGTCGTCGGCGTCCCCAGGCGCCCGCAGCTTCGCGCCGAGCACTGGCAACACGGGAACGGCGTTGCCTGCCAGCTCGGGCGGCACGGCCTGCGCCCCAGCCGGTGACCAGACCAGCGTTTTCCGGGCGTTGAGCTCGAGCCCCAGCGGCGCAAGCGCCCGGTTCAGTGCCTGCAGCGTGAGCGCCCCAAGGTCAGCTCTTCCCACCAGGTAGGAGTCGTCAAGGTAAGAGAAAAGCCTCGCGTGGGGGTCCCGCTGCTGTAGCTCGCCCAAGAGCTGCTCCAAGGCTGGCCGTTGACCGACGGCGAAGCCAGCTGGGGACAGTGGGTCCCCTTGGTCGAAGCCCCGCCGGCTCCAGACAGCTTTGAACTGCCCGTTGGCTCCGCGCCAGTAGTGCTTGGCCGGCTGCGCGTACCACGTCTGCAACGCCTCAGCCACTTCAGGCACCGCTGCCGCCATTGCCTGGAAAGCGGGCCACCGCCTCATCCTCTGAAGCGCGGCCTTCACGTCTACCTTGATAAAAAAGGCGTCCGGCCGAGTCTCTGCCAAGGCTTGCAAGTGCTTCACCAGCAAGGTCGCCCCGCCCTTGCGCCCGACCCCGTACTGGTGCTCGCCCGCCGCGTCGGCAAGCTGGTCTTTCCGCGCTCTGGCCAGCGCCCGCAGTCCGAGGCGGCGGAGCGTCGCGCTCACCAGGAGGGGCCGGACCTCCCCGCCCCCCTTGTCGAGGGCCACCAGCTCTCCTGACTGGAGCGCCTGGAGGACGTCTGGTGGGAGCGCGGCCACCCGGGAGAGCAGGCACCGAGTCTCCTCGCTGTCGGCGCCGGCGGCGAGGTGCTCCAGCCGCGTGCCCAGCAGGCCTGGCGCCGTCAGCCGGGGAGGTCGCCGCAGCAGCTTCCGCACTTCTTCCTCCGCCTGTGCCCGCAGCTCAGGGCTCGGCGGCGCGCGCGGCAGGGGCGCCGGCGGCGGCGGTTGCCCCTCTGCCGGGGCGCGATCGTCTGGCGGGAAGCTCGCGCGCAGCTGGTCCAGGGTTGCGTCGGTGCGCGGTGCCAGCTCGGCTCCGACTGCGGCGGCCAGGGCGCGGCTCTCTTCTCCAGCAGAGGCCAGCGTGTGCACGCGCCTCCCTCTCTCCCTGGCGGTCGTGCGTCTTGGAGGCGCCCTGGACGCTGGGCTGCCTCCCGTGGCAGAGGCCCACAGCGGCGCCCACTGACCGCCCCACCACAAGGCGAGCCGCTCCTCCAGTAGTTCGGCACACGTGGGGCCGCTGCCGCTGGGTCTGGCGAGGAGCATCATCTCCTCCTCCTCCTCCTCCTCCCCCTCCTCCTCCTCCCTCCTCCTCCTCCTCCTCCTCCTCCTCCTCCTCCTCCTCCTCCTCCTCCTCCTCCTCCTCCTCCTCCTCCTCCTCCTCCTCCTCCCCCTCCTCCCCCTCCTCCATATTCACGCACCGCCATCGGGCGTCACCCAAAGCACCCCCGCGCCCGCCGCGCGCCCCCGGGGATCGTCGGGTGCACGGCGGCGGACCCATTCCGGAGGTGTGATGGAGAGATGAGGGCAACCCACACTCTTTTTATCCTGAAGCCCAGAGAGGAGGGGAAGGAGACGGAGAAGGAGGAGCGGCCAAGCCGCTCATGATGTACTTGACGCTGACGTGGATTATTGTCAATCACGTAGTATGTGTCGCACCTTTGTCCGCAACGCTGCGCCAGCCCTTGATGATATACCGACAACATGCCGTACAAATATCTGGAGTCCCGAAACAGTGCGGTGACAGACCGTGCGGTGACCTCGAAAACCCCCAAGACCTCACCACACGGTTCTTCAACGCACGGTTTTGGGACCTCGGATGCCCCAGTCGCCCGAGACGTCCTTGGAGAACGACCCGAGTCCCAAAACCAGGCGGTGACCCTAGATCCCCACCGTCTCACCACACGGTGTAGTCACCACCTCGTTTGGGGCCCCCCGAAAATGGCTTCACTTCTGCGATCGCCGCCGTAGTGTAGCTCTGCCGACTGTGGACTCTCAGCCGTGCTTCCTCCGGACCGTAGTCTGCGGGGCGTCGATCATTGCGACGTAATCGACGTACTCCTTGCCCGGCTTCGCCTCGGCAGTACCCTGCGGAGATCGGTCGATTGGTCTCCTTGGGCCCCCGGCTGCGGCGGTATCGTTTCCGCCTCGTCGTTGCCGAGCTTCTCGGCAGCCGTGTCCCAAATCACGCCGCTGATGCTCTGGAGCGGGCCCGTGCTTCTTTTACTCATCGAGTTTTGCCACTGCTGCTCCAGTAGGTGCTTGAGATGTGTTTCTGGGCCCTTCCCCTGCAAGCCGGAGATCTTGAGCCAAGGCCTGTGGCTCCGACTGTACATCCAGCCGTGGACGGCGAACTCACATTCAGCGCAAGAAGTACTCGTAGCTCAGCCGGAAGTCCTCGTAGCTCCGCGCGTGGCTTTTGTAGCCCAGATTGTGGTCCTCGGTGTTCAGCTGGTTCAGCTGGTGGCCCCAGTAGCTGTGGAGGTTGTGGTCGGTCAGCCTGTGGCCCTGGTAGCTCCGCTGGTGGCCCTCGTAGCTCAGGAGGTGGCCCTGGTAGCAACGCTGGTGAATCTCGTAGCTCAACCTGGTGGCCCTCGTAGCTCTGCTCATAGCACGCGTAGCGCAGCTGGTGGCTCCCAGAGCTCTGCTTGCGGCCCTCGCAGCTCCGTTTGCTGCCCGCGAGGTTCAGCAGGTGGCCCTCGCAGTCAAACTGGAAGCTCTCGAAGCTCTGCTCGTGGCTCTTGTGCTTCAGCTGGGGGCACTCGTAATTCTGCTCGAGGCTCTCGCTGCTCAGCTCGTGGCCCTTGTAGCTCAGCTTGTGGTCCTCGGTGTTCAGCTGGTGGCACTTGTAGCCCAGCCCGCGGCATTCGTGGCTCAGCAGGTGGCCCCCGTAGCTCTCGTAGCTGTGCCTGTGGCGCTAGGAAGTCAGCTCGTTGTCCTTGTGGCTGTGCCGGTGTGTCATGTAGCTGTGCCTCTGGGCCTCGTAGCTCAGCTTGTGGTTCTTGAAGGTCTGCTGGGGTGCCTGGTAGCTCCTCTGGTGGCTGTAGTAGCTGCGCCTGTGGTCATCGTGGCTCTATTCTATGTCCTTGTAGCCCAGCTGGTGCCTCTGGTAGCTCCAGCTGGTGGCCCTGGTAGCGCAAGAGATGGCCCTGGTGGTTCAGCTGGTGGTTCTCGAAGTGCTGATGTGTGGCTCAAATCATGGTTATCGTGGCGCCGCTGGTGGCTCTCGTAGCTCGGCAGGTGGGTCTTGAGGCTTCCTGGTGGCTCTCGTAGCTGTGCCTGTGATCCTCGTAGCTCAGCCTGTGGTCCTCGGAGGGCCGCTGGTGGCCCAGGTCGTTCTGCTGGTGGCTGTAGCAACTCTGCTCGTTGCCCTCGAAGCTCAAGTTCTGGCCCTCGTAGTTTTCCAAATGGAACGCGTGGCTCGGCCGATGGCTTTCGAAACTCTGCTAGTGGCTCTCGTAGCTGGGCTGGTGGCTCCGGTAGGGCTCCTGGTAGTCCAGGTAGCTCTGCTGGTGGCTTACGCAGGTCAGCTCGCGGTCGTCGTAATTCAGCTTGTGGCTCTGGTGGCGTTTCCTTGAGCTGTCTGTTACGTAGCCCGTTCATGTACTAGGGCTGCCCGTTACGCAGCTCGTTCTCGCATTGGGGTCGCCTGTTACGCAGCTCGTGCTTGGACGCTCTCGCAAGAGCATTCGTAACAATGGCAATAATGTCGTCGGGTCCAGGATATATCCCATGATGGACCTTGTGCCCCACTCGTTTTGGGGCTGCGTCTGTTCGCGCCCACGTTCCTCTATGCGAGTATGGTCTTGGCATCCTTGCCAGTAAGGCTCAACAGCAGTGGGTCAATTTCGTAGCCTCGTAGAGGAACAACTGGCATCTGATGTTGTAGTCGCGGCTGATCACCTTCGTGCCATGGTGGCGCCCCCCTGACCTGACCGCGGGGGCGGCTCAGGGGCTGAGGCCGGCCCGCTGGGGCGCGGCGCCTCCTCCCCTTCCCCCTCCTCCTGTTCCTCCTCCTCCTCCTCCTCCTCCTCTTTCTCATCCTCCTGATCCTTTTCGTCGTTGTCCTCCTCCTCCTCCTCCTCCTCCTCCTCCTCCTCCCTCCTTCCTCCTCCCTCCTCCCTCCTCCCTCCTCCCTCCTCCCTCCTCCCTCCTCCCTCCTCCTCCTCCTCCTCCTCCCTGGCGTCGCAGCGCCTCCGAGCGAGACGCCAGGCTGCCGCGCGGCTCGACGAGGCTCTGTTGGGGAGGGCGGGGTGCATCGGCGGAAGCGCTGGTGCCCGTCATATTGATGGGGCATCGCCCCTGGGCTCGGCCAAGGCTTACGCGAGGCGCTTCGCCTTCTTTCGTGCGGCGGGTTCGTGTCGTGTCGTGGCGGCCCCGGCGCTGGTCTTTGACACCGCGTGGATCGTTCTGCCTTGAACCATTGGAAGCGTCCTGATCTCTAGATCGTGCCATGTTGGCCGGTTCTGCTCCGCTGCCGGCGTTCAACCTTGAACAGCCGCGGCTGGGACGCTGGCGCGGCGGCACAACACGAACCTAACGTACCTTCGTCCCCCTCATCCGTCGGCTCCTCCGCGGCCTGGGCACGCGGACTGGCAGAGAGTCTGGAGATGCAGTTGACCTTCTGGCTTGCTTGTTCTCCGAAGCTGTGGCGGCTCGAGAGGGCACAAGGGGGCGCAGCGATGCAGGGAGGAGGGCAGCACGCATCGTGTCTCCTGTGGGCTGGCGCCCAAGGGCCGCTGGCCCGCACCATGCAGCGGGTGGCCGAGCAGGATCTGGCGCCGCATTTCAGCACCGCGCTGTGGAGACCTCCTGGGGAGGACCGGGTTAGGTCGGGCATGACCTCCGACAGGCGGATTTGGGAAGACAACTGAAAAAAAAAAAAAAGTCCGCCGGCCCCCGCTGAGGGTGCAAGGCTGCGAAGGTGTGTGCGGTCTATTGTCATGTGTTATGTGTTGTCATTTGTTGTTTGGCCTTTCGTCTCTCCAGTCTTGTTTCCTGCTTCCTGTCTACTGTCTGCTAAGGGGCCCCGCCGCGCCACCAAACAGCCAACGGGGGGGGTGAACCTCAAATCCAGGCTGCTCCGGGCCACCCCAGGATTCTCATGGTGACACCACCGCGCGGCCAGAACGGCCCGAGAAGCCTCCAAGATTGCCCGACGAGGCTCCGAAGAGAGCCTCAGGAGGCCAAGACAGCCCAAGATGGCCCCAAGATGTCCCACAATGGCCCCAAGACGGCCCACGATGCTCCCCAGACGGCCCAAGAGGCCTCCAAGAGGCCTCCCAAGAGGGCCCCACGAAGCACACATTGCAGATGTTCCTAACGTTTTTTTTTTTTAGAGTTTTTGGCCTTCTCGCATTTTCGGCTTTCCGACGCTCCGAGGCGGACCAAGAAGTTCCCAAGATCGCCCCGCGACGGCCCGGCCCAAAAGGCCCCAAGACGGCCCCAAGGCGGCCGAAGAGGGCACCAATAGGGTCCAAGAGGCGTCCCAGATGGCCCAAAAGGGCCCTAAGACGGTCCCAAGAGAGGCCCAAGAAAGAGTCCACGAACCAAGAACTCGACCTTCCCGCCCCGAGAGGGCTCCAGGAGGCCCCAAGAAGGTCCCCAGAGGCCCCAAGAGGCCCCCAAGAGGCCCCCAAGAGGCCCCCAACAGGCCCCAAGGAGACCCTCAAGAGACCCAAATGTTTGTTTCCAATAGGCCATAAGGAGACCCCCAAGAGGCCCGTAGGAGACCCCCAAGAGGCCCCAGGGAGACCCCCAAGAGGCCCCCAGGAGACCCCCGCGCAGCCGCCCGCAGTAGCAATAGGGGGGCCAGCGGCAGAGGGCGAAGCCCTTAAGATTTTCAACAAAAAAACTATTCGAAGGGTCGTCCCCAGATTATCCTTTGATTATTTGTTTGATATTCCTCCTGAAGGGGGACACGCACGACTTAACGCAAGAGTGATCCTGGTCGGTGCGTGGCTTCATTGGCAGATCCGAGCGCGCAAGCCGATGCTCCTGGGGGAACTGCGGGGGCCAGCACTTCAAGGTCACTTCGGTGAAGGGTCACTCTTATACGGGGAGATAAACATGTTGTTCTCTCGGAGCCACATGTTTCCAATGCCGCCAAAAGTCAGCACCATATGATTGCTGCTGCTCATTCGGAGCCGCCTGCCTCCTGCACTTCAAAACCACAGTTGGAGCGCATGTGGTCTAAGCCCTCCCAATACAGAAGAAGAGGAAGACAATGAGCAGGACCCGCCAACGAACCGCAGGGACACCGATGCCGTTACGGTCAGAAACTGTGGCATCGCGTGTCGCGGCGGCGGCCCTGGCGACACGCTGTGCCTCGTAAGCGGGCAGCTTGTCGCACCGCTCCGGGGGGGGCGACGGGAGGCTGGGCAACAGCTCGGGATACGTCGGCGCCCATGAACGGGGATGTGGATGGCGTGTCGCGCCGAAGTACGGCGGGCCAGGACCGTCGGAGCGACACGCAAAGCCAAATTTCCTGACCGTACTCCCCAGACCTCTCCTGGGGTGCGTTCCGACTAGCATTCAGGGGACAGTGTAGCCTTGGTGGCGAGGGTTCTCCATGGCGAGCAGCGGTACGATATCTTGTCTTCCCCGATCCTCCCTTCGGGAGATCGCGGACACGTCAGACTAGGGGTCGGAGGACCCGAGTTGGCCTGACGGGGCCGTCGGAGAAAGGGCAAGACCCAGTCTGGAACCTGACGCGCGCCCCCGCTGCAGACGCCCCACGGACACTGGAACGCGGGGCCGCGGGGGCACCCCCGAATGCCCGGCAACCCCGGGACCCGCGCCTCCACGAGCGGCGGCCCCGGGCGCATCCCGCCTGCGCGCCGACTGGAGGCCGAGGGGCCAGCGGCCGGGCCCCAGCCCGCAGCCCGCAGCCCGCTGCCCCGGGGTCCTGCGACGCCGCGTGCCCGCTCCAGCCGAGGCCGTGCACGCCGGCAAAGGCCCGGAAGGCGGTGCGGAGGCCGGTGGTGTGGTAGCCTGCGCGAGGGGAGCGCGCGGGGAGGGGCAGCGGAGAGGACGCGGGGAGGGGGGCAGGGGCGGAGGAGTGCGGATCTCCGGGTCCTCCTCTCGCGGCTCCTCCCCCGAGGGACGCACCGGGGGAGGCGCGGCGACTCGGGACGCCAGGCCTTGAGCTGCGCCGCAGGTGACTGGCGGTGCACGAGTCTGCCAGAAGTGCCCTCCTCCTGCTGGCTCCATCCCTACCTCCCTCCCTCCTTCCCCTTCCTCTCATCCAGATCGCCATCTTTCTTCCGCCGCCTCCTGCAGATCTCAGATCTCCTCCTCCACTAACTTCGAGGCGTGGCGGGCGGCAGTAACGGCGCTGTCTCATACTTCATCGGCACCGTCAAAATCCTTCGTGAGATGGTAAGTCAGTGGCGAAGCGCGCGGCGGACGCCACGCCATCCTGCGAAGCCATCCTGGCGAAGCGCGCGGCGGACGCCACGGGGGAGGACCCCGCCACCGTGGCGGCGGAGCACACCCAGCGACTCTCGCTACTCCTCCAGAAGGAGAACGCGCGGGCCGTGCTCCGCAGGCTGCAGGGCCCCGGCAAGGCGCCTGCGGCCAGACTGGCAGCGGCCACGGCGGCTAGAGCGGCCGACGCTGCCCGAGCCGACCGCAACCACGACCACCCCCTACGCCCCGCCCCGGCAACCCCTTCCCTTTGACCCAGACCACGACCTCGACCACCCCCGACCGCGACCACGACCAGGACCACAACCGACGACCCCCAGACCCACGACGACCCGCGACGACCCCCCGACGGCCGCCGCCCGCCCCCAACGTGCGCGCTTGCCTGCTGCTGCCTTTGCCGCCCCCCCCTCTCTTGCATGTCGGCGCCTGCTCTCCGTATGTTTCCTCTCCCCCCTCGTCCCTCGTCCTCGTCCTCCTCCTCCTCCTCCTCCTCCCCCTCCTCCGGCAGCACGGCGTCTTCGCCTTGCGCTCGCCCGCCCGCGAAGGCGGCCAGGCGCGGCCAGCTGCGGTTTTTGTTCGTTCCCTTTCGGTCTGGGTCAGGGGCTGCGGCTCGCAGGCCGGAGGGGGTAAGTCAGTGTGGTGACTCCTGCCCTGGCAGTAGCGCTGATGATGCCAATCTCCCCCTCATATAGGGCGTCCGTCGGGGGCGCCCCGATGCGCAAGAAGCAATTGCCATCGCTCGGACGTCCATTCCAAGTGCACTGTCTGGTTTCGTCCAAAACGTCCTGTGATGTTAAGTCCTCGTTTTGGCAAGACAGCGCCCTGGGTCCTTCCCACTCCCGGTGCCCCCTCCCCCTCCTCCCTCCTCCCATCCCTGCCTCTGCCCTCCGCATTGAACTATCTGCAACCCGCTCAAACGCATCATGACCACAACCCGCTCAAACGCATCACGACCCCATCGGGAGCTTCACCTGATGCCCCAGTGACTGCACTTGCATGCGATTCCCCGCCCATTTCGGAACACCCCTCACACGAAGCGCGGCCTCAAATGGAGCTTAACCCAAGGCCCCAATGGTTGGACTCGCATGCGGCTCCCCGCCCATTTCGGCACACCTATCACACGTGTCGTGGCCCCATATGGAGCTCCACCTAAGGCCCCAGAGGCTGTCCCCGCATGAGGTTCCCCGCCCATTTCGGCACACCCCTGACTCGCTTCGTGGCTCCACAAGGAGCTCCACCGACGGCCCCAGAGGCTGGACTCGCATGCGGTTCCCCGCCTATATCGGAGCACCCCTCACACGCTTGGTGGCCCCACAGGGAGCTTCCCATGGGGCTTCAGTGGCTGGACTCGCATACGCTGTGGCCCCACAAGGAGCTCCACCTACGGCCCCAATGGCTGGACTCGCATGCGGTTTCCCGTCCTCTTTGGCACACCCTTCACACGTTTCGTGGCCCCGGAGGGTGATCCACCTGAGGCCCTAATGGCTGGACTCGCGTTTGGTTCCCCGCGCAGCTCGGCACACCCCCGACACGTTTCGTGGCCCCACAGCTCCACCGAGGGTCCCTGTGGCTGGTCTTGCACGCGGTTCCCTGCCCATTTCGGAACACCCCTCTCACGCTGTGGCCCCGTAGTGAGCTCCATCTGAGGCCCCAGTGTGACTGACTCCCTGGCCATTTCGGCAAATCCTTCACACTTATCGTGGCCCCATATGGAGCTCCACCGAAGGCCCCAGAGGCTGTCCCCGCATGAGGTTCCACGCCCATGTTGGCACACACATCACACGTTGATTGGCCCCACAGGGAGCTCTACTTAAGGCTCCGCTGGCTGGACTCGCGTGCGGCTCCCCGCGCAGTTCGGCACACTCCTCACACGTTCCATGGCCTCAGAAGAGCTCCACCGAAGGCCCGAGAGGCTGTCCCCACATGAGGTTCCCCGCCCATTTCGGCACACTCCTCACACGTTTCGGGGCCCCACAGGGAGCTCCGCCTGAGGCGCTAGTGGCATTCCTCGCGTGCGGCTCTCGCGCAGTTCTGCACACCCTTGACACGTTTCGCGGCGTCATAGGGAGCTCCACCTGAGGCCCGAGTGGCCGTCCTCGTAAGCGGTTTCCCGCTCAGTTCGGCACACCCCTGACACATTTCGTGTCGTCATAGGGAGCTCCACCTGAGGCCCCAGTGGCTGGGCTCGCATGCGGTTCCCCGCCCATTTGGACACAATCAGTTCGGCACACCCCTGACACGTTTCATGGCGTCATAGGGAGCTCCACCTGAGGCCCCAGTGGCTGGGCTCGCATGCGGTTCCCCGCCCATTTTGACACACTCTTCACACGTTTCGCGGCGTCCATAGGGAGCTCCACCTGAGGTTCCAATGGCTGGATTCACATGTGGTTCCCTGGCAATTTTGGCACACCCTTCACACTCATCGTGGCCCCAAATGGAGCTTCACCGAAGGCCCCAGAGGCTGCCCCCGCATGAGGTTCCCCGGCCACTTCGGCACACTCCTCAAACGTTTGGTGGCCCCACAGGGAGCTCCGCCTGAGGCGCTAGTGGCAGTCTTCGTGGCCGTCCTCGCACGCGGTGTCCCGCTCAGTTCGGCACACCCCTGACACGTTGCGTGGCGCCATAGGGAGCTCCACCTGAGGCCCCAGTGGCTGGGCTCGCACGCGGTTCCCCGCCCATTTCGACACACTCTTCACACGCTAGTGGCGTCCATAGGGAGCTCCACCTGAGATTCCAGTGGCTTGAATCACATGTGGCTCCCCGACCATTTCGGCACACCCTTCACACTTATCGTTGCCCCCATATGGAGCTCCACCGAAGGCCCCAGCGGCTGTCCCCGCATGAGGCTCCCCGCCCATTTCGGCACACTCCACACTCGTTTGGTGGCCCCATAGGGAGCTCCGCCTGAGGCCCCAGTGGCCGTCCTCGCAAGCGGTTCCCCGCTCAATTCTGCACACCCCTCACACGTTTCGTGGCTTCACAGGGAGCTCCACCTGAGGCCCCAGAGGCCGTCCTCGCACGCGGTTTCCCGCTCAGTTCGGCACACCCCTGACACGTTTCGTGGCGTCATAGGAAGCTCCACCTGAGGCCCCAGTGGCCGTCCACGCGCGCGGTTTTCCGCTCAATTCGGCGCACCCCTGGGTGCGCCTGCGATTCCCCGCCCATGCCGGCACACCCCTGACACGTGTCATGGCGTCATAGGGAACTCCACCTGAGGTTCCAATGGCTGGAATCACATGTGGCTCCCTGGCCATTTCGGCACACCCTTCACACTTATCGTGGCCCCATATGGAGCTCCATCGAAGGCCCCAGAGGCCGTCCCCGCACGAGGCTCCCCGCCCATTTCGGCACAATGCTCACACGTTTGGTGGCCCCACATGGAGCTCCGCCTGAGGCGCTAGTGGCCGTCCTCGCACGCAGTTCTGGCGCAGTTCTGCACACCCCTGCCACGTTTCGTGGCGTCACAGGGAGCTTCACCTGAGGCCCAAGTGGCCGTCCTCGCACGCGGTTTCCCTGCCCAATTCGGCACCCCTCTGACACGTTTCGTGGCGTCATAGGGAGCTCCGCCTAAGGCCCCAGTGGCTGGCCTCGCATGCGGTCCCCCGTCCATTTCGACACACTCTTCACACGTTAGTGGGATCCATATGGAGCTCCACCTGAGGTTCCAATGGCTGGATTCACATGTGGTTCCCCGACCATTTCGGCACATCCGTCACACTCATCGTGGCCCCAAATGGAGCTTCACCGAAGGCCCCACAGGCTGCCCCCGCACGAGGTTCCCCGCCCATTTCGGCACACTCCACAAACGTTTGGTGGCCCCATAGGGAGCTCCGCCTGAGGCGCTAGCGGCCGTCCTCGCACGCGGTTCTCGCTCAATTCTGCACACCCCTGCCACGTTTCGTGGCTTCACAGGGAGCTCTACCTGGGGCCAAGTGGCCGTCCTCGCACGCGGTCTCCCGCTCAGTTCGGCACACCTCTGACAAGTTCCGTGGCGTCATAGGGGGCTCTACCTGAGGCCCCAGTGGAAGGGCTCGCATGCGAGTCCCCGCCCATGCCGACACACTCTTCACACGTTTCGTGGCGTCCATAGGGAGCTCCGTCTGAGGTTCCAATGGCCGGAATCACGTGTGGCTCCCCGGCCATTTCGGCACACCCTTCACACTCGTCGTGGCCCCCATATGGAGCTCCACCGAATGCCCCAGAGGCTGTCCCCGCATGAGGTTCCCCGCCCGTGTCGGCAGACTCCTCACACGTTTGGTGGCCACACAGGGATCTCCGCCTGAGGCCCCAGTGGCCGTCCTCGCACGCGGTTCCCGCTCAGTTCGGCCAAAGCTTTCTCAGATTCCGACAGTTTGGTTCCCTCGGCGTCTCAAGGAGACAGTAGCAGTTGCATGTGGCACCGAGGTCTCATCCCGAGAAGGCGAACCATGACACCTGCACCTGTCACTACTGGGGATTAGGTTGGGGCTGATCTGATCGGCCCGAGTGTGGGGCCTGTTTGTCTTGGATCTGGAACGGTTGACAAACCGCTGTTGATTTTCGGAGACGCTTCTGGAGGCCCCGACAGCAGGTTTCCTTCCATGAGGCGCGTGGGTCTAGGGTTAGTGGTCATGACCGATCCTGTTTCTTCGAGTTTGGGGCCTAAGCTGGGAGGATCTATCACGGGGCGGCTCCAAACTATTCCGAGAGGAGAGCTGCGATGCTTGGAGGTGACCATTCGGTGTTCTGCAGGGCCCGCAGCATTCATCTCTGATAGTGATAACGTTGTTCGAGGTTGGTATGCCAGACAGCTTCTGCGCGAGAAGAAGAATGCCATGAACGGGCTGTGGGCAGAGATCGGGGAGTTGCTTCGACGACGAGACCCCACCGAGATTGTGGTGCTTCAAGTACCGTCGAACCTTGAGGCGCGTGGGGCGCGTCAGAGGAATATCCCAGGTTGGCTCATTCATGGTAATGAAGAGGCTGACGTCATCGCCAACGATGCCGACCTTAGGTGTAGGTTGCCTGAATATGTTCGTGCCAGGATTGTGGAGGTGGAAGGGCGAGTTGCCCTGATTAGGCGGAGGCTTCTCAGAGCGACCCTCGAGGCCATGGTTGCGGAGCGCGAGGATGCGAAGGTAGTCGCGCCCGATGCGCGCGACCGTGTCCCGTCGGTTCGTGCCCCGCCGTCGCCTCCCCCTGCTGCAGTGGCCGGGCTTAGAAGTGTTCACACGCTTAGTGAGTGTGGTTTTTAGTGCACTACGTGCCATAGTAGTGGTACCAGAGCTACTCTCCAAGAATGGCTTGACTCTCCGTGTGCACCTTTAGAGTTAGTTGATTATGCTATCTTTAAAGGGCCTAAGGGTAAGCTGCATCTAGCTTGGGGGTGGGCTCACGCATCTCATCGGATGTTGTTTGATCAGTCACTCAAGGTCTGGATCTGTGGGGCTTGCGGTTTTTCTTCACAGTCAACAAACAAGCGGGGCTCAGACAAGAGTGTCTTGGGTCGGACTGTCTCAATGACACCAGGAGGTCATACCTTAACCGTTTCCACCGAGGTGTCACCCCTATACCTATACCCCTGACAGCTGCGTGGCGTCATAGGGAGCGCCACTGAATGCTCCAGTGGCGCGGTGAGTACGCGGCTCCCCGACCATTTCGGCACACACCTCCCATGTTTCGTGGCACCGTAGGGAATTCAGAACTGCGGTACCCATCGCCACGATGACTCTCCTCAAGATTTGTGGATGCCATGACAATGGACTCACGGACCATCCTGTCATTGAATTAAAGATGTGCTTAAACTTTGTACAACATGTTCAGAACATGTTTTAAGCATGTTTTACATGTTTAAAACATGTTTGACACATGTTGTAGACATCTGAAAATTATTTGGCAACGTGCTTCCTCCCCATTGATCGTCCTCCACAACTGAAGGGGGCCCAAGATGCTCCTAGACGATCCAGGAAATCTGGCGCTGGCCTCGCCGAGAACAGTGCACGCGCACGGGCGATGCCGTGAGTAAGAGGAGCAGGCGGAGGACCTGCTCACTCCGCCTCTCCGCGCGACAGCGGGGTGCGAACGGGCGGGCGGTTCGCGGCGCGCGGTGAGGCTTCGCGCGAAGAGGGCCGCCTGTCAGGTTCTTCAGGACCCGGTACTGGCCCCTCATGATGCGCTGGCTGGCGACGAGCTCGGCCTCCCCCCTCCTCCACCATGGGGCCTCCTCCTCGAGGCTGGGGGGACCATCTGGGTCGTGAGGCGTGCCGGCCTTGTTTGGCCCCTGGATGCCTCGGGGAGGCCTTGCAGGGGGCCTCCTCCTCCTCCTCCTCCCCCTCCTCCTCCTCCTCCTCCTCCTCCTCCTCCTCCTCCTCCTCCTCCTCCTCCCCGTCACGGGCCAGACATCAACTCTCCTCTTTGCGCTCCTCCCCCTTCGCATGTCAGGCCTCTCTCCTAGCTCATCCATCCTATAGTTCCCTCCTCCTCTTCCTCCTCCTCCTCCTCCTCCTCTCCCGAGGCACCTGTGCCACTGGGCCCCCGTCCCAGGAAAACGAAGTGGGTAGCCTCCTGTGCGTCACCCCGGGCTTGGCCCTGGGGGGGAGAGAAGCACGGCAGTCGTAAGCTTTCCAGGCCTGCGCCGAGGTCGGAAGGGTGGGGTCCTGGGGTCTGGGGGCTGACACCGCCTGGCCGTGCGCAGCTGCAGGATCTCGGGGCTCCGTCACTCTTGCCGAGACAGGGACAGAAGCACCCAGCGCCGGGTGGTGGTGGGAGCGGCGAGTAGCACGGTACCGTGCTGTCTGCTGCACGCCAGTGTACAGCACTCGGGGCACTTCGGCCACTTGGTCGTCGGAGGCTGCCCATGAATGCGTGTCACCTTTGTCCACCTTGGGCACGGGGTCTGGCGGGGGTGGTTCTGGGTACCGTGTCCACACGGGCCAGGTGACCCGCCTGCTCGTCGTGGGTGTTCCAGTGTCCCGACCTCATTGAGGCTGTCGGGGCGGCTTCGTCTGACTTCAGGCTGCGCGGAGGGACATGATCGCGGCCTCGGGGCCTGCTGAAACAGGGAGGGTTGAACGTTCTGCCTTTTTAGTTTCTGGCCGCACGAAGGTACAGACTCGGCATTGTTATCGTCGTGCCCTGGTAGCTCCCATGTTTGTGTGAACGTTTTCGGCAGCGCAACCGAGCTTCCCACTCTCTGGTTGCGTCTGCTCTCTTTAAGACGCTTGTGCCTTGGCGGTGATCCTGCCAATCCATCCTCCTCCCCCGCACTGTTCTCCTGACCACTCGCGGACCTCATACTCTCTCATCCCCTTCCTCCTCCTCCTCATCCTGCTCCCTCTCCTCTTCTTCCTTCAACACCTGCTGTGGCTCCTCCTTCTTTCACTCGCCCTTGCACTCCTCCTTCTCCTCCTCCTCCTCCTCCTCCTCCTCCTCCTCTCGCCCCTCCTCCTCAAACTCATCATCATCATCATCATCATCATCATCATCATCATCATCATCATCATCATCATCATCATCAGCATCACCATCATCATCATCACCATCATCATCACCATCATTATCATCACCATCATCATGAGCATAGTCAGCGTCACCATCATCATCATCATGATCATGATCATGATCATCATCATCATCATCATCATGAGCAACATCAGCATCAACACCATCACCATCATCATCAGTATCATAATCAGCATCCTCATCATCCTCGTTTTCATCCACATCATCAACATTACGATCATCGTCATCATCCTGGTCGTCGTCATCATTGCAAACATTCCGTTAAGGACATCGTCAGCATCAGCACCAGCACCAGCACCCGCATCAGCATCATCGTCATCCTCATCCTCACCATCCCCACCATCATCATCAGCATCATCGTCATCATCATCAGTATCGGCATCGTCGTCGTCATCACCACCACCATCATCATCATCATCATCATCAGCCTCATCATCATCATCATCATCGTCATCCTGATCAGCATCATCATCATCATCATCATCATCATCATCATCATCATCATCATGGTCAACATCATCAGCTTCGTCGTCGCCATCAACATCATCTCATGAACGGCATCGACATCAGCATCAGCAACAGCACACACACCAACATCAGCAGCATCAGAATCCTCATCCTCTCCATCCCCATCATCCTCATCAGCATCAGCATCTTCGTCGTCGTCATCGCCATCATGATCATCATCAGCATCCTCGTCATCAACACCACCATCATCGTCATCGCCATCGTCCTCGTCCTCGTCATTATCATTATCAGCATGATCACCACCACCATCACCATCACCATCACCACCACCATCATCATCATCATCATTACCATCATCATCATCATCATCATCACCATCAAATTATCATCACCATCAGCACCATCAGCACCATCATCATCATCATCATCATCATCATCATCATCATCATCATCATCATCATCATCTTCATCTTCATCATCATCATCATCTTCATCATCGTCCTCATCCTCATCATCATTATCATCGTCAGTTCCCCCAGCATCACCATCGCCATCACAACCATCCTTCTCCTCATCATCCTGTCCCGCCCTTCCGCCTTCACCGCTTCCCCTGACTCAGCCCCAACTCATCCATGTACCGTTCACGCTCCACCCCTCTGCTGCTGCACCGTTCGCACTGCGAGAAGCATATGATGCGAGACAGAACACAGGCAAACCATCTACTATGCTTAGTAAGCAACGAGAGCGTCCTAGAAAACTGCAAGCAGCACAGTCGGGAGATCAAGCCACTCAATAATAGCGTGCTCAAAGCATCTGCTGGTGCTTTCCGACCCTACCGCTGATGCTCCTCCTCCTCCCCACTTCCTCCGACTCCTGCTGCCCCTTCTCTGCTGCTGTTCCTCCTTCTGCTGTGTGTCCTCATCCTCATTCTGATCCACCTCCTCCTCCTCCTCCTCCTCTTCCTCCTCCTCCTCCTCCTCCTCCTCCTCCTCCTCCTGTTGCCTGTCTGTCGTAGACGCCCCGCGTCCCTGTCTCACCCGGCCCATGGTTCCTGCAAGGATCGTGCTCCCACCCGCTGTCCCGTGGCGTCCCCATGCTTCCAAAGAACCCACCTCTGTTTGGGGACCCGAAGCAGCGTCAACATCGCGCTTCCGTTGGGAATCCATGGGGCACGCGTGCTTGTGTTTCACCTCTGAGTAACTGATGGGGAACATGCGCATGGCTGCCACGCGCTCATACGGGTCAGCTTGAAAGGCGACTCGAGTGGGAGTGTTATTGCAACCCCCCTCCCACTTGTTCCCCTTCCGCCTCCTTCTTTCACCTCCCACCCCGCCACTCCGCCCCGCCCCCCCCCCCCTGGCACACACACGCACACACACACAAACACCCACATCCACAACCACACCCACACCCACATCCTTGTTCCCTAATATAATATACCCCCACCTACGTCGTATTCCGGCCGATAGCGACCCAATCCGGGACATCCCATCCGGACTGAAAAAAATCAATACAAAGTGGCCGTTTTTCTTCCAAATATCGTCTTTCTTGTCGTCGACGATGCGAAAAGCGTGGCAGAAATGGGACGCGGCGCGCATCGCGCGCGGCAGTCAATCTGGGCCCGCCCATCCTGACTGTAAACAGTCAATACAAAGTCTTCGTTTTTTCATCTCAGCATGGCCTGCCTTGTCGCCGACGGTGCGAAATATGTGGCAGCAGTGGGACGCGGCGCACATATGGGACGCGGCGCACATCACGCGCGGCCGTCAATCCGGGCCCGCCCACCCTGACTTTAAACATCACTACAAAGTCTCCGTTGTTTCCTCTCAGCATGGCCTGCCTTGTCGCCGACGGTGCGAAACATGTGGCAGGAATGGGACGCGGCGCGCATCGCGCGCGGACGTCCATGCGGGCCGCGGGCCCTCCCATCCTGACTGTAAAAAACAATACAGAGTTGCCGTTTTTTCCTTTCATCATGGCCTGTCTTGTCGTCGACGATGCGAAATGCGTGGCAGGAGTGGGGCGCGGCGCACATCGCGCGCGGACTTCTGGGGCAACCCCAAGGCGGGAGGGGCCACCTTACTTGTCAGAAGCAATGCCATGCTGATTTTCGCTTGCCCACATAGCTGTTCTTGTCGTACCCCGCAAAATTGCATGGCAAGAATTGGGCGCGCCCCCCCCCCCCGCTCGAAGTGAATGAAATGACCTTCTCGCTTGGGCGCCGAGCGAAATTTTCTCAAAGTTGCGCTCCCGCTTTGGCTCGGCGCACGTTTTTAGCTCGCCAATTCATTGGGCGCCGGGGCGTTCCAGGAGGCCCTGGGGTGACGAATGCCTGGGAGGTTTTTGCTTGTTCAGGCTCTTGGAGGGCCTCCTGAGTCTCCCCGCGGCTTCTTGGCGCTACGGCCGTCTGGAGGCCATCTTGGGCGTCTTGGAACGATCTTTCGGCGACTCAGGGCTACTACTACTACTACTACTACTACTACTACTACTACTACTACTACTACTACTACTACTACTACTACTACTACTACTACTACTACTACTACTACTACTACTACTACTACTACTACTACTACTACTACTACTACTACTACTACTACTACTACTACTACTACTACTACTACTACTACTACTACTACTACTACTACTACTACTACTACTACTACTACTACTACTACTACTACTACTACTACTACTACTACTACTACTACTACTACTACTACTACTACTACTACTACTACTACTACTACTACTACTACTACTACTACTACTACTACTACTACTACTACTACTACTACTACTACTACTACTACTACTACCACTACGCGCCAGCACCCAGTTGCGCCAGCATTGTTTCTTATGTTGTGGGAGGGCGGAACGTGTCCGTTGTTCCTTTCAACATGGCCAGTCTTGTCGTCGACGTTGCGAAATTCGTGGCGGGAATGGGACGCGGCGCACATCCCGCGCGGACGTCAATGCGGTGTCCTGGGGTATCCTCCACTCGCACTGAAATGCCCGCGCAACCCCCAGTTGTGCCATCACTGTTTCTTATGTTGTGGGAGGGCGGGTGGGAATGGGCATGCCATGCTTGACTCGCTCGAGCTGGCTAGCTTGACCCACACCCACACCCACACCAACAACCACACCCACACCCACACCCACACGCACACGCACACGCGCACGCACACGCACACGCACGCGCACACGCACACGCACACGCACACGCACACACACACCCACACGCACAGGCACAGGCACACGCACACGAGCACGCACACGCACACGCACACGCACACGAGCACGCACACGCACACGCGCACGCACACGCACACGCACACGCACACGCAAACGCACACGCACACGCACACGCACACGCACACGCACACGCACACGCACACGCACACGCGCACGCGCACGCGCACGCGCACGCGCACGCGCACGCGCACGCGCACGCGCACGCGCACGCGCACGCGCACGCGTCGCACGCGCACACGCACACGCGCACGCACGCACACACACACACACACACACACACACACACACACAGCACAGGCACAGGCACAGGCACAGCACAGGCACAGGCACAGGGCACGCACGCACGCACGCACACACACACACACACACACACACACACACACGCACGCACGCACGCACGCACACGCACGCACACACACACACCACACACACACACACACGCACGCACGCACGCACGCACGCACGCACGCACGCACGCACGCACGCACTTGCACGCACGCTTGCACGCACGCTTGCACGCACGCTTGCACGCACGCTTGCACGCACGCACGCACGCACGCACGCGCGCGCGCACGCACGCACGCACGCACGCACGCACGCACGCACGCACGCACGCACGCAGACACACAGACACACAGACACACAGACACACAGACACACAGACACACACACACACAGACACACACACACACACACTCACACGCACACACACACACACACACACATGCGCACCTCCTCCACTGCCCCCTTCTCCCAATCCTCCCCCTCCCCCTTCTCGCAGGCAGCCCGGGGGTCTTAACTGGTTGGACCTTGCGAAAATCGCTCCAGAAGGGGGATAAGAGCAAGTCCGCTGAAAATCAATCCCTGGACCCCTCCTGGTGTCCGTCTGGTGCAGTTTTTGTACCTCGGATCTGTTCTTGACAGTCGCGGGGCCCGAAAACGGCCCCTGGAGGCCGAAAGAGGCAACGAAACCCTCTTCGAACCCATCACCTCGAACCTCGCTCCCTCTTCCTGCTCGCCGGAGCAAGTTCTGGGTCACCTCGGACCCCCTGCCGGTCCCAACCCCCTCCTCCCCTACTCCCCCTTCTCTGATCCGCTCCTCCTTCCAACCCCCTCCTCCCCCTCTCCTCCTCCTCCTCCATCCGCCCCGCTCCTCCTCCCTCCCCTAGCCTGCCAAGGGCCGTGGCGGCCCCGCCAGCACTGCGAGAGGGGCCGCCCGCGACGCAGCCGCGCTGCACCCCTCAACGCGCCGCGCCGCCAAAAGGCGAAGGGCGCCACCCCTGGGGCCCACCGGAAGTCGCTCCCTCCTCCCCAGGGCGCTCCCAGGGCGCTCTCAGGGCGGTCTCGTGGCGCTCACAGAGCGATCCCAGGGCGCTCCCGGGGCGCTCTCATAGGGCCTTCACAAGGCGTTCCGAGGAGGCTCCCCGAGTCCCACGGCGCCCCAGAAACGCTCCCAGGGCGCCCCCTCGGCGCCCAGGGCCGTCCCAAGGCGCTCCCCGGTCGCGCCCAGAGACCTCCCACCCTGGTGGGGCGTGACCCCGTCCCTCCCGAGAGAGTTCTGAGTGTGGCCCAGTCCGCCTCACACCCGCCCCCAGGGGCGCCGACGACCCCACCCCTTGAGCGACGGGCACGGTGTACACACATCCCCCGTGTCATGCAGTCGGGCCGCTGAAATAAGGAACGGTAAACAGGGAACGCAACCTTTTCGGGCTCCCAAAGCGCCAGCGTGCACGAGGAGGACTGGAGGAACAGCCACAGGATGACCCAAGGCACGACAAGTCCCGTTCATGCCCAAACTGTTCCTTGATTCAGCGCTCTGGCTGTAGGGCAGGATCTTTGCACCGTGCCCGTCCCTGCACCACCGTCGACGCCCCACTGAGGGGCAACGGCCGTGGGGAACTGGTATAGAGAGGACGCATCGACCTGGACTAGGCGATGCATCGCCGACAGATCGGATATGGGCCCTCGATAGCGCCACCGCACCTTCCGAGGCGAGGTGGGGGCATCAGTTCCCTATCGGCGATCGACGGGCGGTCACGGGTCGATGCATCCCCTCCTAATTAAAGATGCCTGTCCCCCTCTTCTATCGCTGCCCCCGGCCCATGGGAAATGGGGGGTGGCGCGGGGCCCGTGCGCACCAGGCTGGAAGCACGTGCGGAGGGGCTCGCCCGCGAAGGCCGAGAGCGCCGCTGGAGGTGCGCACGCGGAGGGCCGGGGCGCCCCCCCGCGCGAGGGCAGAGAGCTGCGGCCGCACGTGCGTCCAGCTCTCGCCCAGGGCCGGCCACGTCGCGTCCAATCTGCTGGTGCAGTGGGAGCTCGACCACAAGAAACCTTCCAGAAGAGACCCAGCCCTGAGAACCCCGGGCGTCCACTGGCTTTTGGTGTGGGAGCGCCACGCGCTCCACAGCAAGACCCTCGACACCCAGGAAACCCAGGGCACCCTGGAGACAAGCAGGGTGTCTCTTGGCATGGGTCGCCACTGTAGGCCAAGCTTCTCTGGCGAGTCTCTGTGTTGGCCCCCCCCCTCCCCGCCCCTCCCCGTGCGGGGGGTCGAAGCACTGGAACCTGAGCGAGCGAATGCGCGGGGAGCGGCGGCAAAGAGCAGGGCGCGGGGGACGGCATGGCCAGCAGGGAAAGACGAGGGAAGACGAAGAGGAGGGGGTGATGAAGAACATCGACGAAGGTGCGGACGCAGGCGTGGCGAGCCATCGGCACTGTCGAATCATGGAAGCAAGTCGTCCCAGCAGTGGGAACACTCTGCAACAGACTGTATCATGCCCAGGGGGGAGCAGCAGGGCAGGAAGAGGGGCCAAGAGGGGTCATAGAGGGGCCACATAGGGCCCAAGTGGTCCCAAGAGGGGCTAAGAAGCTAAACAGGAGGATCAACATAGGCCGCCAATACAACCCAAGAGGGCCCCGAGGACGCCCCAGCAATGCCCAAAAAGGCATCAGGAAAGCCTTAATAAAGATGTCGGTGAATGGGGGGAAGAGAGAGGGAGGCTGACAAGGTAGAGAAGGGGGAGAACAACGTGCAGAAGGGAAGGAGGGACACGATGAGGGAGGATAAAGGGGAAGGGGATGTCGAGTAGGAGGGAACAAAGAAAGAGCAAGGGCGTGTCGCTCCGTTCCGCGGGGCGGGAGGCTCGGAAAAGGCCAGGGACGTTGATGCCTGGAGACCCGAAAATGGATAGCGTGTCGCGCCGAAACCTGATGAGCCAAAAACGACGGAGCGACACGCTATCCAACAATTCCCGACCGTAGATGGAGATCAAAGACTTGCCATCGCTAGGACGTCCATTCCCCGTGCATGATCGGCTTCGCGCATGACTTTTTGCTAGCTGATCCGGGATGCTTCTCCGTTGCCTTCGCCGAGAAAAGCAAGCACACGTCCGAGCGATGCCAAGAGAGAGAGAGAGAGGAAACGAGAGAGAGAGAGAGATAGAGAGAGGGCGAGGAGGAAGAGGAATACTATGCAGAGGAAGCGGAAGAGGAGAGATAGGGGGAATGCGATGGGGAAGATCACAGGTAAAGCACGGGCGAAACAGACGCCTGTCCGACCGTGTCTCCCGCGAGGAGGTGTGCATTTTGCAAGGTCGGAGCTCCGCACAGAGGAGCGACGCTACGTTCTGTCTCAAGTGGGGTCGAGATTCCCTGCTGGGCCCTGGCCGGGATCCCGCGGCGAACCCGGCCGCGGCGGCTGGCCCCTTCCCCCAAGAGGCCCTCCGAAGAGGCGACGACGAGGCAAGGGCATCCGCGTCGGCATGCCTTTCCCCGGCGGCGAGCGAGGGGGGGTAGTGAGACGGAGAAGGCTTGCTCCGAAGGCGGCGTGGCTTCCTGAAGCCCTCCAGCCTTCTGAGCAGTTGTTGCTGCGTCTTCGGTGGCCTTCCGAGCCTTCTGAGACGGCCCACCCCCTCGCACTTCCCCCCCCAGGCTGGCCGCCGATTTCCTGCCAGACATCCGACATCCAATTTTTGTCAATACGGGGTTCCTGGAAGTCCCGACCCTTTCCCCAAGCCTGGTTTCTCGAAAACATTCATGCTAATACTCTGGGTCGTTTCTTGACGGGCCATGGGCCCGGCCAGGGACCCTGGAGGCCGAAAACTGCCCAAAACCTCTCGTCGTGATTTTTCACGACGCGAGCACATCTGGGTCTCCTCCCGATCGCTTCCCTGGGGGGAGTTTCTCGTCCCAAATCTCCCAAATCCGTTATCGACGACTCCAAATGGCCCCCGAGAGCCGAACTGGATGACAACCAACCGTTTGAGAAGATCATATCGGCATGCCTTTCTCCTCTGACCACCGTGTCTCCACCTCCAGCAGAACACGCCCGCCTCTTCGCACGCCCGAGCTGGGTACGTACGGAAAAGATGGATAAGATATGCCCAATCGTAAATGTTATCCCAACCCGAAGGCGGCCGCTGCTGGGCAGACGACTTTCTGCCTCAAGTGGACCACGTCCGCAGCGACGCCGACAGCGCTTCCTTCTCAAAATTGATACGAACTCCTGTTGGTCTTGGAGCCCATTGTTTCTGTGACCATGCCAGTCGCCCCTGAGGGGCAACCTGAGACGGAGATTAGCTCAGCGGGGGTAACATCGACCTAAAATCGGCGATGCATCGCCGGGACATCAGCGACACGCCCCCTACAGCGGAACCGATCGCACGCTCCTTGGGTGGGCGAGATTGGGTCGGGGGCGCGCAAACATGGATTAGCGATCCATAGATTTGGCGCGCGGTCGTCGAATCCATGGATCGGGGAAGGTGCCCTCCCCTGAATGCGGCCGGTGCCGCCTCGCTCGGCGGCGGAAATCCGCGATGTCCCAGGGAAACGGGACCCGTCGCTAGTCCACGCCCCCTTGGTCCATGTTTGCGGTCGCCTGATTGCGGGTCGATGCGCACCCCCCCTGAGCCTATCCTCACCGAGCGCTGCCCCTGACCCCCGAGCCTCCCCCGCCGCCGAGCCCGGCGCCCGGTGCCCTGCCAACAGGTCAGGTGGTGCTCGCTCCCGTCACGCGTCAGCTGCCACACGGAGCAGTTGGCCCTCCTCGACGCACCCCCCCGCGCTGGGCGTTCCTCGATCCTCGTTCCTCTTCGATCCTCGAGCCTCGATCCTGCTCCTCCTCCGTCCCCTCCTTCCTACTTCCTGCCTCTCCTCCCGACCGATCCTTCCTCTCCCTCCCCCCCCCTCCTCGCTCTCTTCCTTCCCTTGTTGCCCCCCCTCTCTTCCGTCTTTGTTCGTAGCGAAACTGATCACGACGCACAATTTTGGTCTGTGCTCGTCCTCGCGGGGCCCTCGCCAGGCCCAGGGACCGTCAGAGAAACACCAGGGATAAACCACTGGCAACAACGACTGTGGGTCACATTCGCGTTCGACATGTCATAAGAAGGCGGATGGTAATGAGGAGAGGGGGAGGGGGAGAATAAGGAGGATAATGAGGGATGAGTAGAGGGAAGAGGATGATGATGAGGAGGAGGTGCTGGAAAAGTATAGCGAGGAGGGAACAGCGAAGAGGATGAAGCAAGAGGAGCAGGAGAAGCAGCAGCTGTATGCCCAGTTGGAAGAGCTTCCGAAAACGCTCCACTGCAACGAGACGAACCATGCCGACGAGTATGCGGTCGCTTCTAGAGTACTTGACGCCCATTGGGCACAGCTTCGGCAACGCGTGAAAGAAACTGCAACGCTTACAAACACAGTCCACGATCTGGGGTTGCAGATGGCACACCTTCAGCAAGAGACTGGTCGTTAATTTGTTCGCATAGTTGATGCAGCACAGAAGCTTACATTACAAGCGAGAATTCGGAGGCCAGACAAAACGATTCGAGGCATGCTGACAGGGACACCGACACAGGCACAGGCAGAGACACACACACACACACATACGTACACGGACACACACACAAACAGACACACGCACAGAGACACGCGCACACATGTTCACACACACGCACGCCACACACATACACAGGCACATACGCACGACACTCACAACACGCAACACACACACACACACACACTTGCAACATGCGCCTTCCAAGAAATCGAACAACTGGGCGGTCCACGTCCCTCTCGTCCTTCCGTTGGTCAGTTTCCTACGTCTCCTATCCCTGTCCCGTATCCGCTGCTCCCTCGCCATCGCCGTGCTGCTATTCTCCTATCCCTGCCCCCGTATCTCTATTCTCCTACTGCTCCCTCGCCCTCCCCCTCTTCATCCTATTGTTTCTCCTCCCCTTCCCGTTCATCCTGCTCCCGCCCATGATCCATATCGTTATCCAATGTTGTCGTTTTCCGCGATCGACCTCATTGGTCATGTGTGACCGTCATCATGAAATATGAGCTCGTCATAGTGCTACCGTACGAGGCACCGAATACAGAGTGAAGCGCTTCTCTGAGCACGGCGAGCCTCGGCTTCGAGTGAGCTCCCCGACGTAGATCTCAGGAACGACCCGAAAAACCATAGCTCCTCCTGAGCCCGATGTGGTCCCTGTTCCAGCGTTTTGATTGTAACTGTCCTCCTCCCAGACCTTCTCCCTCCGATTGCCCTATGTTAGACTGAAGGGGTATCCTGCCTGCTCCCCAATGACCCCGTCATCCGCGCTATATCCGAGGCTATTCATCCGGGACGACCTGGGGCCATCCCATGGCTATCCGAGGCCATCCGAAGCCGTCCCGCAGCTATCCGAAGAAGCTCTGGGGCTATCCGAGGCACTGTGGACGCCGAAGAATGCTGCAAGAGGCGGGACAGACGAGAAACCCCCGGCAGACTCTGCGCAAGATCATCTTCTCCTGCTGCTCTTGCTCCTCCTTCCCCTCCACCTTCCCCCCTCCCCCGCCTCTGCATGTACACGGTCAGGAACTGTTGCTGAGCGTGTCGCGGCGGCGGTCCCAACGACACGCTTTGCCCTGCTAGCGGATGGCCTGTGGCTCCGCAACAGCGGGAGCTGGGAAAATCTCGGCACGTTGAAGCCTGCAGACTGGGACGTGGCCAGCGTGTGGCGTCGAAGGGTAGTGGGGCAGAATTGGTGGAGCGACAAGCTAAGCACAAATTCCTAACCGTAGCCCGTTGCGCGCTCCGCTCGCAGGTCTGCTTGCACCAGTCCTCCGTGGACTCCGCCACCTTCTCGAGCCCTGCCCGCCCTGATGCTGAGGTCGGGGGGGAAGGATCAGCGCGGGGAGGAGCGAGGCAATTTTGGTAAGGCTTCGGGTGGCGAACAAACAGCCCCCCCTCAAGTAGTCCCGGCTGGCCTCAAGAGGCACCCCGAGCAGCCCGGGGCAATGTCAACTTCCTTTCGCCGACTCCGGCGGCGCCCCAGGGGCGCTCCGCGCCCCAGGGTCGAGGGTTGTTGCTGAGAACGCCCTTGGCGACTCGGGGGGCCTGTTGAGGCCAGCCAGGACTACCTGGGGGGGGGGGGGCTGTCTGCGCCCAGCCCGAAGCCTTACCAGATAGCGGACTCCGGAAACCCTGAACCCAAAAATGTTGGCCATCTCTTGGAGGCGTTTTTTACTTCCGCCGCCTTCGGCCAGCCTTCCGCCGGCTTCCGCTGGTGGAGGCGGACTCGTTCTACTTCCGCCCCCTGCCGCCGACCTTCCGCCGCCTTCCGCCGCCTTCCGCCGAAGAAGAGATGACAACTCCTTCGATCCTCGAAGGCAAGGCCCTTGTTGGAACGCCCCAGATGAGGACGAGGAGGTTTTCGGCGGGTCTAGGAAGCTTCTGGCTGCTCTCCAATGATTCCGGAGGTTTTCGAATGTGCTCAAATGTGCTCTTAGGGACTTAGGGAGATGGGTGGTCGGGTGGAGCAGGAGGATCAGGAGGGGAGGGGGGACACCAGGGGAGGAAGAGCAGGAGGAGCAGAAACGAGGCGAAACACTTTGGTCGTTAAGGGCTTCCACGATTTCTCAAATTTTTGTCGGAGATGTATGAACTGTTTGGTTTCTCTGGATTTGCGGAGATTTGTCGGCAGCTTGATTCCTGGCTTGGCCTCCACAAGTCGGTCAGCGAATAGTCGTTAAGCCCTGAGGGATTTCGGAGCTGAGAAAAATAAAACTCCCAAAACTAAAATACCAAAATGCTACAGCTGCGGCCTCCAGCGCCTGACATTTGTTGCGAGGGAGACGAGGGAGGGAGAAGAGAGAACGATATAAAGGAAGGGCGAAGGAGAGACGACGAAAGGTAGTCTTCGCCTCATCTCGCCTCCTTCCTCTTCCTCCTTCATCCGTCCTCCCTCCTACCTTCAACCTCTCTCTTCCATACTCTCTCTTCCATCCTTCCGACCCTCCCATTTACATCTTCCATTCACCCTCCTGGAAGTCGACGTAAGTCCACGGAGACCTATGGAGGTTTCTGGGTGCAACGGAGATGGAGGCTTCGAAGGCAAAACATGCAAAACCGAGCTCAAACAACTCGTCACTTCTTCCTTATTCTCGAGAACCGATCCACCCCCTCCTCCACCTTGGATTTCCGGCCATAACTCGAGCCTCCGCTGGCCGTTCGAGACGGTTCTGGCCCTCCGGAACGCTCTTCACGAGACGCAGCTGACGGACACCACACCGGGCCTATAGAACTTTCGAGACACTTCCGGGAGCTTTCGAAACTTCCCGTCGCTTACTTCCTCTTATTATTCTCCTTCTTATTCTTCTTCCTCTTCCTCCTCCTACGGTTGGCGCTGGAAAGATAGCGTGCAACATCGGTCTTCGAAACGCACCCCTGTGAGGCTGCAGTCAAAACGTGTATAAAGGACGGGTGGTAGGAACGCAAGACCCTTGGAGGTTGAAGTTCGGACTTTTTCGGCGGCGGACGACCAGTGAAAACGGCAAAGAACGGGCCGCAGAGGCGAGACTACAAGGGTACCCTAGCAAAGGCGCGCGTCCTTACCATGCGCGTTGACTGTGGTAAGCGGGCCGGCAGTGCCACAGCGCACGCGATCCTGCCGATGCCAACCGTAAGGACGCGATCCACTCGGTACGCCGCCCCCCGCTCGGAGCGCGGCCCGCTGGCCTCTGCACTGCCCCGGCCACACGCCGTCCGCGATGTCGTCCAGCACGGTCAGCCGCTCGGAGAGCGACGACGACGACGACGACGACGAGCGCAGATCACCGATGGCATGATTTTCGCAAGAGGCGCCTGATGCTTGGTTTCGACCCTCGTGGTCCGTTACCAGGCCCTGGGGCCATCAAGAACAAATCTGGGACGAAAAATGACCCCTGGGGAAGGGGTCAAGACCTCTAGGGCCGCGGATTGAACTAATCAAATCGGTGGCTGTCGGGAAGGAGACAGTCGACATCGACCACGAGGACCACGACGCATGACAACGACGCACACGACGAGGACGGCGAGGCCGTCGAAGACGGCGAGATGGGGGAGGCGAAGACGACGGGCTTTGCAAATCGGAGGTTGAGGGCGGGTCGAGAAGGCAGGCGAGACGGCCGGCCGCTCGAGGAGGGGGGCGCAGAGGGGGGCGGCGGACGGCAGCGAGGACGCCAATGACACCGTCGCGCCGCAGCCGTGGGGCCCGAGCCACGCTCGCGCCCGGCCGCCCCGGGGGGGCGGCGCGGCGCGTCAGAGCACGACCGCGAACACCAGTTGGAGGCCTCCCAAGCGGGGTCCGAGCAGACGGGGTCGGAGGATCGCGCCGCATCGCCCATACATCGCCGATGCCTCGGCGGTGCGTGGGCGGCATCGGCGATGCATCGGCGACGTCGGTGTGGGCCCCAACATCGAGCCGCATCGCCGACGCATCGGCGATGCGGCGCGACTCTCCGACCCCATGCCATGCACTCGGACCCCATTTGGGAGGGCTGGAGCCGTGGGAGGGGGCAAGAACGTGGCCAGTGTGGCGGGCAAGGTGGCACCGCTACGAGATCCAGGGACGGCGGCAGCGTAGGCATCTGCACATTCTGGGCCGGGCCCCAGCGGGCCTGGACGCTGCCGCGGTCGCTGAGGGAGCGTTTCATCACAGACATCCAGGAAACGAGAGGCCATGGGTCATGCTTCGTGAGGAAGAGGTCCTGCTTCGCTAAGCTTCGAGGGCGCGTGGACCAACGCGGCGCACGAGAACGCGTCCCAGGTGCGCTACCGCATGAAGGCAAGGAACCTCTTGTCTAAACCAGATGGGCCACACTCCGCCAACGTTCTTCACCAAGGGACCAAGGGCCGAGGCCCACCATTGGCTTGGCCAACTGCACGAATGAATTTACAAATTATGCGGAAGAGTCGTTCTGTTGAAACGACACTCTGGCTGTCTTCGTGCTCTTCCGGTCGGTACCAATCAGCACAAGAACGCAAAATATGCCGAAGGACGCGAGATCATTCAATAACGGGGCCGTTGCGGGCGGCACGGCGATGTCCTGAACATCCCCAAACTGCATACGCACAAACAGTCGGAGGCCCGCGCGATTTTTTTGGGTCGCCGCTGAACCTGTTCCCCTGGCGCGCGAAGCGCGGCAGGTCCGAAGAAGTCGTCGCTAGCCTTCCCGGAGCCCACGACTGTGGCAAAGGTTTCGCATGTCGTAACCACCATGGAGGGCGAGGCCGTATTCTGACTCGGATAATGCGTTTCTCCGCTGGACCTCCCAAAACCCAACGAAAGCACGACTGTTTCGCAACTCGCAACCCCCTGGGATGACGAGGCCACTTTCTGATCCGAATGAGACGTTTCTGACGTGAACCTCCAGGAGCCCACGAGAGCGACGACGAGTTGGCATTTCGCAGGCCCCATCGAAGGCGAGGCTTCATTCCAGTTCGTGTAGGACGTCATTCCAGTGGACCTCCCAAGAACCCCACGAACGTGGCGACGTTTTCGCAGCTCGCGACCCCCAAGGTGGGCAAAGCCGCAGTCAATTCCGAAAAAAGCGGCGCCCCGCAGAACCCCAACGAGAACCCAACGCAAGAAGATTGGGAACAATGAGCGCTGGACGGGCGGGATCAACAACACATATATTTGTATTCTTGGGAAGTGCGAAGCGGGACGCCACTTCAGCCACGCACCCAGGGACGGTGTAGGACGGATCGACCCACTCACTCTGATTGCGTTTTTTTGTGAAAAAGGCATAAAAATGTTAGCCGATGTGTGTCCCGAACTGTCAGTTATTGCACGGTGAGTGCGTAAGCATTGTTGGAGGCCTTCTAGATGCGGTCGGAGTAGATGGGGTCGGAGGATCGCGCTGCATCGCCGATACATCACCGATGAATCGGCGATGCATCGGCGACGCCATCGTGGAGAAAATTGGACTCCACATCCAACCGCATCGCCGATGCATCGACGATACGGCGCCATCCTCCGACCCCATCTACCTGGACCCCATCTAGGAGGCCTAGAGTTGTGGTGCAAGCTATGTGGCGCAAACTGTGTGGCGCAATCTATGTGGTGCACCCTGCGTGGCGCAAGCTAGCGGTGCAAGCTATGTGATGTAAGCTATGCGGTGGAGGGTATGTGGTGAATGTTATCGGCTGCAATCTACGTCGTGTAAACTAGATTGTGCGATTCACGTGATGCAGAATACCTGTTGCAAGATACGTGGTGTAGGCTATAGGGTGTAAGCTAAATGATGCAAGCTATGTGATGCACGCTAGGTTGTGACACCTGCGTGGTGCAATTAACCGAGCCAACAGTGAGTTGCAAACTCCTCCGCTCGCTCAAACACCCCACCCTCGCACTCGTAGCTTGTCTGGCAAAACCCCCTTCGGCAGCGATTGTGAACGTCGGTTGCAACCTGCTAGCGCGTCTCTGCGGCCGCACTCGCGGGGGGGGACGCTGTCGCGCAAATCGACCGCCCTTTGGCACAAACGACGCCGCGGCGATAATACTTGACCATGGGGGATTACCAACACTTCTCTAACTTTGTGCTGGCGTGCGGGAGCGTCGGTCTGGGTCGGTGATCCAGGCGGGTGCGATATCATGGACCGCACAGGCGCGCGCCAACTCATGCGCAGATCGGCCAGCTGGTTCGGCACAAATGATGCGGCCGCGATGTCGCTTACAGATAGGACCCCAATGGTTCTCAAAATCGCGCTGGCGAGCGAGCACATCAGTCCAGGTCGGTGCCTCGGGCGCGCGCGATCTCACGATGAAGTCGACATCAGCGGCGACGTCAACGATGACGGCGTTTACGGCGGCGGTGCTGATCCCGCCGATGGTGATGATCATGGTGTTGATGATAATGATGGTGATGATGATGGTGGTGGTGGTGATGATGATGGTGGTGATAATGGTGATGCTGGTGATGATGATGATGATGATGATGATGATGATGATGATGATGATGATGATGATGATGATGATGATGATGATGATGATGCCGATGAGGACGGTGGCAGTGAAGACGCAGTCGACGATGATGACGTTTGCGTTGCACTGCTGAGGATCGCGAACAACTGCGCGCCCGCAAACATCAAGCCATCCCGACATGATCTCGACGTGCACGCGCGGAAACGTGCGCGTGTGGCCCGCATGGATTGACTTGACAGAATTGATGGGCGCGCGGCGGCAATTGAACGTTTACGGCATGCGCGCGCGAGTCGTCAGGATGGTCTGATCAATTTGGCAGAATGGTTAAGCACCTAAGGTTTCGCAAGCTTTCAGCCAGTGCGCGTGCGCAGGATTCTGGCATTCTTGCTGAAAGACAGCAACAGTACTTAATTGCTGTTCGTTCGCCATGTCTTTACGTTGTTGAATGACCAATGACTTTAAACGGGTGTTGGCGTGCGCGCGCAAGGACGCGCAAATGTGGGAGTTCGTTGTGTGCGTTCCTACTGCAAGGGATTATTGCGAATGTCATTTTTTACCCCAACCATCCTGTGGTGTTGGGTCCACGTTTTGGAGAGGAGGTCCCCGCGTTCTCCTTCCTCCTCCCTCCTCTCTCCTTCCTCTCCTCCCTCCTCCCTGCGCTTCACCCACCTCGTACAGCGTTTCGCGGCCCCATAGGGAGCTCCACCGAAGGACCCAGTGCTACCGTCCACATGCGTCCCCCCCACACCCATTTCGGCACACCCCTCACACGTTTCGTGGCCCCATAGGGAGCCCCACCGAAGGGCCCAGTGCCACCGTCCACACGCGCCCCCCACACCCATTTCGGCACACCCCTCACACGTTTCGTGGCCCCATAGGGAGCTCCAACGAAGGCTCGAAAGCCACCGTCCACATGCGTCCCCCACACATATGCCGGCACACCCCGGAGCTCCACCGAAGGCCCAAGTGCCACCGTCCACATGCGTCCCCCGCACCCATTTCGGCACACCCCTCAAACAGTTCGTGGCTCCGCTGGGAGCTCCACCGAAGGCCTCAGCGCCACCCTCCACATGCGTCCCCCACACTCATTTCGGCACACCCCTCACACTTTTCGTGGCTGCATTGGGAGCTCCACCGAAGGCCTCAGTGCCACCGTCAACATGCGTCCCCCGCACCCATTTCGGCACACCCCTCACACGTTTCGTGGCTCCATTGGGAGCTCCACCGAAGGCCCCAGTGCCACCGTCCACATGCGTCTCCCACAACAATTTCGGCACACCCCTCACACTTTTCGTGGCTCCATTGGGAGCTCCACCGAAGGCCTCAGTGCCACCGTCCACGTGCGTCCCCAACACCTCTTTCGGCACGCCCCTCACACGTTTCGACACGTTTCGTGGCCCCAAAGGGAGCTCCACCGAAGGGCCCAGTTCCACCGTCCACATGCGTCCCCCACGCCCATGTCGGCACACCTTTCACATGTTTCGTGGCTCCATTGGGAGCTCCACCGAAGGCCCCAGCGCCACCGTCCACATGCGTCCCCAAAACCCTTTTTGGCACACCCCTCACACGTTTCGTGGCACCATAGGGGGCTCAACCGAAGGCCCTGGTGCCAAGGTCCGCATGCGCCCCCCCCCACTCCAATTTTGGCACACCCCGCGTGCACAGTGATAGTTGTTTGAAACAGGCAACGAGGGGGGCAATACCAGCTGGCCTGGGATGGTGCGGTTTCACATGGGAGCTCAATGATGAAGCCGCACCACGTGCAAATTGAAGCTTCCAGGGCATACCAATACCCCCGGGGGTTAAGGGTGGCTGAGTCGATGTTTGCTTGTCAACGAGAATCTGAATGGTGAACCAGGCAAGACCTCGGCACACCCCCAGCGCGGGGCGCCCACGAGGCGCCCACGGGCGGGCACGAGGCGAAACCTCCGAGAGCGCCCGCGGGGCGCCAGCGGGCGGGCACAAGACGCCCCCCGAGCGCACGAGTCGCCCACGAAGCGCCCACGGGCGGGCACCGGGCGAAACTTCGCCCCCCCCCCCCCCCCAGCGCATGAGTCGCCCACGAGACGTCCACGGGCGGGCACCAGGCGAAACCGCAGCATACCTCCCCAGCGCGGGGCGCCCACGAGGCGCCCAACCATGGGGCAGCAGCAGAGGCCACCTCGTGCCCCTTCCGAGTACTTAGGCGAAGACACAAGAACTCCTGAGTGCCTTCGCTGTTTGGGGGAGGAGCTTCTGGAGCTCCGCATGGATTTCTTGGGTCGGCGATGGACCCCCCGCCCTGGCGCGCGGAGCTCCGAAAGTTCATGGCCATGCTCTTTTGTTATTCGACGTGTCGCTTCTCTCCCCCAGGGACAGGGAGGGGCAAGCTCACCAACACAAACAGCTTGCAGCACGACCGCCGAAGGCGCGGACAGGCGCGCGGACTGGCGACTGGGCGGGCCCGAGGCACGCATGGACTGCAGCCGGCCTTTAGCTCGTGCCTGGCCTGAGCCAAGACGGCAGGGGAGGAGAGGTAAGAGGAGGAGAAGGGGTGGTAAGAGGAGGAGGAAGGAGGAGGAGGAGGAGGAGGAGGAGGAGGAGGAAGGGGAGGATGATGAGTAAGACGAATGGATAGAACATGAAGAGGACGACGAGGATGAGGGTCATGGGTGAAGGGAAGATGTAGGTCAAACCAGAGTGATAAGACAGAGAAGTAGTCGAGGCCTCGGTGCACGGCAGCGGCTCGGAGTTCTCGTCTCGATCCCTGCCCGCCGCTGCCAACTTGCATAACGGACTGCGCGTATGTTTTCCAGTAGACGTGCGCACAAACATCGATCTTGAGCCACATGGTTGCGTTAACGCACCCACGGGCCGAGCGTCCGACATGTTACTTAAGAACGGGGCTTCCTGGAGACTATTACACAACCTCTCCCGCAACCTACTTCGCAGAATTCCAGAATCAAGTGCTCACCTGCTGTCAGCTGCCATGCTACGGTCCCAACGACCACTTACATAATGAAGCCTCACACGACGACTCTGGAAAGGATAACGCACAGTGTATCCTCAGTAGAAGCCCATGCGGCGACGGGGCTGATACAAAGCATCCCCAACATCCAATTGCACTTCCTTTCTCTCGCCCTCGACCGGTCGATCACAATGGCGGGGCAAGCAGCGGACCCAAGCAAAGAGCCCTGATCACCTGCTTCGCGCATCGCGCCCCGCGGTGTCCGATCATCTTCGCGCCCTCGCGCTCTCCCGCCGCCCCCTTGGAGACGGGCAGCCGCTCTGGCTCAGGCCGCGGGATGGCCTAAGACCCTTCGGCAACCCCACTCTGACCATCGGTCATCAAATCGTATGCTAAAGTGGTCTTCCAGCCCTTTGCTCAAGCGACCGTACTTGCGACCGCCCGCGTCCAAGATGAGCATTTTGTGAATCTCCACTCTGCCGCAGCTGTCATGGGCAGGCCGTGGCGCGTCTCAAAAATGGTACGGAGCCACTGGGGCTTTCAGGCGTCCTCCACGGTGGACTACTTCTGCAAATTCTGCACAACGGATGTCGATTCAACCACCGCAGGCGCCTACCGCAGGGATTGTTCCAGAAGTCTCACGACGGTGACCCTGCAATGTAAAATTCAATTTGCGGAACACCCTTCAGAGTTTCTCCAGTCCCCCCTTTCCCAAATCAGCGGCGTTTCGCTGCGGAGGACTCTACCGGGGGGACGGGGAGCCCCAAACCGCCTGGCCCGGAGCCGGTCCGGCAGCCGTTTAGCCTGAGACTTCCACACAGCGTATTTGGGACTCATGCGGTCGCCTCAAGTAAAAGAAAAAACGCCATAAACATAAGCTTCTGGCGCTCCGCGCGGGTTTCCTGGATCTGCGCTGGGCCCCCCTCCCTGGCGCGCGGAGCGCGCCCAGGGCGGCGCCGGAGGCGCCGACGGGGGGGCGCAGCGCGGATCGAAAAAATCCGCGCGGAGCGCGAAAAGTTGATCTTTATGGCGATATTCTTCTTCGATCAATGCCAGCTGCATTTTTGGTCTGGGCGGCAACGACGGGCGCCACCCCGTCTGGCCGCGGCGCCCTCGAGCGCCACTGGGCTGCGCCGCGCCGCCCGAAACGCGAGTCGGCCGGCCGGGTCGAAGCGGGGCGAACAGGTCCTCCTCCTCCTCCTCCTCCTCCTCCTCCTCCTCCTCCTCCTCCTCCTCCTCGTTCTCTCCTCCTCCTCCAGCCCATTGAGATGACCGACAGGTAGGGTGTAGTCTCGAGCTGGCGCGCCAGCGGGGAGGCGGGGGGGAAGCCACGGCGGCCCTCCACAGGAATACGAGTCAAGACTGCGGTGCGACCACACACTCCAGCTGCAGTGGGGGCCCGACCAGAAGAGACCTTCCACAACAAACCCAATCCTGGGACCTCAGGGCGTCCACTCATGTTTGGTGTGGGACTGTCACGCTTTCCATAGCAGAACCATCAGGACACCCTGGACGCGAGCAGGGTGTTTCTTGGCATGGGTCTCCACTGTAGCTCAAGCTCCTCGGGTGCGCTGTATAAGCGGTGCGTTTGAACGTGAGGAGGCTCAAGCGTCCCACGGCACCCATCCCCGGAGCACTCCCTGGGGTCAGACAGCGCTTCTTTTAGCCCGCGTCACAACTATGGACCACTCTAACACGAGTGGGCGGGGGGGGGAGGAGAGAAGACTGTCTTGGACTGTTCGTTCGCCCAGAAGCCCAACCGGGACAGGCACCCAGGGCAAAGCGCAACCGCCACGCGCTCGGCACCGAAGCCCCGAGGACGGCATGGGGATGGAGGGGGGAGGACCAGCAGCATGAACAGCAGCAGCAGCAGCAGCAGCAGCAGCAGCAGCAGCAGCAGCAGCAGCAGCAGGAGGAGGAGGAGCGCGGGCGCGAGGGCGGATCGCACGGGCGAGGGCCGCACGAGGAGGCCCCGCAGGCCGCGCGACGCCCGCGCCGCCCCCCTCGCCCCTCCCCGCCCCCCCGGGACCAACACTGCAGGTTCAGGGGCGCCACGCCGTCCGTCCACGCGCCCTCGGACTCGGCCAGCGTCGCGCCTCGCGGCAAATGTCGGCCCCGCGCGCGCGCGCGGGCAATCTCGGCTCCGCTGCCCACGCTGCAGCGCCTGCACCGCCGCCCATCTCCCCCAGCTCTCTCCCTCCCCCGCTCCTCCACCTCCCCAGCATCCCTCCCCCTCCCCTCTCTCTCTCTCTCTCTTCCTCCCGTTCCTCCCACTCCCTCATCCCCCTCATCCCTCCTCACTCTCCCCGCCAGCCCCATTCTGTCCCCCTCCACTTCCCCCCCCCCTTCTTCCCCCGTGCTCCCCTCTCTGCCCCTCCCCTCCCCTCCCGACCATCCCTCCTCTCTCTCGGACGCCGTCTCCTAAGGGAGATGGCCGCAGGAGGCAGTGAGATGAACGCGGCCGAAGCCACCGGATAACTACAGTCAGACTCCATTCCTTGGACAAGGACCCTGGCCATTGGTGCCTCACCGTAGCAGCTCAGTAGCATGTGCAGGACACACGTTCAAAAATGTAGAACCATGCTCAAAGACAACATAATCATGCCGCGATTCGAACCAGCACATGGGCCAGCCCGGGGCGGGGAAAGCAGCCCTGCGGGCCGTCCCCCACCTGCACCTCTTGCGCGAAGGCTCGAGTCGGGCCAACACAGCCCAGCTCCCCCCCTCCCTCTCGGCAGGTCCGAGGGCCCCGGCAGAAGAGCGATCCGATGGACTCGACCTTTGCAGCGCGATAGCTTGAAAAAGCTGCGCGAAAGAGAAGCTAGAGTTAAGCGTTCAGGGGTGAGCTGCGATGCCCCGAATATCAACATGCCTAGATTCTCGACGCAATGTAACATATCCGTATCTGGAGACAGCTAAACAAATCAGTGAGGGGGCCGAATGGTATTACGCTGTCCCTGGGCGTGTGGCTGAAATGTGATTCGACGGTGCGGACCGTTCTTGTTTCTTGTTTGTGCAGTTGATCTCTCATTTCTGCAGAACTATGTTTGTTGATCCACCCCTCGGGTGCTCATGGTGTTTTCAACTGGAGTGCCCCTCCCAGGGCTCGCAGGTAGAGTCTTCGGTCTCAGACTAGGTTGCTGGCCCCCTGTCTACATCAACAACACCAATCATTTAAGACTGGTTGCTCTTATCTGCTCGCGTGCCACTCAACTCGTATATCCCAAACCCTCGATCTCCGCCCTCTTTGTATTCGATTGTACCCCCTTGGGGCATATCTTCTTTACCTGTCACGTGTATTTAGTGCAGCCCCTAAAACAAGGGACCAAAGGACGGATAGAAGGACGGGGTAACGAGTGGGATGGAGCACGAGAGAGTGACAGGAGAGGGGCTAGGAGCAGAAAACACGTGGCAGAAGCAGACAGGCAGATCGGGCGGGTAGACCCTAACGGGCGGGTCGAGAAGGCAGATCCAGGCGGCCAGAGGAGGCAGGCGTGTTGCTGAAGCGTGCGTTCCTGCTGCTCGGACTTCCAAAGGCCCCCAAGAAGGCCCCAAGAGGGGGAATCCAAACTCGCACGTCGAGCCTGACGACGATCCTCGAACATCGACGACGACAGACCCGAGGTCCGCTCTCATTCGGTATCCGAACGCTCTTGTTGACTATCTCGGCTAGTTTTCCAATTGCGTCCAACTGGGGCGACGAACCTCCGGAGACGCCCAAAAGCCATCCGAATCGACGACGACGACGACGAGGCCGGGGCAGTGGGCGAGGACGACAACGCTGCCGACGACGGCGACGGCGGCGACGACGACGGCGACAGCGGCGGGGGTGGCAGTGAAGACGACAGTGGCGGCGATGCTGCTGGCGGCGGGCGCCGGCGAGCGCTGGGCGCCTGGCCTGCCCAGCGGCGAGGGCGACGGCGACGGCGGCAGCAGGGATGGCGACGGTGACCACGGGCGGCTGCGGCGGCGGCGGCAACGGCGCACGCGCGGCAGCCGCGCCAGGGAAGTCCGGCCCGGGCATCGCGCTGCACGCCCGCGCCCAGGACGACCCCTCGCAGTCCTCGCGGGGCGCGGCCGTGCGCCCAGCAATCGCCGCCGCCGACGCCCGCCGCCGCCACCGCCGACGCCCGCCGCCGCCACCGTCGACTCCTGCAGCCGGTGCTGTCGGCACATGCCGCCATCGCCGTCGCCGCCGTCGCCGCCGCCGCCGTCGTCGTCGCCACCGCCATCGTCGCCGTCGCTGCCGTCGTCGCCGTGGTCGCCCTGGTGGGTCGAAGATCGACGTGGGCGTGAGTGATCCTCTTTGGCCGTCTGGCGGCGCCCTGTGGGTCACGGCTGGACGCGCCTCGAAATTCTGGTCAGATCGGGACAAGTCTGAAGGTCGTCCTCGGCGTCGTCGCAGCCGACGTCGCCGCCGCCACGGTCGTCGCTGTCGTCGTGGTCCTCCTCGTCCGCATCATCTCCTCTTCTCCCCGCCCTCCCCCTCCGCCTCAGACCCCCTCCTTATGCAATCATTCTCCCATGGCCCCACGCAGGCCATCGAAGCTCCACGTCAACCCTCGTCGCTGACCCGTCCGCGAGGTCGGCGATAAGGGAGAAGGATGGGGGAGGAGGTGCGGGACCGGGGGGAAGGGAGGAGGAGGAGGAACTCCCCCTTCCTCCCCCTCCTCCATCGCCCCTTGGAGGAGTCTCCCCGAAGGCGCCGAAGTGGTGTTTGGCGCGACTGGGAGCTGGTGCGCCTCGGGGGGCTCCAATGGCGGGCTCGTGGGCGGAGCCCCCCTGGCGCTTCTCGGGGCAACATCGTGGTATGACTCGAGCGCTCCTTGCAGCCAACGGGGACGTTGCGCGCAGGAGCTCCGAGCACTCGCGGAGCGCAGCCCCTGTTGACACGACGCGCCCGAACCCCGTGACGCACGCGCCCGTTCGCCCTTGCTGCTCGGCGAGGCCGGCCTCCTGCCCCCCCCTCCCTATCCCGATGGAGAGCGCGCGGCCAGGAACTTTTGGATCGCGTGTCGCGGCGTCTGCCCTGGCGACGCGCTATGCCCCGCGAGCGGCTGGCGTGCCGCTCCGGGAGCGGGGGGCTCGAGAGAGCTCGGGACGTCGACGCCTCGGGGCCGCGGAGTGGACAGCGTGCCGCGCCGAGAAGTGGTGGGCCAGAGCTGGCGGAGCGAAGCGCTGTCCAAAAAGTTCCCCAACCGTGCGGAGCACTGCCCCGCGCAGCCGCTGCGTTGCAGGAGGGTGCCGTGCGGCCGCCCTCCCCGCTCCTTGTCGCCCGGATGTCCGCACCTCGCTCCCGAGCGCCTCGCGAGCGCCTCGCGAACAGAGCCTGCCGTGCTCTGGCGACGGCGACTGCGACGATGTTGAGGATGACGGCGCTGGCGACGACGGGGACGCCTCCGAAGCTTTTGCATTTTCCAACCAACCTGGTGTTTGATTCTCGTGTGAATCGGCAGCGTCCCGCGTCTGTCACCTTCCCGCTACAATCTCCCCACCTTGTCTTTGTTCTCCGCATACAAGTTTCTGCACACGCCTTACGTGCTTCGCGACCCCCAGAAAAGGGAGCTCCACCGAAGGTCCCATCTGCTAGTTCACGTGCGTCTCCGCCACAGATTTCGGTACATGCATCATGAAGCTCTACTGGTGGGCCCAGCTGGCAGGTTCACATGCGTTCCCGCCCACACCCCTCACACGCTTCGTGGCCCCATCGTGAGCTCCAACGATGGCCCCAGTTGACAAGTTCACATGCGTGACCGCCGCCCACTTCGGCACACCTCTCACACGCTTCGTTGCGCCATATGGCGCCGCACCGTTTGTTCTGAACGCGCCCATGTAAACGAAACCGACACCACGGCAAACCCACGGCAAAGAAATGTCCGAGGCCGAGTTTGCCCTGGTGGCCAAGGCGACCCCACCCCAAGCCGGAAGACCGCGGGTTGGAACAAACGGCGCGGCGACAGAGCTCCACCGAAGGCCCCAGTGGGCAAGTGGCCCGATGGGGAGCTCCACCCAAGGCCCCAGTGGGCATGTTCGCTTGGCGTCCCCACCGCAGATTTCGGCGCACGCCTCGCATTTTCCGTGGTTCCATAGGGAGCTCCACCGAAGGCGCCAGTGGGCAAGTTCACATGCGCCCCCTGCGCCGATGTCGGCATAGCTCTCACACACTTCATGGCCCCATCAGGAGCCCAACCGAACAAGTTCACATACGCCCCCGCCGCCCATTTCGGCACACACACCTCACACGTTTCGCGGCCCCATCTGGAGCTCTGCCGAAGACCCCAATCGTCAAATTCATATGCGTCACCGCCGCTCATTTCGGTATACCCTTCACACACGCGCCGTGGCCCCATCGGGAGCTCCACCGATGGCCTCAGTTGGCATGTTGGCATAGTGTGCCGCCGCTCAAGCTGGCATAGTCCTCGCACGCTTCGCAGCCCCAGAAGGAGCCCAACTGGACATACCAATTGGCAAAATCACATGCGCCCCCGCCGCCCATTCCGGCACATCCCTCTCGCATTTTGTGCCCTTCATGGGGAGCTCCACATAACATCATGTTAGCTTTGCACCCTCCGCCCATGTCGGCACACCCCTCACACGTTTCGTGGCCCCATCGGGAGCTCCGCCCCGGGTTCCACTGCGAATATTTGCATGGCGCCGCCCGGCCAAGTTCAACACAACCCTCTCACGTTTCGTGGCCCCACAGGGAGCTGCACCAAAGGCCCCAGCGGCAAAGCTCCTGTTTGGAGAGAAACATGTTCTGCGCCACTGGCAGTTGCAACTTGTGTCCTTCGCCAGGGTATTTGTTCGTACGAGGCGTGCTCGCTGCAAGTTGGCGCCGGTCCTACCCCAGGCGAGCAGCGCGGTGCCATCTGTCTACACCCAGTGGCGCAAGGACGTGACGGGAGTCGCAAGCGCGACGGCAGCCCAGGATGACCCGGACGCGGTCGGCACGCGCGCCTGCGCGAGAGCCGCCGTGATGAAATAATATCGGCTTCAAACGCCCTCCTGCACATTTCGCCGTTTCCTCCGCCCTCCACTGCACCGAGACGCCACAAATCGAGAAACGATCCCACCGTCGCGGATGAGCAGCGAGGCGCAACCCCAGCCGCGGGGCAAGACCCCCCGAGACAATCGCGGAGCGAGACCCCGCCCATGCGACGCATGACGCCTGCGCCCCCTGCCAACCCAGACATCCAGCGTCCCGATTTTTCTAGGACGCTGGCCCCGGGACCTCTCGACGACTTCCCCGTGCCCAGTTTTTCGTCCCGAGTCGTTTTTCGACGGTCCCGAGGCCCCATGAGGGCCCCCAGAGGCCAAAACCAATGAAAAACCTCCGCCTCCATGTTTCGTCGAGGCGCCAGCTGTCTGGGAAGGGGGCCGCGCGGGGGGCAGAGGCAGAAGGGGAGTAGCCGAACTCAGGGCGCAAGTGGGGCAGGTGTCCAGACCTGGGGGCTGGAATCTGGGCGGCGCGAGGGAGCACCAGAACGCCCCTCCCCCAAGACACCTCCTCCTCCTCCTCCTCCTCCTCCTCCTTCTCCTCCTCCTCCTCCTCCTCCTCCTCAACGAACGCCCCATCCCGCGCGGAATGTCAGGACACTGAAAATCGAGGGCAGAAGACCCAGACGAGCGAAGCATGTAATGAATGCACCCGAGGGAGGAATCGAACAGGGCAGGACTGTTTAGTGAACGCCCCGGGCTGCTCAGTAGACGCCAGGTGTGGGGGTCGGGGTGGGTTCCCCTCCCGTGAGGCAAACTTCCTCCCCCCTCCTCCCCTCCCTTCGCTCCCCCCTCCCTCTTTCCCGCTCCTCCGCCCACTCATAAGCAGGAGGATAAGCAGGAGGTCGTCGTCGAACGGCGACGTGGCTGATTTCAACGTGCTCGAGGCTATGGGGATGGGCTGGGCGGCGCGAGTACAACTTCCGCCACGAGCCACCCTGAGAGGGTGTGGGGGAGAGGAGGGGGGGGGGCGGGAGAGGAGGCGAAGGGATGATGAGGCGGCTCGCACGGAGAAATGAGGAAAGGGGTGGACGGGCACTTCGAGTTTGACCTGAGTAATTTGCGATCTTAATGGCCAAGATTGCCCTTGGGTGCAACGGCGGGCCACGCGTGAACTGGGCGCAGTCCCCGGCACAATGTGGGTAGGGCGGCACTTGAAGCACCTGGGTGACTAATTAACATCGCGGGTGGCGCGCCGCGATGCGCGGCGCGCGGTTATCTTCGCGCCCCAGTGCCGCCGGCCGCGACGCGCGAAGCGCGACCTTCGCGCCCAAGGGTGACCAATGTAGAGACCTCCCGAATGGGGTCCTAGTAGATGGGGTCGGAGGCTCGCACCGCATCGCCGATGCATCGGCGCCGTCGGCGTGGAGAACATCGGTCTCCACATCGAGCCGCATCGCCGATGCATCGGCGATGCGGCATGGTCCCCCGACCCCATCTGCTCCGACCACGTCTGGGAGGCCTAGACGATGGGGCAAACGTGCTCGTTGGATATGTTCTTTTTTCTGTGCTTAGACGATGGGGCAAGCATGCTCGAGCGAGCGATCATGGCGAGGGCGCGGCCGTGGGTGCTCTCTGGCGGCCACCCCCTGCGGCGGTGGAGCGCCAGGCGGCGCGCTCTCGCCCGCCCCGCCTCCTGGCCGAGGCCTCGAGGAACGGCCAGGCTCGGCCCGCCTCCAGACCTCATCGAAGTCGCCCAACTCGCGGGCAGAATCCGCTACGCGACTTCCCCCCTCTGCTCGCCGCCCAGTCGGAGGGCGCCAACTATGCAGACGCACCGATCCTGGCCAAGCCCGTCATAAACCAAAAATCGCTGTGTATGGCGGACTCCGGAAACCCTGAACCCCAAAACGCTTTCATCTCTTGGGGGCGCATCTTTCACTTCCGCCGCCTTCCGCCGGCTTCCGCCGGCGGAGGCGGCCTCGTTTTACTTCCGCCGCCCTTCCGCCGCCTTCCGCGGCGGAAGAAATGACAACACTTCTTCGATCCATGAAGGCGAGGCCCGTTTTGGAACGCCCCATATGCCTTCCTGGCCATGCCAAGAAGGCGTGCGGAGGGCTCTCCTGGCCGAGGCGGCACAGGGGTGGGAGTTTGCTCGACGGATTGGTCCGTCGACGTGCCAGGCTGCGGCCGCTCGCCCCATGATGGCCACCTTTCCATGCTCCCCCCGCCTCCGCCCAGGCCCCCGGTGGGTGCCGCGCAGGGAGCAGAGCTCGGAAGTCGTTGGAAGGCGCGGGGCCACTGCGCCGTCGCTTTCGGGCGGTATGCAGGATCAGCGGATCCTGGTCGCTCCCAGTCCCTGGAGGCCCGACTCGTCCATCGTGCTCGCCAGTTGCAGTGCCTGCCTGCGTCAGGTCGTGGCTGTAACCCAGGCCCTGCTGGCGTGTGCGGGCACCCCGGGGCTTCCCGAGAAGCTCTGGCTGTGCACCTTAATGCCCCCCCTGGGTCCACAAGGGCAGTGCTGGCTGCACTCTTTGGGCCCTAGGGTGGTCCAGAACATGTCCGCTGCGTGGCGCGCGCGCGCTACCACTGTGTGGAAGCGGTAGTGCGAAGGAGCGAAAGTGAGGAGGATGATAAGCAAGGGCGATGGGGCGGAGGGAGGAATGGAGGGGATGATTCAGCGGATCCCAAGGAGACGAGGGGGGAAGAACATCGGAGGGGCAGGAGGGGCTGGGGGAACAAAAGAGGAGGAGTTGAGTCATGGTGCAATTCTGGGCAGGGGGGTAGGGGAGAGGAGGGCCAAAATGGGGAGGAAGGGACAGGAGGAGGGGAAACAGAAGGGGAGAATGGAGAGAAAGGAAGTCAAGCTAGGCGCGATGGCGCCATGTCTGATATCCCACCCTGTCCAACATTATTTCTCTATGCGCGGACGCGTGTCAAACTGGAAATCCCAAAGACCCCACCGTGTTATACGCAATCGGAAGAGAAGAGCTGCGTCCAGAGGAGGAGGAGGAGGAGGAGGAGGAGGTGGCGGATGAGCAGGAGGAACAGTAGGAGGAACGAAATGAGGGTGACGAGGAAAGAGGGGGGCGAGGACGAACAGCAGCAACAGGAACTGTAGTGGAAGGAGCGCGATGAGCGGGAAAACCACAGGAAGGCGGAGGAACGGGAGGGCGACAACGATGAGAAAGGACTGGGATACAGAAAAGTGGCCCGCGCTGGGGCGAGAGCGCCATTCTAGTCTGAACGACTGGAGCCATGCGGCGATCCTAAACTGAGGCCAACGCTGCAACGACAACACCATTCTGAGGGACCGAAATCGACCGGATTGCAAACACACCGTGTGAAAACAATACGCGGAGAGGTCAGCCATCTTCCGGACAGAGTCAGGGGAGATAGGAGAGTAGTATTCAGAATGCGCACTTGTAGATTGCAAATGGGGGACGGAGAGGAGGGTGGAGACGGAGATGGGGAAAGAGGAAAGATGAGGGCAGGATGGGAGTGGGAAGAAGGGGATGGGAGCCAAGAGTAGGGGGAGGGCAAAGAGTATGTGAGGGTGAGGAGGAAGACGCGGACGGGTGGGGAAGGGAGATATCATCTTTCCCCCGCCTCCTCCTCCTCCTCCTCCTCCGCCTCCTCCTCTTCCTCGTCTGGCTCTTCGGTCTCCTTTCCCCAGGGAGTCCTTACAAGCCCTCCGGGCCCTTCCCCGCATGACTGTCGTAGAACTCTCTCATGCACTCACTCCCTATGTTTCTCCTCTTCCCCCGTTTTCCCCTCCTCTCCCTCCTTGCCGTTAATCCTCATCCGCCGCCACTCTGGCCATCGGGGGAGTGGGAAGCGGCGGCGGCTGGTCCCTGGGGCCGATGACGAAAAGAGCGTCCGTGTGGTCCGCTGGGGCAGACGGGCGTCGCGCCGCCTTGCAAGGAAGATCTACAGCGCACGGCTGCGTGAGACATGGACGATGGCAGACGTAGGACGACGAGGACGGGAAGGAGCATGGATGAGGAGGAAGGAGAAAGGAGAAGGGGGCAGGGGGGGGCATGTGGAAAGACAGAGGAATCAGGATGAGCACGAGGAGTGAGGAACGATGAGGACCGATGGGGGCGGGGGAGGGAGGAGCGGAGACAACAGGAATACGAAGACGGGAGGACGGAGAACACGAGGAAAACGGAGAAGACAGGCGCACCGTGGCAATTGCGACGTGGCCATGGATACGGTCAGGAAATTTCGGATAGCGTGTGGTGGCGGCGGCCCTGGCGACATGCTATGCCCTGCAAGCGGGTGGCGATAGCGTGTCGCTAGGCTTCACGGGGCGGGAGGTTTGCGAAATGCTCGGGATGCTGACGTTTGGGGACTTGGACGCGGATGGCGTGCCGCGCCGAAGCGAACTGGGCCAGAACTGACGGAACGACACGTTACCCAAAAAGTTCACGACCGTATCACCGCCGCCCTAATCAAGCGGAGTCCGCATGGGTCTGAACCCTCTCGGGCACATTCCGTAACGAACACCCCCACCGTACGCACAAACGACCTGTTCTGGCAAGCGTGGCCCAAGGGCGAAGTGCTCCTTAAGAACGACCGGTGAAAACCGCGAGCTCTTGCGTGCGATCTCTACGTGCTGCGCCGGTCCCCCGCCGAGATGCCTGCGTCGAGGGTCGACGAAGCAAGTGCGCTGTCCGCCTGGTTTACAACTGTACGCCCGCGCTGCAAATCGGGAGGGAAGAGGGGAAGGAAGGAGGGAGGGAGGGAGGGCGGATCATGATGATATGTCGAGGGGAAGAGGGGGAAGAGCGGGAGGAGGAGGATGAGGAGGAGCAGGAAAAGAAGGAGAAGGAGGAGGAGGAGGATGAGGAGGACGAGGAGGAGGAGGAAGAGGAGGAGAAAGAGGAGGACCACCGGGCCAAGCCCAGGGCGCCGGGCCACCAGGGCCCGACGGCGGCTGGCGGGCGCAGAGCTGCGGACGGCGCCAGGGGCGGGCGACCGGCGCCCGCGCTCGGCAACTCCATGCTGTTCGTCGCCGCCGTGCTCCCGAGTATGCGAGGTAGGAGGCCCCGGTCGGCGCACCCCCTCGGCTCCGGGGCTTGCTAGCCGCTGAGCGGCGTGCTTGTCCTCGGGTTGGGGGGGTGCGCCGGCTCCCGATCAAAGTGCTTCTGGCGCGCGGCAGACACACGCGGCCACCGCAGGAGGAAGAGGAGGCGGAGGAGGAAGAGGAGGAGGAGGAGGAGGAGGAGGAGGAGGAGGAGGAGGTGGAGGAGGAGGAGGTGGAGGAGGGGGAGGAGGGGCAGGAGAAGGAGGAGGAGGAGGAGGAGGAGGAGAAGGAGGAAGAGGAGGAGGAGGGAGGACGAGGAGGAGGAGGAGGAGGAGGTTGATGAGGATGAGGAGGTGGAGGAGGAAGAGGGGTGGAGGAGGTGGAGGAGGGGCGGAAGAGGAGGAGGAGCAGGAGGAGGAGCAGGAAGAGGAGGAGGAGGAGGAGGAAGAGGAGGAGAGGAGGGAGGAGGGTGCAGGAGGAGGGAGAGGAGGAGGAGGAGGAGAAGGAGGAGGGGGAGGAAGAGGGGGAGGAGGAGGAGAGGAGGAGGAGGAGGGGAGGAGAACGGGAGGAGGAGGAGGACGAAAAGGAGGAGGAGGAGGAGGACGAAAAGGAGGAGGAGGAGAACGGATGGGGGGTGGAGGAGGGGGAGGAGGAGGAGGCGACTCCCCCCCTCATCCAGGGGCCTGCTCGTCCGCCAGCCAGCAATGGCCGGCCTCGCGGTTGTAGCCGAAGTAGGCGCAGCCTCCGCCGCCCGGGGCGCGACTGTGGGGGATGGGGTGGGGGGGGCAGGGGGAGAGAGGAAAGCAAGGACAGGAAGGGCGGGGAGGGGGGGGGGAGGGGACGAACCCATCATACGGCGGATTCGCGTCGTGACGACGAATGCTCTGCGCGTTCTGAGGATGTTCTGGCCGTCTGGCGGCCCTCCCCCTCGTTTCCTTCCGTCGTCCGCTGCATTTGTGCCCAATTCGCATCGGACGGGCAAGGGGGAAGGCGAGGGGGGGGTTACGAGGAGAATCCTGGAGGCCTCGCACGGCAACTTGAGACCCAATTTACGTCGGATCCACGCCGGATTTACGTCGGGTTCACGTCTGACTTACGTCGGAACATCGCCGCGCGAACGTCGTCCCATATCTGAGTGGGCGGACGTGCGGACTAGATAAGTCAACTGTTGCGCGCCGTGCGAGACCTCCAGGATGTTCCTCATAGGGAGAGTAGGGGGCGGGACGAACCCATCATACGGCAGGCTTGTGTCGTGACGTCGGGATTGGTTTCTGACACCGCGTGGATCGTTCAACTTTGAACGATCGCGGCTTTCGGATAGCGCGTTTCGTTCGATGCCGGCGGATTCCAGGCCACAGGCCGCGTGTCAACATTGAACGCCCGCGCCAAGATCGCCATTACGTCAAAGCGGCGCAAACCGCCGCAGTCGTCTGGAACCCCCAGCATACCCTTTAGAATACCCTCCCTCCTCGGACTCCTCCCTGCTCCCTCCTCCCACGCGCCTCCTTCAATTCCTCCTCCGACTTCTCCTTTCTACGACTCCGCCCTCGTCTTTCTCTTCCCCCTCATCCTCCCAGCTTCTCCTCCCTGCTCCAACGCGCTCCTCAAGCGCCTCCGCTCCTGGAAGCTTCTCTCCCTGCTTCCTGACCTTGGCGCATGCTCTGCAGAAGCCCGCCGCGAATATGACGCAAGCAATGCGTGCGCGCTCAATTTGCAATTTGAAGTGAGGCACCCCGCAACTCGATGACTGGCCGTGCTCCATCGCCGCGGATGGGGAAACACCATTTGTGTTTTCGTGCGTGCCTGCGCCCGTGCTGGACAGTACTGCGTGCAAAACTGACTATAGACTATACAGTTGTAAGGTTCGCTGCCCTGTGTTGTCTACGAGGTCTGCTGCCTCTCTAGAAAGTCTCCATATTACCGTCACAACCGTCATCATCGGCGTCCCTGTGACTGTCCGTGCATCGTGGGGTGCACCGTGAGATACCTGTCGAGACGAGAAGATGGGCGCAGGGATGATACGGGGGATGACGGGGATGGGCGCGAGGACGCAAGGGAGGATGATTCGGGGGACGCCGCGCGGAGGCCACAACACTGGCAGCGAACCTTGAAACTTTACAGGGCTTGAGATGCTGCGGCGTCACTGCACTGCAGAGCTACCGCGGGTGGTCGCTCGTCCCCGCGTCGATCCGCGTGCAGTCCAACACCAAGATCAGAAACACCCTGCCTGGGACGCACAAGGGCATTCTAGTACTATATGTCCTCCTCAGAGGCGTGCGTCCGATCCGAACATCTAGTATGATCATCTTGTGGTATATCGCTCCCCGAGGGGTGCGGCCAGAAAGCGCCCGCCACGACGCGTATACAGTAAGATTTCTCGGTGCGCGCGTCGCCCCTGGGGGGTGTGGGACGCGCACATAGTATTGACTAGTATGTTGGGGTGACGCCGACTGCCGAAACGTTGGGCCCCCCACGCGGGCAGTTCCTCGGGAGGGCGTTGGCAGAAATGGGTTTAGTGGAACCTGGTTTAGTGATCTGTACCATGCAGGGGCGCCCCCCCGTCACATCTCCACTAACCGGAACTGCCGTCACCCGAAAACACACCAGCTATGACAAACCTGGTTCAGTGATTCTGGCCAATGGATGGCCAATTGAAAAGCTCCGGGGCACTACCCCTAACAGGGTCCCCTTACCTGGGGTCCTGGCCATACCCGCAGGTCGGCCCTCTCACCCGGAGGGCCTCCGCCAGTCGAGACCCTTCTCGGGGCCATGCCCTCTCCCCCACGGCCGCACCCCACAGGAAGACACTTCAGAATTCTTGACTCCACGGTCATGGCCAGCCCGCCCAAGGCTTGACCAGCAGACACGAGCGCCCGCGCGCCGCCGCGAGCTCTCGAGCCCCTCGAAGGCTCCGTCGGGGCCCGCCCCCCAAACGCTCACCGAGAGCACCGCTCCCACTCCCCGACCCCTCCAGGCCTCTTTCCGCGCGCCGCGCGCTAGAAAGCCCTCGCGGGGCGGGCGCCGACCCGAGCCTCTGCTCTGTCAGAGGGTGAGGGGGGCGGAGGGTCGAGGATCGAGGGGCGCTCGAGCCCCTCCAAGGCTCAGTCGGGGCCCGCCCTCACCCAGAGCAACGCTCTCACTCCCCGACCCCTCCAGCCCCTTTCTCCGCGCGCCTCGCGCGAGGAGGCCCTCGCGGGGCGGGCGCCGGTCCGAGACCCTCCCCTGCTCCGGAGAGGCAGGGGGGCAGAAACTCCACCCCCATGATAATCACCCCGACACGCGACGCCGTTTCGTGAACGCACCTGCAGAAGGAATCGGACAGGGCAGGGTTGTTTCGTAAACGCCCATGGCAATTCAGCAAACGCCAACTATCGTGTCCGGGTGGTTGTTCTTTTCTTGAAGAGCGGCAGGGGGGGCGGAAGAGCGAGGATGGAGAAATCGAGGCAACAGCGGGGCGAAGAGCCGCGGGCGGGGCGCCGCCCAGGAGCGGCGGCAGGCCTCGGGCGAGGCTGCAGGAGAGGCCGACGAGGCCGAGGAACATGAAGCGGCCGTCGGCCGTCGGGGGGGGTCGCGGGGGAGGCGCCGAGAGCGCATGGCAAGCTCACTCACGCGTCTGTGCTGTGATAGAGCGCTCCAGCACACAACGCACGCAGTGGACGAAGCCTGCGACCCGCACGGATTGAAACAAAAAGCGCGCTGCGTGGAGAACGCATGATGCTCGAACAAGCAGCGGCGCCACATAGCGGCGCGCGCTGTAAACCAAAGGTGGTATGACCGAGTCTGCCGAAAGTCTAAGCTGGCCGCGCCGAGAGGCGGAGGGTGCGCGCTCTCAAGCGCGACAGCCCTCGCGGCGGACGCCAGTCTGGGCCCTGGGACATCAGAGGGGGTGAGAGCGGAGAGGGCGGGCGAGGGCGATCGATCGAGCAACGAGTCCTGGGCTGCTTCCCCCTCGTCCTCCGTCCCCGTCGCCGGCACTGCCTCAGCGGGCGGCGCTGGCTGTCGCAGAGCGGGGTCTCGTGGAGCGGGGGAGGTCCACCCGACAGCCCTGTGGAGGCAGCTTGCGCTTCCTGCCCGCGGGGGGCATCAGCATACCCTCCTCTGCATCCCCACCTGGCCGAACTGCACGTTCTGCCGCTCCACGGCCAAGAGTATTGCAGGGGAGCCGGCCAACGGGGGTGCGGGAGGGAGGCGTGCTGCGCGTCGGAGGCGTGCTCGGCACGAGAGCAGCAGATTCAGGGCAGGCGTGAGGGCGGCATGAGGAGGACGAGGGAGGGGGAGGAGGGGGATGATCGAGATTCGAGGATCGAGGAAGGTCGGGGGGGGTCGAGGATCGAGGCGGATGATGATGATGCTGATGCTGATGCTGATGCTGATGCTGCTGATGATGATGATGATGATGATGATGATGATGATGGTGATGATGATGATGCTGATGATGATGCTGATGCTGATGAGGATGATGATGAGGAGGATGATGCGGAGGATGAGGAGGAGGGAGGAGGATCGAAGATCGAAGATCGAGGAGGATCCAGGGCGGGGGAGGAGGGGGAGGAGCCGCAATGCAGCAGGGGTCAGGAGGAGAGAATGGGAGAGGATGCTAAGCAGGACGAGAATGATCGGAGTTCCGAGCGGCCCGAGAAGCTTGGTGATCGCAGGGGACGGGTGGGGGAGGAGGCGCGGGCCACTCAAAGTGCGTCCGATCCGAACACGCTTGAGGTCCAATATGGAAGGCCCCCCTTGCCAGCACACCAACTGCGCCAGTAGCTCTCACGCGATGCCAGCAGACGGGGAAAGACCACCTGGGATCACCCACTGCACACCAGCCGCGCCGAAAGGGCACACGTGGTGACAGGGGGGACGGGTGGGGGAGAGGAGCGGGAGAGAGGCGGCGGATGTGACTGAGCAGGCAGGGGCAGGAACGAGGAGGAGGAGGCAGAGGGCGCCCTGGGAGAGGAGCAGCGCGAGAGACAGCGCGGCCGCTGAGCAACAAATACCTGTTGACCCAGCCGGTGACTGGCACACGGGTCTCTCCTTCGACCACTCTCCCTTCAGAGGGAACGTTAGGGGGGAGGACCGGCTCATGGGGGGAGCATCGACCTGGAATCGATGATACATCTCCGATCGATCGTCGATATGCTCACGATGAAGAATCCGAGCGTTCCTGGGCGGGACGGGCCATCGGACCCTTCTGGGTGATGAATGGGCGATTGGGGGTCGATGCGTCCCCCCTGGGCCCATCCTCCCCCATGTACCTGACCCCTCCTTCTCTCCTCACCCTGCCTCTTCCTGCCGCAGCCTCCCTGCCCGTGGCCCCGCCGGCGACTGATCTGCAGGTCTGCTGGCACACCTGCGGGCTCTGGATGCCCACAACCTCCCTTGACTGGGCGCGCGAGGAAGAATGGGAGACGATGCTGTCCCAGGAGCCACTGGTGTCGTTGACGGACTGTCATCTTCCTCTCCCCTTCGCTTCTTGTCCGCCCTTTCTTGTCCCTTGCTCGCGTCTTGCCCGCTTTCCTCTCTTTTCAGCCGGAGGAGGAGGTGGAGGAGGATAAGGAGGAGGAGGAGGAGGAGGAGACGGAGGAGGAGGAGGAGGAGGAGGAGGAGGAGGAGGAGAGTGGGAGGAGGAGGAGGAAGAGGAGGAGAAGTGGGAGGAGGAGGAAGAGGAGGGAGGGGGAGGAGGAGGAGGAGGAGGAGGAGGAGGAGGAGGAGGAGGAGGAGGAGGAGGAGGAGGAGGAGGGAGGAGGAGGGAGGAGGAGGAGGAGGAGAAGGAGGAGGAGGAGGAGGAGGAGGCGGGGGAGGAGGAGGAGATGCGGAAGAGCAGCAGGAGGAGCGCGGCAGTAGGAGGCGCAAGCACGAGCACAAGCATCCGATGGCGTGTCATTCCCAATCCGTGGGCCCCTGGACCCCTCTTGCAGAACTGGCCCGACGCTCCGAGTCGTCGTGGACGGCCCCGGGTCACGGGACCGCCTCCGAAGGCCGAAGGCTGAGGAACAGCAGCCCTGGCCCGATTGTCGTTGAGACGCTGGGAGTTGTGGGCGCGAGGACCAGGGGCAAGCGGGCCGCTCATGGACAGACCAACGAGGCGGCGAGCGCATGGCAGACCCGCGCGGCAGACAAAAGGGGGGGAGGCCAGCGGCAAGGGCGGGTGACGAGGACGAGCCGCCGCCATCCGGAGGGTCTGGCCAGACCACGGGCCTAAGCCTCGACAGGGCAAGTGGGGGCAGGCCTCAGAGCTTACCGTTGAGGCCGTGAGGATGATGAGGATGAGGGCGAATAGAACGGTGAGGAGGAGGATGATGAGATGGAGGAGAAGGGGGAGGAGGAGGATGGGCAGGAAGAGGACCAGGATCAGGAAGAGGAGGGTGAGGAAGGTAATGAGGGACAGGAGAAGACCAACTGGCAAGGCTTGGGTTGCGCATAGACGACCCCGATGAGTACGGTCCAGGACTGTCAAAGATGGTCTCAACAGGTTCCCCCGAGGGCTGTCCAGCACGATCTCAGCCTCCATCCTCGGGCGCGGAGCGCCCTGAGGGCGTCAGGCGGTGCGGGCGTGTTGAGACTGCCCAGCGTACCCTGGGGGCGTGTTGAGGTCAAGCCTCGGTTACCTCTGGGCCTCTGGGAGATGTCTGTGCGCAATCCCGAGCCTGGCAAACGCCAAGTGCACGTTGCCCCCTTCAGGACTCCAACGACTCGATCGTCGATCTTCCTCCTCCATCCCTGGCCTTCCCTCCTCATCCGCCTCCTCCTCCCTTCTCCTCCTCCTCCGCCTCCTCCTCTTCCTCATCCCCCCTCCGGATTTGCCCCCCCCCCCCCCCCCCTCCCCCACGACCCCCCCCCCCCGCCCCCCCCTCCCCCCCATCCCCCACCATACCCCCCCTTCCTCGAATAAAGAAACGAAGAGCGGTGACTTTCCGACTTCTCCGACGTACTCGGCCTCTCCTCCCAGGCAGGGGCAACATAGGGCGGACTGGCTAAGTGGGGAGACCACCGAGCTTGAATCGGCAATACGTCGCCGATAGATCGGCGGTAGCCCCCCGATAGCGAAACCGTGCGCTCCTGGGCGGGGTTGGCTATCAGGCCCCAGAGGAAGATGAATGGGCGACCGGGGGTCGATGCGCTCCCCCCTGAGCTCATCATCCCCTGACGCTGCCCCGTATCCTGCCCCCCCCCTCCCCCTCCCCTCTCTGCCTGCCCCCTCCCCTCCGGGTTCGTCGTGCCGCTCCCCATGGGCGGCGGGAGGGGTGGGGAGGTTAGAGTAGAAACAGGCAGAGGAGGGAGACGGGAGGGAATGAGGAGAGATAGGGAGAGGAGAGGAGGAAGAGGAAGAGGGCAAGGAAGGTGCGTTCGCGCCATCTCTGACATCCTACCCATCCCACCCAATATTTCCCATCGCGCTCGTTTTTTCTTTATCCGCTAACGGGTGTCATAGCGGACCTGGACGCCATCATGTTTTGCGAAATCGGATATCAACGGCAGCCGGCAGCTGGGCACATAAAAGGAGGTGGCGGATGAGTAGCAGGAGGAAGCGGCGGACGACGAAGGAGGACGAGGACGAACAACAGCAGCAAGAACTGGAATGGAAGGAGCGGGAGCAGGAGGACCATGTGAAGACGGAGGACAGGAACTGAAGGAGGTGACAACGACGAGGCACGACACGGATCCAGACATTCGGCCTGCGCTGAGGCGATAGCGCCAATCTTAACGACGGGAGCAACGCGCCGACCCAAACATGTGCCCATTCTGCAATGGGAGCATCAGTTTGGACGGCCCGAGATCGTTCGTATGAGAACGATTTCGGCACCATCCTGTATTACAAAACAGTGCACGGAAGGGGGCGGGCGAATACCCGGCCATATCCTGGGGATCGAGGCTTTTAGTACTCATGTTACTTAATTGCAAATGGGTGGGGATGGAAGGGACCTCCTCCCTGGCATCCCTCCCAACCCTCCCATCCCTCCCTCTCCCCTCCCCTCCCCCTCTCACTTCGGGCACGCACTAAGCCGTGTCGACACAAACCAGGGTCGGCCAAGGCCCTGTTGCAAAGCCTGGCCAGCTGCTCAGTAGCTCCCAAACCTGGGCCAGAGGAGGGCGGAAGAGGGGAATCGGCCCGACGTGGCTCCCAAACCCCCGTGTGCGCTGACCCATGTTACGCGAGCCCCGATCCTCCCTCCCATCTCGGAGCAGGGCGACTTGACACAACGGCAGCTCAATATCGATCCCCAGACCCCTCCTAGGATCCAAACACACAAATTTTCTGAGATGCGTCCAGCTGTGGCGACGGGGTGGCCACCCGAAGGCCAACCACCGCTGTCTGAATTCGCCCTCCTGTGACCAACCCTCTCATCCCCTCCTTCCTTCTTCGGGGATCTACCGACCCGGGTCGATCCAGACCTGGGCCAGCCAGGCTTTGCATGACCCTGCACGATCCTGCAGGACTCTGCAAGGTTCTGCACCGAGGACAGGGCCAATGCAGCCCTGGTTCTGCAGGATTCTGCAAAATCCGGCGCGCTGGCTGATCCCCGTGTGCATGGACCCCGTCTCTTGAGCACCGAACGCCCCCCCCTTCCTGGGACGTGGCGGGCCGACGACGTACACGTCGTTCATGTCTAATCGCGCTCATTTCTAATTGTGCTCGTTTCTAATTGTTCCTGGCCCCCTACTGGCCAGGAAGAAGCCCAAGATAGAACAATTAGAAATGAACGGATCTTGGCCCACCCAAAAATCAAACAACCTTCGAATGAGTAGAAATGAACAAGTTGTAACTGGCGACCCCCTCTTGGCGTGGTCTGGCTTCCGTCTCCCCGCACGCCCCCGTCTCTTGAGCACCGACACCCCCCCTCCTCCTCCTCCTCCTCCTCCTACCCTCTCCTCCTCCTCCTCCTCCTCCTCCTCCTCCTCCCTATCCTCCTCCTCCTCCTCCTCCTCCTCCTCCTCCTCCTCTCCTCCTCCTCCTCCTCCCTCCTCCCCTCCTCCTCCTCCTCCTCCTCCTCCTCCTCCTCCTCCTCCTCCTCCTCCTCCTCCTCCTCCTCCTCCTCCTCCTCCTCCTCCTCCTCCCCCTCCCCTTCCCCTCCGGGTTCTCCGTGGCGTTCCCCATGGCCGGCGCCAGCCTCTCGCCGTGCCGGAAGCAGCCCGGCGGCACGCCCTGCGCAGCTCCCACGCGGCCGCCGCCGGGCCCCCCTCGTGGTCGTGACGCCGCGGCTGCGCCGTCGGCCGTCGCCGACGGCGAAGCGGCCACCCCGCCAACGGCGATCGCGTCGGCCGCTTCGCCGTGGGGCGGCGGCGATATCATAGCGATATCCATGGCCAGTCCACGACTGGAGATCCATCGGATTCCAGACCCTTGATTCCTCGTTCACTGGTTCCTGCTTCAACCCAATGAACATCGCCGCTGCCCCACGGCCGTCGCCCCGCTTCGCCGTCGCCGACGGAGAACCGGCCGACGCGATGCAGTTATATCGAGCTGTTGCCGCGGTCGCCTGCAACCGCGCTCGGTCCGTGCGCACTCCCCAAGTACTCGCGGAGCGTGCGCGGTGTCCCAGGCCTTGCCGTCAGCCCCCGATGCCCAGGCTCAACCCCGCTGAAAACAGGGGGAAGAGCGATCGTCATCATCATTGTGGTTGTCGTCAGAGTCGTCGTCGTCGTCGTCGTAATCATCGTCGTTGCCGTCGTCGTCGTCGTCGTCGTCGTTCGTCGTAGTCGTCATCATCGTCGTCGGTCACCTACGCCGTCGTTGTCGTCGCCGTCCGTCGTCCGTCGTCCGTCGTCGTCGTCTCGCCGACATCGTCGTCAGTGTCGTCGTCGTTGTCCGTCGTCGTCGTCGTCGTCGACGTCATCGTCGTTGCAGTCGGTCGCCGACGTCGTCGTCGTCCGTAGACAATCGTCCGTCGTCTATCGTCCGTCGCCGTCGTCGTCGTCGGACGCAGACGTCCTCGTGGTCGTCGTCGACGTCGGTCGCAGACCGTCGCCCGTCGTCCGCCATCCGTCGTCCTTCGTCGTCAATCGTCGGTCACCGACGTCGTCGTCGTCGTCGTCCGTCGTCCAGCGTCCGTCGTCCGACGTGGTGGTCTTCTTCTTCGTCGTCAGTCGTCGTCGTCGTCGGTGTGATCGCCGTCATACGTCGTCCATCCCCGACATCCGTCGTCGTCCGTCGTCCGTCGACCGTCGTCCGTCGACCGTCGTCTTGATTGGTGCTGTCGTCGTCGACTGTCGTCGTCGTCCGTCCGTCGTCCGTCGCCTGTGCTCACTCGTCGCCTTTGTCGTCATCGCCGTCGTCGTCGTCGTCATTCGCCGCCGCCGTGGTCGTGGTCGTCGTCGTCGTCGTCGTCCGTCGTCCGTCGTCCGTCGTCCGTCATCCGCTGTCTGTCGTTCGTCGGCCGTCGCCTGTCGCCCGTCTCACGTCGTCATCGTCGGCGTCGTCGTCGTTGTTCGCCGACATCGTCGTCGTCGTCGTCCTCGTCGTCCGCCGTCGACGTTGTCGCCGTCGTAGTCGTTACGGGCGTCACCGTTGGTCGCCAAACTCGTCGTCGTCCGTCGTCCGTAGACCGTCGTCCGTCGTCTATCGCTCGTCGTCGCCATCGTCGCCGTCGTCGTTGTCGTCGTCGGTCGCAGACGTTGTCGTGGTCAACGTCCGTCGTCAGTCGTCCGACGTCTGTCGACCGTCGTCGTCCGTCGTCCACCGTCCGTCGTCGTCGTCCTCGTCGTCGTCGTAGTCGTTGTCGTCGGTCACAGGCGTCGTCCGTCGTCATCCTCCAGCGTCCGTCGTCCAGAGTCCGTCGTCCTGGTCGTTGTCGTCGTCGTCAATCGTCGTCGCCGGTGTTGTCGTCATCGGGGGTCGTCCGCCGCGCTTCGTCGCCTCGTCTTTCGCCGACGTCGTGCATCCCCGACATCCGTCGTCGTCCGTCGTCCGTCGTCGCGATTGGTGTTGTCGGTGTCGAGGTCGTCGTCCGTCGTCGTCGTCGTTCGTCGTCCATGGTTTGTTCCCTGTCGTCATTCGTCGTCGTTGTCATCTTCATCGTCGTCCGCGACGTCGTCGTCGTCGTCGTCTCGTCGTCTTCGACGTCGTCGTCATCGTCCGTCGTCTGTCCCCGTCGTCTGGCGTCGTCGTCGGTCAGCGGCGGTCGTCGTCGTCCGTCGTTCGTCGTCTGTCGTCCGTCATCGTCCTTCGTCGTCGTCGGTGGCCGTCGTCACCATCGTCGTCCGTTGTCCGTCGTCCGTCGTCGTCGTCGCCGTCGTCGGTCGCCGTCGTCGTCGTCGGTCGCCGTCGTCGTCGTCGTCTTCGTCCGCCGTCATTCGTCGTCCGTCATCCGTCGTCCAAAGTCCGTTGTTTGTCGTCAGTCGTCGTCCGTCGTCCGTGGTCCGTCCACCACCGTCGTCGTGGTTAGTATTGTCGTAGTCGTCCGTGATTCAGAACCCGTCGTCGTCGTCGTCACCGTCCTTCGCTGTCATCGCCGTCGTCCGTCGTCCCTTGTCTGTTCTCCGTCGTCTGTGATCTGTCGTCCGTCGTGCGTCGTACGGCGTCAATGTCGTCGTCGCCGTCGTCGTCGTCGTTATCGACGTCGGCGTCGGTCGCCGACCGTCGTTGTCGACGTCGTCGTCGTCCGTCGTCCTTCGTCCGCCGTCGTCGTCGTCGTCGGTCGCCGACGGTCGTCGTCGTCCGTCGTCCGCCGTCGTCACTATCGTCGTCGGTTGCTGACGTCGTCGTCATCAACGCCGTCGTCGTCGTCGTCCGTCATCATTTGCCCGTCGTCGTCCATCCTCCGTCGTCGTCGTCCGTCGTCCGGCGTCAATCGTCGTCGTCGGAATCGTCGTCGTAATTAGTCGTGAGCGTCTGTCATCCGTCGTCCGTCGTCGTCGTCGTCGTCATCGTCGTCGGCGTTGTCCGTCATCGTCGTCGGTCGTCATCCATCGTCCGTCGTCCGTCGTGTGCCGTCCGTCGTGTGTCGTACGTACGTCGTCCGTCGTCCGTCGTTTGTCGTCGTCGTGAGCCACCGTCGTTGTCATCGCAGTCGTCGTCGTCGTCGTCATCGTCGTCGTCGTCGTCTTCCGTCGTCCGTCGTCCGTCATCCGATGTCCGTCGTGCACCGGCAGCCGTCCGTCGTCGTCGTCGTCGTCGTCGTCGTCAATAGACCGTCGTCCGTCTTCCGTCGTCCGTCTGTCGTCCGTCGTCGTCGTCGTCGCCGTCGTAGTCGTCGTCGTCGTAGTCGTCGTCGTCGTAGTCGTCGTAGTCGTCGTCGTCGTCGTCGTCGTCGTCGTCGTCGTCGTCGGTCGCACGTCATCGTCGTCGTGCGTCGTGCGTCGTGCGTCGTCATCGTCGTCGTCGTCGTCGTCGTTGTCCCTTCGGGGAGGTGACCTCCTGTGTCGCGTTCCGGGAGGGCGCTCGCGCTTTCACGGCTGAGCGCTGAGGACGCAGGAATCTTGCTGGGATGGGCGCCAGGGAGGTCCAGGAACAGCTTCTGGGCGCATTTTGGCAGATAGTCGAGTGTCGTCCTCCTGCTCCTGCACGTCGGCCTCCCCGTCCTCCTCCTTGATCTCGCCCCCGAGAGCGAGGAGAAGAGGGTTGACGAGGCCGACGGGGACGAGAAGGAAGAGAGCGAGGACGAGGATGACGACAACGAAGAAGACCTCGGGATCACAGCACCGTCCTCCTCTACCTCGCTCCACCTCCCCCGAACTGTGCCTGCTACCGAAGCTGTGCCAGTCACCGACCCAACCAGGTATAGGCTGTCTACGCCGCCTGAAGGGTGACCTGACAGTCCACAACGACACCTGGCCGGACAGCACGCCTGTCTGGATCCAGAGGTGAACCAGGGGATCTAAACTGATATAGTCGGATGTCCGACCACACGGGCGGCGATGTACTTCTGACCCCGCCCTTCAAGACCCCTGATCCTCCTTCCCCTGCCAAGATTTGCCCTCAAACCTCGAGGCCTCGAGAATCGAAGAGGGAGGTGTTGGGGGTGTCCGTAAGGTTTCTGCCTGCTCCCCAAACAGTGATTGCACTTACGGGTTCTTGCAGCTTGCTCTAAAGAAACTGGGCCTGGTGGTCGGTCTTGCGGCTCTGTGGTCGCCGTCGCCGTCCCGTCGCCACCTCGTCGCCGCCCGTCGGCTGGGCCCAGGGTTTGGTCTGGCGGCTACGTGGTCGCCGTCGCCGCCTTGCCACCGCCTCGTCGCCGCCCGTCGTTTGGGCCTGCAGTTCGGTCTGGCGGCTCCGTGGCTGCCGTCGCTCTCCCGTCGCCGCCTAGTCGCCGCCCGTCGTCTGGGCCCGGGAGTCTGTCTGGCGGGTCCGTGGTCGCAGTCGGCGTTCCGTCGTACATTCTCGTTCATAAAACAAATTAAAATATACCGCCCCCCGAGAGCCAGGATTATTGTTCTTTCCTCGGGGTGTGCAAGTTATAGTAGTTGTCCGCCCCATCGCTCTCATGAGCATGCATTCGTACCATCCCAGCCAAGCCAGGTTCGACACTCTCCACCATTTTCTGCAACAAAAACGCTATGCGCGCACACTCGATTATCACAATCGTTAATGTATCCCGACCCCGTGCAAGAACAAAACAAGCGGGTTGCGTAAATAAAAACAACTGCGGGCGCGCTATTGCCTATTCTGAAGAAACCATGCGCTTGTTTTGCGCAACTTCCTTCCGACGCGACCAAGCAAGCGGGCTTCCCACGCGGTCACGTCGGTCGCGCCAGACTAGCTGGCCGCTCTGCGTGCGAGCCTGCGCGCGCTAGCGCGGCCGCCGCGACGCGCCAACCAGCGCCAAGCAGTTATTGCAATCGCCGCCACGTACGTTTTGCAAACCAAGTTGCGGGTGGGGTGGGTGGGATGGTTGCGAAAACCGCAGGGTTGACAACTCCCTGCAAACCGAATTTACATTGCACACCATAGATTGATGAACGCGGGCTGCACAACATAAATGTGTATATATACATACATCCGTACATAGATATTTACACATATCTTATACATCCGTACATGTATACATAGATACATTCGTACATACATCCGTACATGTATACATACATGTGTATACATACATACACATATATTCCCTAACATGTATACGACACAACATAACATGTCCCACATAGATTGCATCACGCATATGTGTACCTATGTATACACGTCTGCGCATATACAACTGT